GATTGGGAATCATTGCAATCAAATTACGAGCCATACGAGGTATTACATTCCTCATTTGGACCATTTTGGCTGTGCTATGGCTAAATAACTGATTTTTTGCGCCCAAAATCAAGTATACGTCTTTTAACAGCAGTGATTTCGGTTTTATTGCTGTTTCATAGCTCTAACTATGTCAAAACAAGTCGCATAGCCAAAAATGACTGCTTTACGCAGCTAACTACCAAAACTTAACACCCCTATACTTGCTTTTATCATTACTGTTCTGATTTTTTGGTGCGAGCTCTGTTTTAAGGGCTAAAAAATCAGAAAAACGATTTTGAACAGAAATTTGCAATATTATTTTCGGGTTTTTAGCTCTAGCTCGGTCAAAACAAGTCGCACAGCCAAAAGAACGACTGTTTTGTGCTGCTAACGACCAATACTAACCACCCCCTATCACTCCTTTTTCGATTTTGGAAACCAATTTTGGCCCAAATTTCGCATTTTTGATAAGGGGTACCATCATTAAAATTTTTAAAAATGGGCCAAAAATGAAGTTTCCCCGATTTGAATGCAAATCGATTGGGAATCATTGCAATCAAATTACGAGCCATACGAGGTATTACATTCCTCATTTGGACCATTTTTGGCTGTGCTATGGCTAAATAACTGATTTTTTTGCGCCCAAAATCAAGTATACGTCTTTTAACAGCAGTGATTTCGATTTTATTGCCGTTTCGTAGCTCTAACTATGTCAAAACAAGTCGCATAGCTAAAAAATGACTGTTTTACGCAGCTAACTACCAAAACTTAACACCCCTACTTGCTTTTATCATTACTGTTCTGATTTTTTGGTGCGAGCTCTGTTTTAAGGGCTAAAAAATCAGAAAAACGATTTTAAACAGAAATTTGCAATATTATTTTCGGGTTTTTAGCTCTAGCTCGGTCAAAACCAGTCGCACAGCCAAAAGAACGACTTTTTTGTGCTGCTAACGACCAATACTAACCACCCCTATCACTCCTTTTTCGATTTTGGGGAAACCAATTTTGGCCCAAATTTCGCATTTTGATAAGGGGTACCATCATTAAAATTTTTAAAAATGGGCCAAAAATGAAGTTTCCCCGATTTGAATGCAAATCGATTGGGAATCATTGCAATCAAATTACGAGCCATACGAGGTATTACATTCCTCATTTGGACCACTTTTGGCTGTGCTATGGCTAAATAACTGATTTTTGCGCCCAAAATCAAGTATACGTCTTTTAACAGCAGTGATTTCGGTTTTTTTGCCGTCTCCTAGCTCTAAACTTTGTTAAAACAAGTCGCACAGCCAAAACAACGACAGTTTTCTCTGTTTTAAGGGCTAAAAAATCAGAAAAACGATTTTGATCAGAAATTTGCAATATTATTTTCGGGTTTTTAGCTCTAGCTCGGTCAAAACCAGTCGCACAGCCAAAAGAATGACTGTTTTGTGCTGCTAACGACCAAAACTTTTTACCCCTATACTTGCTTTTATCATTACTGTTCTGTTTTTTGGTGCGAGCTCTGTTTTAAGGGCTAAAAAAATCAGAAAAACGATTTTGAACAGAAATTTGCAATATTATTTTCGGGTTTTTTAGCTCTAGCTCGGTCAAAACAAGTCGCACAGCCAAAAGAACGACTGTTTTGTGCTGCTAACGACCAATACTAACCACCCCTATCACTCCTTTTTCGATTTTGGGGAAACCAATTTTGGCCCAAATTTCGCATTTTTGATAAGGGGTACCATCATTAAAATTTTTAAAAATGGGCCAAAAATGAAGTTTCCCCGATTTGAATGCAAATCGATTGGGAATCATTGCAATCAAATTACGAGCCATACGAGGTATTACATTCCTCATTTGGACCACTTTTGGCTGTGCTATGGCTAAATAACTGATTTTTTTGCGCCCAAAATCAAGTATACGTCTTTTAACAGCAGTGATTTCGGTTTTTTTGCCGTCTCCTAGCTCACAACTTTGTTAAAACAAGTCGCACAGCCAAAACAACGACAGTTTTCTCTGTTTTAAGGGCTAAAAAATCAGAAAAACGATTTTGAACAGAAATTTGCAATATTATTTTCGGGTTTTTAGCTCTAGCTCGGTCAAAACCAGTCGCACAGCCAAAAGAATGACTGTTTTGTGCTGCTAACGACCAAAACTTTTTACCCCTATACTTGCTTTTATCATTACTGTTCTGTTTTTTTGGTGCGAGCTCTGTTTTAAGGGCTAAAAAATCAGAAAAACGATTTTGAACAGAAATTTGCAATATTATTTTCGGGTTTTTAGCTCTAGCTCGGTCAAAACAAGTCGCACAGCCAAAAGAACGACTGTTTTGTGCTGCTAACGACCAATACTAACCACCCCTATCACTCCTTTTTCGATTTTGGGGAAACCAATTTTGGCCCAAATTTCGCATTTTTGATAAGGGGTACCATCATTAAAATTTTTAAAAATGGGCCAAAAATGAAGTTTCCCCGATTTGAATGCAAATCGATTGGGAATCATTGCAATCAAATTACGAGCCATACGAGGTATTACATTCCTCATTTGGACCATTTTTGGCTGTGCTATGGCTAAATAACTGATTTTTTTGCGCCCAAAATCAAGTATACGTCTTTTAACAGCAGTGATTTCGATTTTATTGCCGTTTCGTAGCTCTAACTATGTCAAAACAAGTCGCATAGCTAAAACAATGACTGCTTTACGCAGCTAACTACCAAAACTTAACACCCCTATACTTGCTTTTATCATTACTGTTCTGATTTTTTGGTGCGAGCTCTGTTTTAAGGGCTAAAAAATCAGAAAAACGATTTTAAACAGAAATTTGCAATATTATTTTCGGGTTTTTAGCTCTAGCTCGGTCAAAACAAGTCGCACAGCCAAAAGAACGACTGTTTTGTGCTGCTAACGACCAATACTAACCACCCCTATCACTCCTTTTTCGATTTTGGGGAAACCAATTTTGGCCCAAATTTCGCATTTTTGATAAGGGGTACCATCATTAAAATTTTTAAAAATGGGCCAAAAATGAAGTTTCCCCGATTTGAATGCAAATCGATTGGGAATCATTGCAATCAAATTACGAGCCATACGAGGTATTACATTCCTCATTTGGACCATTTTTGGCTGTGCCATGGCTAAATAACTGATTTTTTTGCGCCCAAAATCAAATATACGTCTTTTAACAGCAGTGATTTCGGTTTTATTGCCGTTTCATAGCTCTAACTATGTCAAAACAAGTCGCATAGCTAAAACAATGACTGCTTTACGCAGCTAACTACCAAAACTTAACACCCCTATACTTGCTTTTATCATTACTGTTCTGATTTTTTGGTGCGAGCTCTGTTTTAAGGGCTAAAAATCAGAAAAACGATTTTAAACAGAAATTTGCAATATTATTTTCGGGTTTTTAGCTCTAGCTCGGTCAAAACAAGTCGCACAGCCAAAAGAACGACTGTTTTGTGCTGCTAACGACCAATACTAACCACCCCTATCACTCCTTTTTCGATTTTGGGGAAACCAATTTTGGCCCAAATTTCGCATTTTTGATAAGGGGTACCATCATTAAAATTTTTAAAAATGGGCCAAAAATGAAGTTTCCCCGATTTGAATGCAAATCGATTGGGAATCATTGCAATCAAATTACGAGCCATACGAGGTATTACATTCCTCATTTGGACCATTTTTGGCTGTGCTATGGCTAAATAACTGATTTTTTTTGCGCCCAAAATCAAGTATACGTCTTTTAACAGCAGTGATTTCGATTTTATTGCCGTTTCGTAGCTCTAACTATGTCAAAACAAGTCGCATAGCTAAAACAATGACTGCTTTACGCAGCTAACTACCAAAACTTAACACCCCTATACTTGCTTTTATCATTACTGTTCTGATTTTTTACCATCATTAAAATTTTTAAAAATGGGCCAAAAATGAAGTTTCCCCGATTTGAATGCAAATCGATTGGGAATCATTGCAATCAAATTACGAGCCATACGAGGTATTACATTCCTCATTTGGATCATTTTTGGCTGTGCTATGGGCAAAAAACTGATTTTTTTGCGCCTAAACTTTCGCTCTTCCCTGCTAACTGTTTTTTGAAGCCAACGATCAGAATTTACGGTAACAATCGCGCAACATACAATTATGGAACATATCTCATTTTAATATTTTTTTTATTGGCTTGCAAAATTGATCTAAAAATAACATTTTTAAACTCAATTGATAGGAATTTTCAGCAAGAGTTCAATGATATATGCCGTTCTATATATGGATCACTTATCCTCACGCCATTAATCATAATATGAGTAGTTTTTAGTCTTTTATAAAGAATTTCGCACTTACCATGACTAATTTTAAGGCGTCATATAAAAAATTCATGTATTTTAACACTCAAAAGAAATAATCCAAGTGTATTGGTGAAAAATCCCCCTGCTAATATCACACAGAATCGTTTAACAAATGATGTGTGAACTTTAATGGGAATGATAGACCCTGTACATATGTACGAGTACGCGAGATATGGTGGTCATTTAATGCTCCACGATTCCGTGGCGTGCACGTGCCGGAATCTCCGGAGTCCGGATTGTTTACGAATGGCCGTATGACAACAGAGAGCAGGTGAAGTGCAGAGACCGATGAGCAGAGAGCAGGGCGCAGGCGTGGAAACCGAAACTCGGCAACACTGGCGAATTTGGGCGGGTTTGATTTTGATTTTGGCCGAGATTTCAACGGTTTTTAAATGGAAATTTTGCCCATTTGGCAGAGGAAACAAGAACATGCAGTTCCCCTTTCCAAGAATCAAGGGGTTGTGAGACCCCTGTCCCCGGGGTAACATCGTGGCATATGCAACAAGCTGCTAGGGTCCCCAAGGGTCCAAGAGAACTCCCCAAAAAACCGCCCATTCATAGGAAACCCGCTGATATGGCGCGCACAGCCTCAGATATTCCGGCGTGGCATTCAGTTTTCCGTTTAGTTCAACGGCAGACTCGCGCGCGTACGGTTCGAACTGGAAAAAGCGACGGGTCCGGATCGTCTGGACTTCTCGGGTTCTCGGTTCTCTGTTCTCGCTTCGCAGTGCTGGTTGCTCTGGAAAAGTGTTCAAAAAAATGCTGGAAAATCAGCTTAGAGCTGGACGAAATGCCGCCGGCACTCGATCCGTATCGTAATTGAATTCAGGGCAGTGGATTGAAAGTCAAATTGAATTTCGAAGCAAAAAGAAAACACACAAGCATTGGCAAAACGATAAACTAGTCGTTAAATTGAATATACAAATTGGTGTTTTGATTAAAACTAATAAACATAAACACCGAAACACCGAAACCGCAGCGCTGGAGGAGGAGTGAGAGGCGGAATTTATTTTTAAATAAAATTTCTTTGTTTTTCGCTGCGAAGCCTGCAATTGGCTGACATTGCTCATACGCCGCGTTGGCCGAGTGAAAATAGCAGGGAAATTTAGCATAGATCCTGGTAAGCGGTCCCCCATTGCCTCAAGTATTTTGTTTTTTACTCTTTTCATTGTTTTTCCATATTAAATAAACATTGTTTTCTGAGTAGGGAAAGGGCACTGGGGGTTTGTAATTGTAAAGTTTCCTCATAGCCAAAACTGAAATTGGTTTAGGGTCCGGCTGAATAAAAAGTTTATGCAAATTTGAGTTGGCAAAGTAATTATAAAACTGCTATTTGAGGACAACTTTGGTCTGGAAACTTTTCCTCAAATGTAATTACTTCAATAGCTTAATCAAGCGATTAATCCAAATTTCGGAAGATCAAACTGCATGCCATCATCGCTCTTCCTCACGATTTTCCACTCAATTTGAGCATCCAGTTCCACGTTTCCACCGAACCGACAAATAGTTAACAGATAACCAAAAATCATCACGCCCAATTGACTTCGTCGATTAAAAGGTCCCCTTCGATGATCTCAGATTTCGGGTAGCCAAATCTCCTGGAATGGCAATTAATTTGATTTCGTTCGTTATGGAGAAGGCAGAACCCTCGAGTGGAAAAATAATCTTTTTAAATTATGTACCATTCCGTTTACATCCTGTGTGATAAAATAAAAACTCTGCGCATTGGCTTATCCCTTGGGTGTTCCCACATGTGCTCATTCCTGATGTTTATAATGCAAATAAACAAAGTGCTTAAAATGTATTTATTTTTGGGATTTAAGTTAACTCAACCTTGGGGGTTTTTTCAAGTCATTTTATTTTAAGGAGCTTCCGTTTGCAGTGAGAAATATAGCTAATGTTGAATGTACTTAAAATGGAAAAAAAGGTGAAATTTGCATAAAAAGTTAAACTATGTTTTAATATGCAGCAAAGATGCTTATCAATTTTTAATCTAAATCTCATTTAACTTTTAAACTAAAATACACAAATGAAACTTACACTTCCTCTTAATCTTAAAATCGAATACATAAAAGGTGAAACTATTTAATCTGTGACAAATAAACTTAATCAGCAATCATCTTTCTAATCACTTAAGCTGATTGAAAATCAAAAACCAATTATAAAGAAGACAACTTTCCTTTTGAGAAATTATAACATAATTGCCATCTTAATTAAAAGCCAAATACTTATAATGCTGGCAATATATTAAGTTAAAGATTTTATTCAAAATCGAATTTAAGCAATTTCAAGTGAATCCATTTGGCCAAAAAGCAGACTTAATTGGTCCTCTGTGGCCAGAGGCATCTAACTCAATCACAGGCTGGCAGAACTTTGGCCGCTCCTAAATATTTAATGTCAACTATGATTAGTGAAGCCTCAAAATGTTGTGGGTTGTCGGTTGTGGTCGGAGGGCTTTGGCCATGTGAGTGGTTGGCCGGATAAATGGCTGTTTGGTGGCCAAATGGATGAGTCTTCACAAAAGCCCAGCCAACGGTCAGCTGAGCAAACTGAAATCCTTTCAACGCGAATTGCTTTCAGAGGAGCAGGAGCAGGAGAAGGAGAAGGAACTGGGGCAGGAGGATCCCCTTCGCCCGCATTAGTCCTATAAGCCGCAGGAATGGGCAGAAGGCCATTAGTTGGCCCCCGAAAAGCGGCCTTTAAAGATCCAGGCAGGCGTGAACGAACGGGGATCTTTAAACGAATGCGAATAAGTAATAAGAGGGCGCCGTATGCTCCGTATGTCCAGTGCTCCTCCACAGTGCTGTCATGCATCAAAACATTTAATTAAATTGAAACCGATGCGGCATCCGCCCCACTGCTGACGTCTTTTCCCGGACATTGGACGGTGGGTGGTGGACGGGAAGGAGGATGTGGAGGGCAGGTCCTTTGGCGCCGGAGACGTGTGTAACTTCGGCTTTCTGCTTTCAGCTGGACACTATCTCCGTCCTATATGAATTTAAATGAAGGCAGGGCAGTCCTCCGAAGTCCGTGAATCATGTACATATTTTAGCGGTGCCTCTGTCCTTCTGCCTTTATGCAGCTCCATTGAACTATGCAGTGTCCTTGGCAGGACATGGCACCCCAGGGGTTTTCCCCTCAAATAAATGGGTTAATTTGAAGGTATTGTTCGTAAACACGAGCATAAAACTACACATTCCCCCCACTCACGTGCCCAATTTATTCACATGGAAACTTTGAATATCTAATCTAGAATTTTGTTACACAATTTTGGCAATGGCTGAAGGTTATGCGAATAAAAATTGCTACAATGTTATTTTGGTTTCTCTTAAAAAGGCATTTTAAAACTTACTTACCATAGTTGTCAGGCATTTTCTTCAAGATTTTCATACATTTTCCACTGAAATTGAATAAAATTTATCAGAAATGAAATCAAGCCAAGCATCGGTTGATGTTCCGAGTGAGGACTTTATCAACTACTCAACTTTTAAATAAAATTATAATAGCTTCAGTTGAGGAGTCGTTCAGTGGGGAGCAGCAATGCAAATCAGGAATGAAATAAACTCAAATTCCCCCTTGGCCCCGCTCCTGGACCTCGTCCAGTTTCCACACCGAGCAGATCTGATGAAAGAGATGATTGAAATGGGAGCGGAGGATGACATGGAGAGCCAAGTGGGGAATCGCCGGAGAGTCTGTCTCCGCTTTGTTCCTCAATTTACACATAATTGCAATAAATTGACTAAGTGGGTGCTGGGGCACTGAATTTATTGTAGTCCAAGTCCAGAGCTCCAGACATTTGGGCGGAACTGCACCCGGTTATTTTCTCTGGTGCCTTCTCCACTTCGGATTGTTATGCATGGCACACTGATAGACTCCGGCTGATAAGATAAGACATTGAAATGCCCGGCCACTCCGCCCTCGACTCACCTGTTTGCTCTGGTTTATGTCCACTGCTGGTGGTAATTGGTAATGGTGGGACAAAGGCGATTGCCCGTACAACAGGGCGTATGGGCATTGTGAGTGGAGAGACGAGGGCCGAAAGTATTTCTTGCAATCACTGCCATGGCTTTTGTGGCTTCTTTATGACCGAGAAAAATGGCCTTAAATGGCACATAATACTTAGGATATGAGCATGTGGACCTTGGTCACCTTTAATTTCCCAGAAATTTCTGCAGAAGGTAAAAGAATTTAATTTCCACATTGGCACGAGCATTTGAGCAAAGCTGATTCATTTGCAAATATTTCTAATGCCTGTTATCTGTTATTGGCCATCCGAGTTTAAAGGCAAATAAACCCAAATCGGTTCAGTAATTTGGTTCGAAGAAGCAACTTGTCCTGCCTCAACACTCTCGATTCGCTTCCAAGTACGCACATTTCTCGTGTTTATATTGTATTTTAGCGCTTTTATCACCGGGTTTATTTATATTTTAAAGGGGATTGTTTAATTTCTGTAGGTGTGTAGGTGTGTAGGTGCCTCTTCTGCCTGTTTTTCGGTAGGTGCGAAAGATAAATCCAGTTCGCAAATGAATTCTTGCCGCCAGCATTGTGCGGAGCTCATTAAACAATCATTTTGATGAATTTTACTTCGCCCGGGCGCCGAGATTCGGGAATCCGACGGAGGAGCCTCCAGCGCATGTGGCCAATTTGCAGCCCCATATATTTAATGCTCATTTTGTGCTTAATTGTTTCGCCAGTGTGTGCTTGTGGGGAAATTAAAAACGCTCGTTTAAGCCAGCAAAAGGCGTTGGTAATTACAATCCAAGTTCACTTCCAACACACCTCCTCTCTCTGCCAGAATATCGTGCTTATTACGTTTCGGTTCGGGCCTTTATGCTGCTGGCCCTGCTCGTATTTTTGTTTTTTAATAAATTGTTTTAGAAATTCACTACAGGCCGGGCGGCAGGAAGTGAAAGTCCTGCGAATGTGGACCGACATGCCACGCGGGGGGAGTGGTGAGGGAGTGAAAAACTGAAAGAGGCGGGCGAGGCACTAGGACAGCGGCCCAACTCTTATTGACATACATATGTAGTGGCACACACACAAGCTAATGCAGAGAAATAAATAATTTTTCTCTTTCTTAAATGATTTTCCATCAAATTTTAGAGCATCTTAGACCTATAATAATGCCTCTATTAAAAGTGTTTTAAAAAATATGCCAAAAGAGTAGAAACAGTTGTTAGTAGTACAGTAAAAATAATAAATATAGCCTGATATCTGCTAGAAAAACTACCACCAGTTAAAGTAGCTTTTCTCCCAGTGCACTCCTAAGGGACTGGGCTGTCCACATAGACCCGCACTGTTGCTGCAGCCACACACTCCCACTCCCTCACCCAACAGTGCCACCCACCCACCGACCAACTTACAAAGACCCACCGACTAAACTCGTCTTTATTTCTCTGGGTTGTGTGCCAGCGAGTGTGCCTCCCTGTACTTGACTTGTCAAACACAAAAAAGAGAATCTGCCGAGGGAGAGCGGGACAGAGGAGCCCGGACCTTTTATTCTCGGTCGTAATGAACGCTGCATGTGCTTTCCACGCTTCTACAAAATATGTGGAATGTTGTAAGCAGCACTGGCGAGTCGAAGGTCCACAGGGAATTGCTTTATTTCCACAAAAAACTAGCTCGGATTTTTTCACACAATCAATATCGAACAAGGAACAGTTTTATTAAACTTTTTTAAATAGTATTTGCTAGTTTTAATAGCAATTTATGGAGCAATTTATTAAATAGAAACTGCAAACTTTGTTTTAAAGTTAAACAATCCCCCCTTGGAACAAGGAGGTCCACAGTTCGGCATGGCCCTCTTCAAAGTGCCTACCCTGACTTCTTGAAAAGCCCGACGGTGTCTGGGGCACTTCGCGTTGCAACTACTAAGCTGCCAGCTCGCGTTGCCTATCTGGGTTTGATTTGATACACAAAGACCTAGAGGAGGGTATGGCAAAACAATTGCGAGCCAGCGCGACAAATTCGCTTAGAACTTTACAGCTCGGCCGCTTAAGCTGATGGCACAACACGGCGTATACGCAACCCGCACACAATTTTCCACTGCATCAGCACTTTCCATCACTTTCGGTGGCTGCCCAACGGAACGTGACAGTTTGGCCATTTTTCAAGTTCACTGGAATTCCGGGCACAAAAATGCGAATCTAATTTTTTGCGATTATTGCAGAAAACGCAATTTGAACGGACATCAGTCAAAAAGACCCCCGGAACATTAATCAACCCGAAAAAGGGAGCCCAAGTTCTGGATGGTCGAACATTTTGCAGGCTATATATATTATATATTTTTCCAAATATTTGCTCTCATCGAACGTTTATTTTGGGGGGCGTGAAACGATCTGCCAATTATGGTGAACATTCTGTTTGAAGATTGTTTGCCTTTCATTAAGACTGCATCACTTGCACTTCAGTTGCCAGTCCGAAGACCAAGACGATAGCCACAGCCACAACCCCAAACCCAACCAGAACCAACTTATTAATTTGTCTGTGGCATATGCTTTGTTTTGTCTATTTGCAGTCATTATTTGTAATCATTTCCTCGGCAGACAGGCTGCCGGCAATTGATTTCTGCCCGCCTCGATGTTTGTTTAATAGCTTTCGATGCATCTACTCCGGGGGAACGGGCTGCATCTTTGTTTCCTGGGGTACTGAGGCACACTATTGACTTGACTGATAAAGTGTTATTCAGAGGCATAAACTGGTGCACAGTGAGAAAAGTTGTACTCTCTGATGGAATACTAATAGATTCCTTAACTTGAAAAAGTAGTTTCTTATTTACAAAAATATGTATATTAACTTCTGAGGTCACCGGAATGGGAGTGCATTATCCTGGGAGTACAAATATTTCTTTGGCTCATACCTTTTACTCCGTCTGGGTAAACACAGTTCAGTTTCTGCCACCACAGCTGGCTAGCGACAAAGTATGAATGCCTGCAAAGTAATAAAAAAAGGCCTTGAAGGAAAATAAAGCAGCTACTCGGATTATCGTTTTGTTAAACTTCAAGTGACGCGACTAGCCGTCGCAATTATCTCGGGCTGCCAAGGACAGATCTCTGGCATAATTGAAGGACGACCCAGTGGCTCCCAAGAAGTGACCTTTCCTCCACTCCACCTGGCCTTTCGCCACGGACCACGGCAAAGAGAAGGTTTACTGTCGTTTTGAAACAATTGTTTGCGAGTCATCAGACACTCGAAAGCCAGGTTGGATCTAGCTCGGGGGACGCATAAAAAGAAATAGCTCCTCTGGGTTTTTTTCAATTGGGTTTGAGCTATTTCTGGCCAAATAATGACGCACGAGTCCAAAGGCAATAACGTTTTTATTAAAGGTTTAGGGTCATCCATCAACAATTGTAGGAAATGTCGTTTATTTGGCGGTTTAAGTAATCACTTTATTATTAATAGTCTGTCGTGCTTAGTTACTCAATGAATATAATGTTAGATTTGATAAATAAACACTGAATAAAGGTCATAAGAAATCTTTAATAACTAATTGTAAGGCGAAATAACAAAGTCTCATACAAAAATGTTTTTAATTAAGCAGCTTTGCTCGCATTTCCGATTGCTGTTCAATAACGTTTGGAGTCACATTATTCAGCAAACTTTCGCCTTGGACAAATCACCGACATTTAGCGCTGCCAAAGTTTCCAAGGTATCGGAGCCACTAATGGCCACCACTTCTCGGTCTCGTCAAGAGGCACACTTGCAGAACTTTGATGTAAGGGAAGTCCTAAGTCAGATTATTCAAAGAACTAGAAACAAACCACAGAAAAGTTGTACAGAAAATCAGAAGATAGGGCGAGAATGAGTCACGTACCAAAAAATGAAACAAAATCAAGAAGAAAAATCAAAATCGATATGAATACCTTGCCCGGGCACGTAGGAATGTGAAAAGTTTTCACTGTAAATGAGCATCAAAAGCTTTGTCCCAAGCAACAGCAAACACGAGGCCAACAAAGATCACAAAACAAAATAAAACATCCCAGAAATGAAATTAGATGGTCTTGTTACCGTTTCCTTTGCATTTTTCAGGTCGAGGAGTTGGCAAATGGAAAGCAAATAAGGAAAGGCAAAGGGATACGCAACATTAACTCGGAAATCCCTCTGCCAGGGCAAAGACAAAAGGAAAGAGAAAGACTCCAGCCATGGAGAACCACAGTGACTTCGAGGCGGATGATTACTCCGACCTGAGCTGGACCAACTGGAGCAACGGAAGCACCCCCGCGGCTGTTCTCTACTCGGCCATGAGCAGTATCCTCACGGTGACCAACCACACGCCCCTCTCTGATTTCGACCAGGACCTCGGCCTGTCCACCAGCTCCTTCAATCACAGCCAAACGTGAGTTGACCCCACTTCCCTTCTAATGCTTAATTATGACACAAATTCAATTAATTCCCAAACTCACGCACGAGCAGAGTTATCATGGGAGTGGCTAGAGGGGGGCTTTAGCTTAAAGGGGGGCTTCGAAATCTATTACTTTGAAAATTAAAAAGTATATGTAAATGTTCGCCCATTCAGATTATAAGTAAATACCAACTCAAAAAGGGGAACCCAAGCCCCAACCCACTTCACTGCACCACAAAAACCGACTAACTCCTAGATTTCGTGGCTTTTTGATGAGTCCTGATGAGTCCGCCCCCGCCAACGCACCAGTTTTATTGTGCCCACACCGACATGCATCTCTAATGACGCCTCCGTTCAGTCATTCCGCCATTCAGTCATTCATTCATGCGTTTCCGTTGAGTCCGCTCGACGCTGGTTCTTCACTTCCGTTTCAAATCCATATTACGCCGGAGAAAGCAAACACATTTAATGCTGAGATACTTACTATATATACGTTTGTACTCGGAAAAAAGCGAAGGGGAGCCCTCAAACTGCCACCGTTTATGCTCCTCCATGGCATTCAATTCTATTCTCTCCGGCTGAAAAAGCGTCGGCACTTTTTGCAGACATGTCCCAAATTTACTGCCCTACCAGCAGCAGCAGCAGCAGCAGCAGTGAATGGGGTTGTGCGACAGTCGAACTGGGATAATTATTGGTATATGGCTGCGTCTGACGCATCGAAAACACATTTTGCGAGTGACTCTCCTTTTTTGCAAGCCCACATCGGCTATATATCCTTCAGGCAGTGCTCAACACTCAATCCTGGTATCATATTGGCTGCTGCTGCTGCTGTTGCTGCTACATTTCCCATTGCTCTTTTTTCCCCAGATTTCTATTTGTTTGCTCAGACACTACGTCCGATTTATGTGCAAATAAAAGGAAACCCAGTTGGCCAGGAGTTGGGAGGACGAAGGACATGCTCCCCGGCATGCTTTTCGGCACAAAAGAATTCGTGCATCAAAGCAAAAAAAAAAAACATATTTGTACACTTTTCACTGAAGTGGCACAATAACAATTTTATTTGCCGAAACTGTCCGCATTCCCATAACAACTAATAACAAGAGACTTAGGTTAATTGATATCAAAAAACTGTCATATTCTATTTTTGGTTTTATATTTATTTACTTTGAAAAATAGTTAAGAGACAAAGGAAGAATAGTTTATTTTTAAGTGGCTTAGCAAGCATAGTTGTTCTATAAAATCTTTAGTTTAAGAAGAGAAGAGAAATATATTTATTTTATGGAAGATAAACTCCCCTCACAGATATTCCTCTTCCACAGTACATCTTTACTATTTAAACCTCAACATCAATATCAACATCAACAAGGGTTTGAGCTCTGAGAGGGAAAAACATCAGAATAGTAGCAACATTTTTTGTACATTTTGCCATGACATTTTCTTTGGCCTGAGGCATCATGAATTTGCTTCTCTGACTCTTCTATTTTCCTGCTGCTGTTTCTGCTGTTTTTCCACCCAGCCACTTCCCCTTCGAAGGCCTAGTCAAAACACCCCCTCAGAACAAATCAATAATCCTCTTCGCATTAGGCCCTCGAACAAAAGAGATTTTATGTAAATCCCCGCAGTTCGTCATGCGAAAAGGGGTGTGTGTGTGCGAGTGTGCGGGTGTGTTTGTGTGTAAAGTGAGAATTACTTATGTGGGCATCTTTTTAATTGCTGTGAAGAGTGAATAAACAGAGCATTAATGACTACCTAGCCAATTTACTACTACTGCCATCTCCGGCACACTGCGTGCATATTAAATGACGTGGGTGGTGTCCGTCCTGCTGGGATCTAGGGTCACAAATCCGCTGGAGAGGATTTCAGAACCTCCCAGACCCGCTCTTTAAACATCCTATCCTAGAAGTGAACCTAAATAAACAAGAAGGGCCTGACAAAATATTAAAAAGATGACGACAACCGCTGATGAGTGAGTGGAGTCCCCTGCCCTCCGGCTGAACCCGAGCCCGATGTTTTATGTGGCAGACGGCGCTGGAGAAAAACACGGATTTGTCAACGCACGCACAATTACACACGCTTAATAGCGACAACATCCTGGAGTCGCACATATAGCTACACAGAGAGAAAGATTTTGTAGAAGGGCTTAAGCAGTTGAGTTTTTTCATACTAGAAATATGACAAAAACTGAGTCAGTTTTCATAATTATACTTAATGAATATCCCATATATTATTTTGGCACTTTTCTCCCAGTGCACATCTGCTTGTAAGCCGAAAGCACCCATTCGCATGCTTACATAGACACATCACCCACTTGGCACTCGTTTATGGCGGAGCGGTGGGACGCCGTGAAACATAACACACACTTAATCTCGATGTCACTAATTCCCCATTGTACCCCTGTACATTCTCATCCACAGCCTATCCACCGACCTGCCCGCCACCCTCGACGCCGGGGATGCGACCAAGGATGCGGCGGCGTCCATGGAGACGGGCTCGTTTGCATTTGTGGTCCCGTGGTGGCGTCAGGTGCTGTGGAGCATCCTCTTCGGCGGCATGGTCATTGTGGCGACGGGTGGAAACCTGATTGTTGTCTGGATCGTGATAACGACCAAGCGGATGCGGACGGTAACCAACTATTTCATAGGTGAGTAGGCTGATTTACCTGCCAGCCAGGTGTATGTTTTTTGTGTGCAAACGTTGCGTATACGCAATAAAAATCACTCATACGCCGTGTTGGCCGTCTGAGTTTAGCTTGTAAGCTAAATATTTGCTCGCTTAGTCAGTGTTTAGATATTTTTGTGAAACTGATAGGCAGTGAACCTTAACAAGAGGGTACTTTATCAGCTATTTACTGGCTTTATTGATTTTTGCTTTAAAATATTTTTCATTTTCACATTTTTCCCCCAATTAGGAAGTAGCTTTTCCCCTTTAGTTTGTCCAGTCGACGAGCTCTTGTCAGTCCGAAGGGTTTGTTTAAGTCTTCTCTCGGGAAACAGAAGGGGGGATTACCCATTTATGGCAGGTGCACCGTGGGGCGCGTAAAGAGCATCTCAATTGGATGCTGCCCCGTCGTCCTCAGCTGCATTTTGCCTGCTGCCCTGTTGCACCTCGCAGATATTAACTTTACAACCCCTCCGACTTCCAACGTCGCCAATTGCGACTAAGTGGAGGCGAAGCGCAGCGCCCGGATGGTATTTATTTTAATTTCCTCTGCTTTGGGCATCAAATCAAGTTATGAAGTTTGCCTCTGAGTCCGAAGACTGAGCTCGGCTTCCATTAATTGAATATGCTTTTAGTCACGTTTCAGAGTGCATTAAATTTGCATTCACTCTGAACTCATCCGACTCATGCACACACTAATCACACTTTTAATAATTTAAATTCAGGCTTAGAGCTGCCTCAGCTCGTTGAGTTCAGCTCCCAAAAGTTTTGGCAAAAGTTTTTCGCCTTAATGACATTACCGACAACCGCCATTCAGCAGCCAAGAATGGGTTCACCCACTTTGGAATAACCATTTGGCTACCTGATTGCCAGCTTTATGCATGCGCAATTATTTTAATATAATACCCAGGCTACTCAGGACAGAAGGCAATGAAATGAACCTGGAATTGATTCCGTTTATTCCGGGCTTACCACTAATCCGGCTCTTCTGTGTTCGACGATCCCCTCCAGCCTCCAGACTCCAGACTCAACAAACAACAATGGCTGAGGCACAATGTTGGCCACGAGACTGGCATCCTCCACATTCCTTTGTCTGACTTGGTAATGATTATTATTATTACGTAAACTAAATGCCCGTTGAGCTCGCTGGCTTTGGCAAGGCATTTCGAATTTGCATTTATAAATACACATTGGCAATCATTATTAGTAACAAGTTCTGACGTTTTAATCATTTTCGGGCACCGAAATTTCAAATTCACATCACAGACATCTGGAACAGCTCCTCGTCTGGGTGTGGGCTTAGGGGGAAGCCAGTCACCGGATGATAATCTTCTTTGGGTTCATTATCAATGCGTATTTGCATCTTTTGTTTGAGTTCGTCGGTTAGAGTAGCGTTCTAGAGTCCTTTGACTTTCTCATTTAAGAGGTATAAGGGAAGGATTCTCCTTTAACTTTACTAAAAATTAAGTTTAAGTTACACTTTTTTAGGCTAAGTACCATAGATAAAAGATTGTTTGGCTTGCTTAGGGTACGAATATGAAATAAAATTCTTCAAGATACTTTGAGTTTTCTATATACTTTATGATTTGCCTACTATCTCCCGGAGAGAGTACCCCCTGTAAAGACTGTGAGCCAGAAAAGTAACATTTTGTTATTAATTAAAATGGGCCAGAATCGATATTTGGGAACGTGGCTGACAGGTCCAGGTCCCGGGGCCTAGGGAGGCCAGATAGCTGTACGGCTGTGAAGCTATAGTCAATGGCCCCGGGAGCCAGGTCGATTGTTAGAATGCGACACGTCGCCTCGTGTCGTGTTGTAGGCGTCGCAAGGACTCGCAGGACACGCAGGACTCGCAGGAATAACATGAGGACACGGGCTAATGTTCGGCGACAGGACATTTGTTTTGTTGTAGGTGCTGTGGGTTCCGAGATGCTTTTTATTCTCCGGCACTTCGTCGTGGCCTTATCTCCGGCAGATAATGAAAAGTAAACAAAGACGGACGGACTTTTCTTTTCCAGCGCTTCCATTTTCTTTTCTTGGCCCTGTCATTGTCTATGGCTGCTGATTCATTGGCATGTAAATCGGGCCATGCAAACGAAACACAATAAAAGTATATATATATCTATATATATTTTATGTTTCCTGTTGATTTTGGCACAAATATGCGGGTGAAAGTGCACTTTATTCCTCTGTAATTACAAATGAGCAGCGCATAAATATAAAAGGTAAGTCGAGCTGACGGCTGTGTTTTAATATTTTTTCGGGGGCCTCGAAGGTTGCGTAATTACAAAAATTCTTTGCTGTTTGTTTTGCATAATTTGTTTGCCTCTGCCACTCGACCTGATAAGAATGATTACCCATCTCTGCCTTTTCCGGTTGGCCACTCCAGTGAATCTCTCCATCGCGGACGCCATGGTTTCCAGCCTGAACGTCACCTTCAACTACTACTACATGCTGGACAGCGACTGGCCCTTCGGCGAGTTCTACTGCAAGTTGTCCCAGTTCATCGCCATGCTGAGCATCTGCGCCTCCGTGTTCACCCTGATGGCCATCTCCATCGACAGGTGAGTGGCTGGGGGGATTATGTACTCTACACCTCATATGCATATGCATATGGAATGAACAGACCTCCAACCTATTCCCATCGACCTATCGAGACCCTTATCAATCACGGTCAAAGGCACAGGCCAAATAACCCATTCGTTTTAATAGGATTTCACGGGGCTGCGGAGCTGGGAACACAATTGGATTGCCCGTCACAAGGATCAAAATAAAAACCCATCAAAAAACGTGTTCTGCAAAGTACATAAATAAATAATGTTCCGCCTACTTAGGCCAAAGCATTTATTGATGATTCATCTCTGTGAAATATCGAGGGCCAAGCGTATTATTCTGTCTAGTAAACAAAATATCCGACAAATAACTTGAAAGATTGTAAATAATTTCTTAGATGCTCGGTGATAATTGGTAAGGGAGAGTCATCCCTGTCGTATTCATCGAGATGTATTGTCTGGTAAACAAATTAGCTGGCATCCGAATATAAAAGCTTAATGTTTATAAATAATTCTGGATTCGATCTGTTCTAAATATTTATTGAAGATTTATCTGTTAATGTTCGAAGTCGTAAATTAAATACACTGTCGAGTCCTGAACATTGTATTTGCAATATAAAAGTTGAACCCAAAACATTAACAAATTGAAAATCTTAAACGACTTCTGAAGTTACGCCTGATATTTATGGAATATGTATCCATTCATCTTAAGCCCTAGCCAAACATAATATAACATAACAATTTACAAAGTCCCTTAAAAGTAAGGCAATAAATTATGTGTCAGGCAAACCAATCAGTGAAAATTAATGTATTGGAAATTGTTAGAGAATAAATTTAGTAAATTTGTTGTTAGGACATAAATTAAAGTAATGCCAGGACAAAAAACACAGAAAACACATATAAATAATGTTTCTAGAACGGAGCAGTCATCAAAAATGAATCCATTTGATATCCTTAAACGCGGAAAAGTAATCTATTTAAAATCCAGCAAGCACAAGGACATCATCATGCATGTAATTCTATTCCAAAACATAATGCCATCCGGCAGCTATTAGGTCTCCTATAAACTCCCTTAATGACTGCAACTTTTAATGGCATGCCGTGATCCGATGAATAACGGAGCACCAGCCAGGCCAAAATTCAGGGGATTAAATTACTTTCGGGCTTTGGCGCGCTTTCGCAGGAGCGTTCCATTTAATTCCATTTTGCGGGTTTTTTTTTTGGGGTCACCTCGTGCATTTCGATAATCAGCTTATGCTCGCTCCTCTGGCCCTTTTTCCGGGGAAAACTTCCTTTTTTTTTTGGAGAGCAGCAAGTGCTGTGCTGAAATGGTTTTAAAACTGCACCTCACATTGCTGTTGCAGGTATGTGGCCATCATCAGGCCGCTCCAGCCGCGAATGAGCAAGCGTTGCAATCTGGCCATCGCGGCGATCATCTGGCTGGCCTCCACGCTCATCTCCTGCCCCATGATGATCATCTACCGGACAGAGGAGGTGCCCGTCCAGGGAAACAGCAACAGGACCGTCTGCTATCCGGAGTGGCCCGATGGCCCAACGAATCATTCGAGAATGGAGTCCTAGTGAGTATCCTTTATCCTTTCCAGCGCAAAATGCAAACATCGAGTGCTCAGCTGAGCTCAGTCCAATTTATGAGACTTTATGTTGCCGGAGAATGTTAGCCAATGGCATTGCAGCAAGGACAAAGGAACTCTTTTGTCAATACAGAGAGAGATAATCTAGCCAGTAACATTTTTGCCAAGGATTGTAGGTCACATTCCCTAGTTGGTTTTTCTAAGAACCAAAAGGATGACTTGGGTTGATGGGGAAACTATTGCTAGAAAATTAAAGAAAATATTCGATTGATTTAGATTAATACGCTCGAAGAGATTTCCAAAGTGCAATGGAAATCGGCACGCTTTTCCTCGCCAGCGAGATGGAGGTATAAATCAAGGAATCATCCAAACTGGCGACTGCACATGCAGGGCCAATCGCCATCCGGATCTGTAGTGGGACGTGGGGATTATGGGGGATAGGGTCGTAAAAGCGGACATTCGGAGACAAAACTGAACCAAGACGTTATCATAAAAAAACGAATGGTAGACTGTGTGGGAGGGTGGGAAGTGAAGGTTGAATGGCTGGGGGGCAAATCAGGAAGAGGGCCGTATGAAACGTGTTGCTTTTTACAACCATTTTGTACGGCAATTTGGTAGCAGTGGGTGTCCTGCGTCCTACGTCCCCTGCCCCCCCAGTACCATCCATTGTGTCCCACATGCAAGGCCATTAATTTTAGATTCATTCCAAATTGCTACTTGCTCAATAAAAAATAAAACAAAAGCCGAAGGCAGCAACAATGTCCGATGGAGCGATAGGGCTTTAAAAGCATTGCTCACTAACTGAAAGGCTTGTAAACATGCTGTTTGATCCATGTCCTATTTGCGCCCCTTTGTCTTTCAGCTACAACATCCTCATCATGGTTTTAACGTACTTCCTGCCCATCGTTTCGATGACGGTCACCTACTCGCGTGTCGGCATCGAGCTCTGGGGATCGAAGACCATTGGCGAGTGCACGCCCCGCCAGGTGGAGAATGTGCGGAGTAAGCGGAGGGTAAGTCCTGATTGCTGACTCCATGTGGGCACCGCAATTAGCACTTGGTTTGCTGGAAGCCAGATTGTCATCTCAGTCATGTCTAATTTGACCTTTGACTTTAATCCATAAAATCCTTTGGCTTAAAATTAGTTTTGAGCTGGTTTTATTACTATTCTTTACTTAACTTAACTGCTTAAATTTCAGTTTACTATTTATTGCTTTTGGTTAAACTTTTGTTTAGAGTAGCAAGCTGCGTTTTGATTAACTTTACCTGCAGTTTGCGAAGTACAGAATTCACAAAAGTTTCCTGGGAAAGTGTTTTCCCAGAATAACATATTAAGGTTTCAGATTTCACTTTTAAGATTTCAACGAAATTTATTAAATAAACAAAAGTTGAATACCAGTAAGAGCTGGTAACCTTTTGCTGACCTAATTTTATGTTCCTACTTATAAACTAATGGCCTTTAGCTCTTACATAAATGTCAAACCAACTACATGTACTTCATCATCTAACCATATAATTTCCGTCGTTTCCTTAGGTGGTGAAGATGATGATAGTGGTCGTCCTGATATTTGCCATCTGCTGGCTGCCGTTCCACAGCTACTTCATCATCACTTCTTGTTACCCGGCCATTACCGAGGCACCCTTCATCCAGGAGCTCTACCTGGCCATCTACTGGCTGGCCATGAGCAACTCCATGTACAATCCCATTATCTACTGCTGGATGAATTCGCGGTGAGTAGCTGAATCGATTGCCACTTTATTCAGTTCCATCCTCCATGTTCATGTGGTTGCTTTAACCCGCAACAAATTGGGTAATTTGCGGTTGAATTAGCACCATTAGGGCACTAAGTGCAGTGGCATTCGAGACTTCGACATCCCAATGGCAATGGCTTCGTCGACAGATTAGTTGATTGGTTAGCCGACTCCCCGGAAATTAATGTGCTCGTCATCATTACTGCAAGGACGCCAGGCAAACTGCTCCCCTGGTTAGTGGCTGTCACTGTCTCGCACTTTGAATATAGTTTGTAAATATATGACAACATGATTCCGGAAAAGTGCCACACAGCTGTGGTCCCCATAAAGGCACACTCTTTGTCAAGTATTTAAGGTCTGTTTAAGGCCAAGCTTAAATTTTACTGAGCAGAACAAAAAGACAAGAACAAGTTGAGTAAATAAATGTTTGGGAAGCATTTCAAAAATCAGTTAAAATACAAATTCCAATACCTATTTTTATGACTACTGTTGTGGGTGTCAAAATATACACGTACACACATCCGGGACTTAAACAAAAGGCGTTGCTAACACACATATTGCCGTACAAATTGGCATTCGGTGTTCGTGCGTCCGTATCCGGAAAAACGTAGCGGATTGCAATTAATTCCGCTCAGTCAGCGGATATCTGACTGATGGGGAAACGCTGGCCTGGAACGGAGTCGGATAATGGGGCTGCTACGTGGAATAAAAAACGCTGTGGCCAGCACGTGAGACCCGATGCCTAGGATCACGGGCAGCTCCTGTCAATTGATGGCGCCCCATATGCAAATGATGACGACAACGAGGACATCGAAGGTCCTTACTTATATTTACTACCCATAGGGAACACGGAGATATTAAGTTGCCGCGATGGCCCGTAAAAAACACTCCCGTACGCCATAGATTATATGAGTAACTGGTGTCTAGGTCGAGGTGTACAGGGGAGACTATTGAAGGTAGCCTGGAAAGGCTGCTCATAAATAAAACCAAATGACTTATTTCAGGGATAGCCAGCATTGTTATCCATAAATAATGGATTACTTCGGCGACTTTAGTACATCTTTTATTGATCCTTAAAAGTGTAATAGAATACTAGAATACTTTTTCTAGCAAAAAGGAAACGAAATTACTTTGGTTTTTTTTCTCTGTATACTGTCAGCTTTCGCTACGGTTTCAAGATGGTTTTCCGCTGGTGTCTGTTTGTGCGAGTGGGAACGGAGCCCTTCAGTCGGCGGGAGAACTTGACGTCCCGGTACTCCTGCTCTGGCTCTCCGGATCACAATCGCATCAAGCGCAATGGTAAGCTGGAGCACTCCTAATTGACACAAAAGGGATGGCACGCTAATGAGTCTTTCGCATTGATAGATACCCAGAAATCGATACTTTACACCTGCCCCAGCTCACCGAAATCGCATCGAATTTCGCACGGCGGTGAGTTGCAAACCAAACCCTCGATAAGTGGATAAGAAGGGTTGCCATCTAATAGAGTTTTCTCAACATCCAATTCTCAGGAACGCCCCGTAGTGCGACCTTGAGGAATAGTCTGCCGGCGGAGTCCCAGTCATCCGGCGGAGGGCATAGGAAGAGGATGTCCTATCAGCAGGAACTGCAGCAACGGTGGTCAGGACCTAATAGTGCCATCAATTCCAGCAGTACGGCCCACACTACCCAACTGCTTTCCTGACAGCCGGCCATCCAGGTGGTGCCGCCGGAGAGCGTGGAGATGCAAGCCCAGGTGGTCTGCTCCTCCCCGTACAACAACAACTACAGGCGGGCCAATCCTGGCATCTCCGATCGGGATTCGTCCGATGACAAAACCTGGCTCTAAGCTATTTTAAGGTCTCGAATTTATACTTTTACAAAGGTTTGAATTTCTGGCTTAAATTCAATTCGTTCTGTAAGAAACCAAAGCTAAGTTAGGATAAATCCTCGCCCTCGAACATATCAGATGTAACAGGGTCACCGACGCAGAGGGACCCACTAATTGGGTATTTTCCATGAGAAATAACCAAAAGTATATCTGCATCGCTTAAGGAAACTCAATACTTTGTTGAATTTAAGCGGGAAAGGTTGTTTGTTCGGACAGGGAGAGACGAAATCTAAATGCTATTAAACATTTTCGCATCATTAGGCCACTGATCCATTTGAGTCACTGTAAATATTCGGGTTGGTTCCTAAAAACTGTTTTTAATCCTTAATTCTCAATGCTTACGGCTGCTTGCTTAAGTTGTAACAAATAAATAAATAAACAAATGACTATGGATGTGAATGTACGTGTAAATATAAATGTCTGAATATACCATAAACGTTATTGCGAATAAAGCGACTTGCTCCATCACCGAGTTGTTCTTAGTTGTGCGAGTTGGTATTGGGTTTCCGGGTGCACAAATAGGACTGTCAACATCCTAGAATGACTACGGCAGCGGCTCTGTTTATTCAGCTATTCCATCCATATTATATTCGGAGTGTGAATGGGGATCGGGGATCAGGGAGTGGGCACCGACAGGAGTGGCAAACACTCTTGCGAAATCTAGAGAACCTCCAGCGAGGGTGCAAGACGAATTTAAATATGAATAATCCAACTGCCTAGGGCGTCTGAATAAAGGTCTGACTGCGAACGTATTCGAATGCACATGTGCCAGTGTGTCTATGTCTGTGCGAGTTATGCCCCCAAGTCATATTTCCCGGCTGGCTTATCAATTTTTTATCAGTAACCATTTTAGAGAAAATTGCATTTGATTTTTTTATTTTATGTTCTCGATGTAAGCACTTCCTCGTCCCCTAACCACCGGAGCATGAACAAATTTCCATCACCGGGGCGAAGCCCTCAACTCACTTATGTAATTCCACGCCGCTTTATTCGAATAAGTTATGAATTATTCTGAATACCTGTCATGTTGGAGTAGATATATAGGGTATTTCCCAGCCTTTAATAAATATGCCTTTCAACAGCGCGTGCTGAAACCTCCGGAGGATTGGTTTCACAGTATTTGCATTAGCGAAAGGCATACGACTTCCCACTTTGACCAGATATACTTAAATACTTTGCTTTCCCATTTCAATATGAGTTCTCTGAAAAGGTTTTAAGCACATCCTCATGTGATGGCGACAGGAACTTGCAGAAAGGTTTTCTGCAGCATGGGCGTCGCCTTGGGTGGGTTTACTCAAGGGGCAACGAGTTTCGCTGACCCCGATTGTTTTCTTTTTAACTTTTCTTATGACCGATTAAACCCATGTTAGGATTTATAACTCATTATTTCAGCAAGTATGACAAACAAATCTTACAACTTTAGAGTGCCTTCGGTAAATTGCATTTTCAGCATAAAAAACTCATAATCTTTGTTGCGTAATGGCATACATTTCTGTTCTTTAGGCTTCCCCTTGTGATGGCTTATCAGCGTACTTAACTAAAAAGGCAAAACATAACATTTGTGGATTAGTTCTTAGCCGACTAATGACCACTAACCACTGACTTATCTTAATGGCACATACCAGCTTAAGCCCCCCTCTCCAGCGCCCCTGCTTCCAAGGGTAAAAACAAAACAAAATGGAAGGGATGTCGCCATAATGCACTGGTTGACGGCCTTGATGGCCGCCACTGCACATCTACGTATGCGTGATATTTACGAAATTTACTACCAAAGTCCTTTAAAAGCCGGTCGTTAGCCGGGCCCCAATCAAAGCCAGATGGGTTATATTGGTCAGGCCTCATTAACGAGGATCATCAGCTTCCGCGGGTGTGGTCCCTGATGGATGGAACAACAAGAAACGAAGAAGTCAAAGCCCACTTTTGAGAGCAAATCACAAGCAACAACCAAGGACCACACACATAATGCTAATGTGTGTCTGCCGCATAAATATGCGAGCTGAGACAAAAGGCGGAAGCGGACACAATAGGCTCAACTTTAGGGCCAGGAACAGTAGAGTCGTTAAATGCCCACCTTTTATAAACATAAAACAATAGACGTACAACGTACATTTGGCCCACGGAAACGGTGTGCAAATCTGTGTTGCTACCAGCTAGGGCATGGCGCCTTCCCCCCGAGACATGTCAAACACATAAAGAAGGCCAACGGGGATCCGGGGGCCTCAATAAGCGACCTGCACGGGCAAACTTGCGGATGCGGTGAGCCGACCACCAACCACCCATAATTGAATCTTTTGGTCGCGCACTGGCGCACATACAAGGCCAAATCCAGGCATCCAACCAGGAAGGAAAGCGAGAATACAGAGAACAAAAATTTAACATTTTCGTAGTCTTTCAAAATATTAAAATAAATTATGCGGAAATATTTGTCACTGATCATCTTTAAGTCGCATGTTAAATATTTTATTTTTCTACTTTTAAAAGGAATTAATGTAGCTTAGTAGTAGTTTTTTTTCAGTGTAGCAACAGCCAGGCAAATTATATTTAACTCGAAAAATAAGAAGCACTTTGAGTCTACGGTTTTGTGGGCGACAGGTTAATTTTTACAAGTTTCTCCAATTCCAATGGCTTTGCTTTAGCTGGATTTATCTGGCCCTGATTAAAATGCATCCGTATTCCAGCTGCAAGTTTTAAGACCCAATCTTGGCTTGTGGCTGGCTTTGGCTAATACCAATTGTATTGAATGGGATTTCGCGGAATTGGACAACAGGAAGAACACAACAGTAATAAAATGAAATGTAAGACATTCTGAAATATGTAAGTTATGCCTGATTTAGTAACTAACTTGTCTGTTAAAATAGATCGTACTTTTTAAATTTTTATTGCAAAAATGTAACAAAAAATGTCTTTTGATTTTTGGCATAAAATACACAGGATTCTAGGAATACTTTAGACTAATCCGAAAACATACGCACAGACGCATATTTACTATCAATGCTGTATCCGACTAATGACCTTTAGGTAGTGGATCAGGTGTTCACCTATATTGGGTTTAATATAGAAGATGCACTGCGACTGCCGCTGGATTCGGTCGTCGACATCCTGTTCATGCAGCTGGAGCAGATCACTCAACGAATCGTTGGCTATGCTTTGGAGTCGGGAGGCGTTCAGGAACTTCATGATGCGCTCATTGGTGTAGTTTAGTTGCTAAAAATAAGAGATTTTAAGTTGTTGAGAAACAATTAATTACTGAGCTATTACTCACCCCTTCAAAGTCATCCCTCCTCTCTGATTTCAGGCTCAAGTAAAGCTTCGAAAGATCATCGCGGTCTGCCACCACATCCACCTTGGAAACAGGAGAAGCGAAGGCCAGATCTTCACTGTCGGACTGCATGATGGCCAATACTGACGAAGTTAGGAACAGCAGGGCTGGGCGCAATTGCGTGCTGACCAGCAGGGTGACCTCACAGAAGAACAGCATTTGGTCATGGCTTAACTCTTCGGGCAGATAATGCCAAATGCGATAGGAACTTCCGTGTAGTGCACCGTTTTTCGAAAAACTAGGCTCCACCTGTTGAGGCATCGCATTAAATCCCACCGTGTGTAGGACACCTTGTCCCGTAAGAGCCAGCATTTCAGCTGCTCCACTGATGGGTTTCGTCAGGGCTCCAACTATGCCTTTGGTCAGGCCAGCAATGACACCAACAGAACTTCTTGCCTCAAGGGTATGATGAGCCAATCCGCCAACTGCGCCGAGTAAACTAATGCCTAGTCCAGTCAGACCTTGGGTCAGTCCATCGGCGAAGCCTTGGGGTCGAGCTCTTCGCCTGGCCTCTGTTAGTTCGATGTGCTCTGCGTCCAGAGTCAGCCTGTCCAGATTCCGAGCCACTGATCCAGCCAGTTTGGTAACGGAATTCACAGTTCCCGCAGTCACATTGCGCAGCAGAGAGGCCGAACCTTGGGTCACTCCTACTAGGAAGCCCCAGGGTCCGCGGAAGAGACCCTGAACCGGCATGGAGACAAAGTCTCGAAGGCCGGTGCTAAACGAGCGAGCCAGCCCACTGGGACTTCCCAAAATCTCCAATGAACCAACGACCCATCCGGCTCCGAAAATAGCACCGCTCAGATAGTGAAGTCCCAGAGATTGTCCGAAGCGGAGGGGAACGGTAAGGATCTGCTGACGTTCATAGCGCGAAAAGGAGAGGGGGGAGTGATCTAATGCTATGTAGAGCCGTGAGGAAGTATGGACGGATAGCAGAAGACTCAGGGGCTCTACCGTAAAACTATTAAGACGTAAGGGTTCCGATATATAAAATGACTGAGCCACAACTTGGTCAGGAAGAAGGGTCGTTCCGTCGGACAAAAGGATTTTATCCTGTTCCACGGGCGGACTGTACACACAATTAGAAGGTTCACACTCTACCAGTGCTTCCAGCAGTTGGTTCAGGTAGGCATCTTCGATATATACCCGAAACGGGGGTATCTCACATCGAACATTCTGTAATTGCATTTCATCTTGGTAGAAAGTAAATGTGAACTGAGAGACAGGAGTACGTTGGGCCTGCTGCTTATACACACAGTCCAGGTCGTACACCTGTGGCAGACTACAGTTGCGTTTGTACAATTTCTGAGCACAAAGCAGGACCGGAAAGTCATACTTCCCACTGGAGTACAACTGGTTATCCACCTGAAGATTTGGCAACTGCAAACGCAGTTCTCGCTGATCATCGTCGTCGTCATAGGCTAGCATTGAGTCATCAGCGTAGATATTACACACCTCCGTTTTTAAGTAGTCATTTTCCCGGTTGTCTGTCTGCAGGCTAAACACAAAGTTCTTGATGAAAATTTTGATCTTCGTGTGCCTTTTGGTGTCACACTCCTCGCTGAAATGGGCACATGCCACCATATCCGGCAAAGGATCTTTGACGGTGGCATCTTGTGCCGCCTCTTCGTCAGGTCCTAAAGGTCTTTGTTCCTGGGATGTTGTCAACACATTCTCTGGCATTTTTAGGCGTGATCGCAGGTCCTTCACGGAAAACTCTAATTGCTGAGCTATATAGTAGATGTTAACACGAATAGCTCGATGCTTATCACAGACAACCACCTTCACATCGCCGTGATGGGGTACATGCAGAAATTTCTGCCAGGATTTGTCAGTCCGAACAGGTTTTGACCAGGCGATCTTATTCTTTGCACATGGCCTACCTGAAAGGGAATATAGCTTTAGAAAACTTTACCAAATAGGTGGCAAAATGTATTACCTTTATACACCGCCAAGGATAGATTGCACATTGTGAATTCTACATCCGGGAAATTGGCGTACATCTGTGGAGGAGTGTAATAACATTTGCTGTGAGGCAGCACCAATTGATTCCACTCGAAATGCCTTCCAGCAAACTCTGAATTCGTGCAGGACACATTGCTATTTTCCGAAGCACTGGTTTGGGCCACAATAAACTTCACATTCGTATTGTTGCTGATGACAATGGCTGGTGCCGTATCCCGGAATACATTCAAGTAGTGAACGTTGTCCTTCTCTATCAAGGTGATCATCAATGGAATGGATTCGTGTCCCGCTTGCAAACTAAAACAGCGTCTGGTAAAGGGTATGGCCAATGGAATAGGTATGGAGACCTCCCGGTCACCACCTACACTAAAACAAGCAAAATAGACGAATGCGGTATCACAGTTGTGCTTGGCCTTGTGGGCGTTAAGATCATAGAACACGTCCATTGTATTACCAATGCTGCAAAAAAGGGAAATAAATAAACATTCATTCATTATCATATGATAAAAAAACATACCAGTTCTTAGTCGAGTCAACAGGAATAAGACTACGGGCCTTTTTGGAAAGTGAATATGCCTCCACTTCTTCCCGCGTTGAGCTCTCCTTGTGATCCATGGCTAGAGGTATGACATTTAGAACCACATCCGAAAAGTTGGTCACTACGAACTTCGATCGCAGTTTGAACACACGTTGACCCTCGTCATTCTTTCTATATTCCAGTATCAGACGCAACACCTCGTCCCTTTCTACAACAACTATATCCACGAATGAATTGTACCGCAGATACATTGATCGTCCAGCCTTGCTAACCGCTTTTTGCGAAAAATCTTCTAAACAAATCGAAGTTGAGGCGATCCATCCGTTGTCAGTGGGCAAATCAATCGTGAAAGCACTCGTAAGCCTTGGCATCATTTTCAAACTGTTTGCTTTCAGTTCAAAGCGCGCTTTCTCGTCTATCATAAATATGCTAACGTCCAAGCCGGTTCCGTTGATAAACATGCCCCACGCAGTCACATCCAATCCGAGGGAGCAGGAAAACTCCCTCGTCGCCTTTGTATGATATTTCACATCAAAAGGACTTTGAAAATCCAACACGCGGCTCACTCGTAGTTCTTCCGGGTCATTCAGTGGCCATTTGCGCTTCGATGACTTACCTAGCTGGTTCAGCGCATTTTCAATGGTCCAAACGTTAGAATCATAATAGAAGAACTTGTGCCAGTCCATCGTTCTTAGCATTAGCGAATATTCAGCTTTTGAAGAGCTTCGCACGACACCACTGAAATGGAATCCGCTGTTTAAATTTGATTTATATAAACTGTTTTATGAACTTACGAAAAAGTGAAGCCAACCTTATGCTCTGTAGCATGAGTGGTAGCAGTGTTCAGAGCCCATCTTCCCCCCTTGGATGCAATAGTGGAGCTCTCTCCGGTGGTATTTTCAGTCGCCTGAACCTCACAGCTGAGCATATTGCATATCTCGAAAATGGGCCAAATGCAGATCAGTATTTTCTGAGGATGAAAGTCCTCTACGGCCTTATCCATTACAATGTCCTCACGCAGGATGCGAACCCAAATGCTAATGAACTGCTGGGCAGATTGTGTGGGCACCTTCACTAGCCAAGGCAAGTTGTTGTTGGTTTTCAGTGGGATATCTCCAGTGCGACCCCTTCCAAGTCCAGCACTCAGCTTAAGCCTGTAATCATACAGAAATCAGTAGGATTCCCTCATAAATTTCAGCTCTTACCGCATATTTATGTCAGCATCACGGCTGACATTCTGATAAAATGATGATCTTTCTTTAGACAATAACAGATGCTCCGGCGGACTGTTTTCGTCGTAGCTCATGTCGTCCTCTCGAAACTCTGTGATCAGATTAAAGGGAATCATGCTTATCAACTCGATTTGGCCTTTAACCAAAATATAAATCTGAGTGGCGGAAAGTTTTCCCAACTTCAGGGTAATACAGTACTCTCCCACTCGAACATGTTGAATCTTATGTTCGTCTTCGAACTTCAGGACTATATGTACTGAATCACTCGTCTCCAGCAGACGGGTTTTGGGATTTGTGATAAAGAATGTTAGTTCTTGCGCGTAATTACAGCTTCGGAAGTGATAAAGTTGCATTTCGCCAGGTCCGACCAAGATCTTCTCTACCGTATTTGTTTGCCCAAAGCCAATGGGTGCTTGTATTCGGTTAACAATAACGCACTTTGGCAGAAAGGCGTGTCTTAGCTCTTTCTGCTGCAACACCTCCTGCCAATGGTACTTGGAACTGAGCAAAGTATGAATCACGTAGGGGCCGCAGTTAAACCGTAGCTTATCCACCAGAAAGTTAGCTTGCATTAGAGAGCGTGAACAGTCAGTTAGTCTTACAAAGCTGGTAAATTTCATTGGTTCCACGATGTCCAGCATATTTTGAAATCCATAATCCAAGCACTTCACTCGTGGGCGCAACTCAGTCTGCAAGGTAAAATCTTTTCTCGAATATATTGTCGAGTGCATCTGTAGATCCTCCACATGCACAGTGAGAAATGTTTGGCTAATGTTATTGGTTTGCTTGAGGTGGTACTTGCTCAGCAGTTGTGGAAGCTCTCCGGAGCTATCTGGCTGGTTCAGAAAGTTTAGTTCAATGTCCTGACAACACATCAACAACTGCAGCTTGGGTACTCTTTCCGCCCTGAAGACGGTATCGATTCGCATGCAACCCACCAGAACTTTTGGATGCAGAATAAAGTCGTTATTTTCGTCCACTTTGAAGTCCTCCTGGGCGTACTCAATCTGAAGGGGTTCGGTATTAATTATACTATTTACGTTTATACTCATATTCAGAAACCCACCGAAAGATCCTCATCTTCGCTACTCTCAAAGCATGTTCCGTCCACGGAGATCAACGATTGGAGTATAACAACCCTCCAAATGGTGGCGCAGATTGGACGATCTGGTGGCGTCAGTTGCTTAGCTGAGGTTTCCGAAAGCATAAAATCGCAATAATGCAAGAATGACTCGTGGGTTTCACTGAAGTATTCCATTCGACACCTGATATGTATGGGCCTGCTTACCTTTTTGGGAATGTAGAAGATACATGTTAATTTAACGAAATTCCTTTTGTGTAATAATACTTACTGGCATTGGCACTGGATATATATGGATGCTTGTCATTTGGCGGGGTTGCGGATATCGCCAGCAGATGATGCCATAGTTTTTCTTAATGATCTGCACCTGGTAGGGCATCGGCAGTACGGACTCAGAGTTTAGATATACGAATTGAAAGGCTCCCGCTCTGAAAAATAACACACAGATTAGTAATACCCAACAGTTAAATTAATTCCATTTAAAAGACCCACCTAAGGTCATCCTGATAAAACTCCGCGTTAGATTTCAAAGGACGTTTTAACCGCTCAATCGATTCACGCGATGGAGTGCATCTGATCAGGTCACAGGGCGCGACCTCTTCCGGAGTGCCCAAAATGGGACGACTGTGTAGAAACTTCTGCCACTCCTGATCAGCATGTTCCCGTATCCGATTCATACCATCCCGTGCCTTTTGCAGTTGCAGTATACTAAGAACACCCGCATCGATATGCAGGTAGTTGAGCTTGAGTGTGGCGTTGATCAGCAGTTCATCACACCACGGTTCACTGACCAAATCCACTGACATACGCATAAGCAACGGATGGAGCAGCATCTTCCCTCCGGACTGCACATAAAAGGATCCTAGGTTGGACCGTATTACAGCCTTCTGAGGACGAGTACTAAACTTGATGCGGGTGCTGAGGTCGAGCCAAACAAAGCTGCATTTGTAAGTCCTTTCCTCATCGTAGAATTTCACAGTTATCCTATCACAGGATAAGTGCAACCGATCCGCGTTGTAGCAATTCGTTTTCATCTGGAGGAGCTGAGATCCCTCAGGAACAGGACGGTGGCTTCGCACGGCAAAGCAGGGGGTCTCGTGAAGAACCGTGTAGACACGGGTTAAATCACTTGCCAATAGCTTGATGTTGCTCTCACACATCCTCAAAAGGATGGGTTTTCGTAGCTCCACATCAACTTCCTTCTGATGCAGGCGATCATACTGGGTCTTAATCATAAGCAAAGGAGGGGGAATACCCGAGCTGCCCAGTTGGCCGGGTAATGTATCAAATACAGGTTCATTAAATTGTTCCACTGCTCCTTTTCCTTTACCGTCTGCATTGGCAATGCTGACGTTGACATTAAAAATGGAGGCTTGTGTCACGGCTGCCTTTAAGTTTTGAGTGGACATGAAGCTGGGCTGGGATACAGTCAAAAGAAAAAGTGGTTTCATGACGGGCCTTTCTAGCTCTCCCAACTCCAAGATATCGTAAATTTTTAGCACAAATATGCCGGCCACAAAGGACACGCTTTGCGGATAACTCATTACAATCGGGTGACGTCCGCTGCGGTAAACCTCATCCGACCCAAGAGATCTTGAAATTCCTTTCATACGATTGCTTAAATGAATTCCAGAATCACTTTGGCATGATCCCAAAAATAAATCACTACTTCCTCTTGCATCCGCAAAACCCGTACTTGCATTTGTAGTACTTAATTTGTCTGTCAGCAGCCGTTTTGAGGGTTTCCTACTTACATTACGGTAACATGTTTTGTGAGCGTAACAATCAGATTTAAAATACGTAGAGTTGTCGGTGCTGTTGTTTTTGGAAACGTTTCCTATTATTTTGTGCGACCTCTCTATTGGCAACTCAGCACTCTTTACACACACCTGATGAAAGATACAGCTGAGTTTCTGAAAGCGCACTATAATGCAGCTAATCAAACTGATTTGGTGAGTGTTTAAAGAGGCGACAAAGTCGGTGGCACAATTATACTCAACACTTTTACCGCAGACTAGAAATCGGTCATAGCTGATAGCCGGTGCATATATCATAATGAAGTCAAAGTCTCTGAATATCTCCATATGATCTAGTTCGGTGGATTGACTTTGGTTGTTCCACTCGAAGGCGGGGTTATCATGTTTGCTCGCCAGGCTCTTTTCTATGCGATACCTTTGTGTTTGCTTCCAGTTTCCGGTAGATAGGGATACCTTCCTAACACTTAGCTCATACTGTCGGTCCTCTACCAGCGCTCCCGGTGTACTGAGCATGTTGAGCTCTGCTGCTTTTTGGTAGATATCCGGGCGCACGAGTTGACGAACTAGAGGATTCTCAAGGCTCGGTGTTAGTTGAATACTCTCGATCTGCAATACATATAGAATTAATCTTGTATTCAAGATGAAATACTGGATAACTTACCCTTAGCAGTAAGACACTGCAACTCTTTCTACCTGTAGATAGAGGTAGATAGACATAGATTCCCTTGCTGTTCAAGTGCACCATCGGCAGATCTTGGACAGTGGAAATTTGGTTTGGTGCTGGAGCACAAGATGTGTTTACCGGCTGATCAGTGCCAGTACTTCCCATAATTTCGAGAACCTCGCATATGGGCACCATAAACTCGGTTATTTGGTCCAAGTCCAGTACCATTTCTATAGGCTGCACCTCGATTAACACCTCCGATATGGTGTGTTTCTTGTTGTGCGGATTTCTTGCTCCAATCTTTGCGTACAGGTCCTGTAGACTCACAGTCGTGATCACCACACTAATCAAGGGCAAGTTTGTGCTGTCGACCAGCGTTTTGATATGAAAGTCATCGATCTTTTCCCATTCTTGATGCTTTTCCTCGTAGTAATTGAGACCGAAGTTTTCTATTTTCGTGGTAATCTTTGTGAAGTCACTATGCTTATCAATATTCAGTAGTAAGTCCTCTAGAATCATAACGATTTTACTATGCTTGAAGTCGTTTGAGTGTTCCATTTCAAAACTGATACGTGGAATAGTCCATTGGCAAAATAATACAATTGATCCTTTGGGAGCTAAACGAAATATTTGTAATGGGTATATAATACTTCTGAATATTAACACTTACCATTTTTTACTTGAGGTGCTTCGAAGTTGGGATCTAGCTCCAGAAACTCTTTTATCACTGGATAGTTTTGTGCACTGCCAGTGTATACCTCCAGCCTGGGCTTCATTTTCGAAGTCTGCCATTTGGATGGAGGTTCGTCCGGGCATAGCGAACTGTACATCTTAGATATAATTAAATAATGTTCATGTAACAATTTTACCTGAGGGGAAAATGAAATATATTAGCTAATATTAAGTTTCTGAGACCATGTCCCTTACCCGCTGAGCAAATATATTGATGGCCGACATATCCACGTGTACATTTATAGAGTAGGTCTTTTGTTCAGACGCTTCTGAAAATGTCTTATCCTGATCATCTCTCCTTTTCTCCTCGACTTTCTCAGATACTTTGTGAGAGAGCGCTAAAGTAATTGTGGTCCTAACTGGGTCCACAATCATTTCGGTAACATTTTCTCTGCGGTAGCACACATTGAATTCGTTTAGGTCGAAGACCCAATTGAATGGCTCAGTGCTGGTGGCTAGAATAACTGCTCTGATATTGCCTCGCTGAATGGCTTCGGAGTTGCCTGATTTAACTTTCAAGTGAGGCAGCCGAATAGAGGTATACTCTACATCCTTCTCTGACGGCGTTTTTCGCATCATCACCTCACATATATCAATCTTTGCCTGAGCGATCTCCACCAACACTACCATGTTAGTTAGACGCTTTACGAGACCTGATGTATCAAAATTACTTGACTGGGGCTTACTGGTAGTTGGAATGTTTACAGGCTCTATCTGGGTATGCCTCTCATCCCGTTCTGAACTCAGATGGACTGTCTCCTCGGGAACAGAAATCTTTCGACTGTTGTTTCTGCTAATTCGACGCGGTTGATAATCATTCAAAGCAGAAATTGTAGAATAATTCGAAATTGATTGTGTCAGATTTGGCTCCGACTGGTTTACAGACTCGAGATCTGTTTCAATTTCTGAAATCAAAATATGGAACATTGTAAACAGCATACACACGTAAAAGCAATACGAATTACATACCCTTCTCTTTGGGCATCGGCGTCTTGCTGACATCTGAAAAGTTAAGGAACTGCAAAAGGTAGATATCCGTGGTGATTCTAAATGGTTCCAGCCAAAGACAGACCACGGTGCCAGGCATCTTAACCTTCTGCGTATTGGCTTCCTCTAGGGGGTACTGACATTGCATCTCAAGCCACTTGTTGTTTGAATTTTTTGAGGTGGACAGGACTACGTTCCGTACATTCATTTTGCTGTGGACGGCGTCGGTGTGGATACCATGAAGTGAACCCACTGCAGCCAAATGAGTGTGATACTTGTGGTAACTGAGGCCCAGTTTGCTGCACACGCTTTGCAGCTTTATTACATCCGAATGTACGTTGACATGGGCCACGATGTGGGCCAGATCGCACAGCTCTGGGCCATTGAAACCCGAGATCAAAGGAATCAACCGTTTGGCTAGGATCAGTTCACGCTTTGAAAACTCGAGAGTTATGATCTCCGATTTGATTTCTGAAGTCTCTAGAGCAGCTTCATTTTGACGCCATAGATGAGGAGCTAACAGCCGATTCCAGTTCACTTGCATGCGTGGAATGTTTAAAAGTTTGGCACGGCCATTATCCGGAGTGGTATTTAAAATCATCAGCGCCAAGTTCTTTACGTTGAAGTTATAGCAATTGTAGCATGAATTGACAACCTCCCGGGGCTTGTCCTGCAGATGGGTAATCAATTGGACCAGGCGTATAGGATTGACTGGTCCACACATTGTGCCCTCGACTAAGGATATTTTGAGCTGAAGATAAGGAAGCAGAGACTGCTTAACTGTGGTCGTCAATTGGTGTTGGTTCATCGCAGAAGACTCTTCTTGTTGCTGGCGGGGATACAACTGAAGAACTATATTCCGCAACTCAATTTTGTAGTTACAGGTGGGCACGAGGCCCATCAGGTACTCCAAGTCCGGAATGGTCATGTCGGCAATCTTATTGTCCGGCTCGGGGACACTGCGATCATCGTCTTTCACCGATTCTGAGTGATATCCCGGGTAATCGTAAGGACGAATTAAATCGCTAATTACATTTTTAACCTGCGCAAATGACTGCGAAAAGTGGAAAGTGATTCCAGCGGAAAGTAGGCGATACTGAACTCGAAGTCCTAGATCTCTTAGCTGGCTCTCCGCCACGGGATGGCTGGTTGGCTTCGGCACCCGGTGCTCGACAACGTCAAATGCCAGTACCGGGCTGCGAAACAGCATATACTCATCCGTGTTTCTGGCCACGTAGTCCTCGTAATTGTAACTGCACCAGGAGCGGTCGGCGAACATGTAGTTTTCGTCAAACAGGCTCTTGTCGATGAAGGATCGCTCCTCCTGAAACTGTGTACAAAATTTAGTAATTATTCAACATCGCTATAATATTTACTAACTTCTTGGGTATTGATCAGGTGGCGATCCAAGGGATCCTCACTACGGTAAACACCCAACGGTTCAATGCACATGCTAGAAAGCCCCGCCTTGACATTGGCCCAGTCGCACTCCTTCAACAGAGTCCGCTCGTAATAAAGACCGCCCAAACTGATCCTTAGAATGGGAGTATAACGTATCCGCTTGATGCCACCCATGCTCTGATCGGTGAAGTACTCGGAATTCTTTAATTGGAAGTTCAGCTCTTCTGCGTAGATACCCAAATCGAAGGCATGGCCAGTAGGAGAATCGCAGGAGGAGTGAGGCTCCTGAGCATCGAAACTAGGCAGTAGATTCCAGGCCCACCAAAAGACGCTTTGACTAGCGGGCTCCGACTGCTGCGCTTCGTTGCCCTCGGCAACTGCCTCTTGGTCTTCCGGATTTGGGTGGTCTTCTTCTAAATCGGCTGGCTTCAGTTCCAGCAGCATTTTGACCAGTCTCATCACCATGGGGAATTGCAAAGATGACACATTGATGTCCAGAGCCTTGGTAAAAACACCAATGCGGGTGGTGCTCGATGTGCTTACCGTATTGGCGTTGTACTTACGGAGCACTCGGCACTCTAGGGAGCAGCGGTATAATACAGGCTCCTGGCACACCTCAATCCTGCCGGCCGTGTTCCGTTTGTCTAGGCAGATAGTCAAATCTGAGACTTGAAGAATCTTCCTCATGACAACGGATACAGGGTGGACGTCCACCATTGTGGGCTTCCAGTTTTCGCCTGCGGAGCCAAAGTTAAGCGTCTGCACATTCATCGAGACCACGATGTCGTCCTCCACATACTTTAAGATGATGTTGTGGCACTGCAGGCTGATATTGTTAATTATCTTGTTGACCACGCTGGAAGAGCTCCCTGGTCCGGGACTCTTGGGCTGCTGATCTGGCTGCTCATCGGACGCTCGCTTGGACTTCCGGCGCTGCTCCCGCTGAAAGGTGGCCCTGCGTTGTTTACTCTCGCTGTCCGGCAACTTGGCCACGAACTCAATGGTATTGATGACGATCTTCACCGGCTCGGACATGAGCTTAGTCCATGGCACTTGTATGCTCAGCTCGTGAATGTGCCCGGAAACCAATTCCACTGGAAGATTCATTTCCTCCTCAAGCACTTCCAGGCGCAAGTCTAGATTCTGGAAGGTGACCTCGCCCTCCCATAGCGACACCTGAGCATCCTCGTCGCGGAAGTTTTTCACATACTTGGCCACGTAGCTTAGCAGAATTGGAGTGATGTAGGACTCCAGTTTGAACATGGTGTGCCGAATCCGGAGGCTCAGGCCTCGATTCCCGCGCTCTTGACTGCTGACTCAAATGGAAATCTTCATTTACTGCGTTGCCGGCGACTTACTAGAATTTACATGCTGTGGATTTTGCTACGTTTTCAGGCCGAATGTGTTTAACAAAACAAACTCAACCATATAATTTTCGTTTTGTTTACGTTTCAGCCCCGGCAATCTGGCAATCGATAACAGGAGGTGCGAATTGAAAATCGATTAATTTACCTGTCGACTGCGACGTGTAGAACGGCCCTCAACGAACAGCTGTTTAATTTGTTGACGTTTAACGTGCAGAAGTAGCTTTCTTTAATTTCATAAAAATGCCGCAAATTACAGAAAATGGTCAGGACTTTGGTGAGTTAATTAGAAGTGTAATGCGTTCAGCAAAGTGTTTATCAGCTTCCACCCCTAGATGTGGTCAAATACTTTCTGCAGCTCCTGGACGAAGACAAGGACCTGTCATCCGGCATTGCGGCCATCAGAACACTGCTCATGATCCTAGAAAAGAAACAGTGTATGTTGCTTTAGAATCTGTCTTTATAAGTAATATATTTTTAACCATTTACTTAGTTGGCACCATTCATATTCTCCACACAACCATGAGGGAAGCAGTGGCCGCCATGCGGAATACGGATTTGTCTATTGCCGCCATTGTTTCTGCCGGAGAGCTATTCTGCCGTTTCATCACCCTCAGTCTGGACGACAAGCACATGGAAGAGTGCCGCCAGATTATGTTGAATCGCGGCAAGATCTTCCTCACCAAATTACTCAATTCCCGGCAGGTGATCATTACAAAAAAAGCTAGCCCTAAGCAATCTTATAAACTCCTTATAAATCTTTATGTAGGTGATTGCTCAGCAGGCCCAGAGGTTCATCACCGATGGCTGCCGCATTTTGACACACTCCCGGTCTCGCGTTGTCCTTAAAGCCCTCATTACGGCCTCGCAGAACAAGAAATCCTTCCACGTATATGTGACGCAGGGAGGCACAGGAAACTCTGGGTGTGTAAACGATTTCCTTAAAAAGTACAAGTATAAATATATCTTAACCTTAGTGAAGAGATGGTTAAGGACCTCCATGCCGCTGGCATTGACTGCACTCTGATCCTGGACTCCGCCACTGGTTATGTTATGGAATCGGTGGACTTTGTGATGGTTGGTGCTGAAGCAGTAGTTGAGAGTGGCGGCATTATTAACCGAATTGGCACTTACACCATGGGCTTGTGCGCCCGTGAGATGAAGAAACCATTCTATGTACTGGCCGAGAGCTTTAAGTTCAGTCGTCTATATCCACTTAATCAGCGCGACTTACCTAACGAATACAAGGTATGTTCTATAAAGAATCCACAGAAAAACTGGTCACTAAGAACTGGTATATTTATAGTACTCCCGCAAACACCTGAACGATGTTAGCAAAGTGCACCCACTGGTCGATTATACGCCTCCCGTCTACATTACCCTGCTCTTCACCGACTTAGGAAGACTTACCCCGTCAGCTGTCAGCGATGAGTTGATCAAACTTTATATGTAAATGGACAATAAAGAAAAGGCACTTAAATACGTTTGTTTAATTATGACTGCATGAGATAGATAAATAGAGCCTTGTTATTACTGAGTATATATACATAAAATAAAGCTAGTTACTTCCGCTTACGACTACAATTTATATGTTTTAGAAGTGCATCTCCCGAGAATAGTTGGCATCAACTTCATCTTCTGACCCCCACGGATCGTAAATGTCCAGGCTGTAGCGGGATGTTTCACTGTTGTTGCCATCGTCGTTGGTGTACTCGCTGTTATACTCCTCATCCGTGTAGCTATCACTGCCACTCTCGTCGTCCGAACCGTGATCGTGCACACCAAACTGATCGTCGAGACCTTCATCCTCCAGATCGCTGGCGTTCTGAATAAGTTAGAAATATATTTATTGGGGTTTTAAGGCTCGGAAAAGGACTTGAAAACTTTAAATTTTAAACTAGTTTATAATTAGTTTTTTTACAAAAACTAATTATAATTTTATTTGATGTCAATTTTTGTTTATCGTTTTGCAAGTTAATGTAATTGCAATTTTTAAACTGGTAAACTGGCACAAGCTGGTTTCAAAATGAAAGTTCCAAGAAATTATGTTCGAGTAACTACTGTTGCTATACTCACAAATTGGCCGGACTGAATGTTGATTTCGATCTGCAGGCGAATGTCCATGACAAGAAATGCAGTGGTGACCATAATAGGTATGGTGAGTCGACTTTTCCAGGCGAGATCCGTGAGGAACATGAAGACCTTGCCGAAAGTGGATTCCATTGTCATTTTGTCAGTGCTCAGCCGGTGGCTGTTCCTCCTCCGCTTCTTCTACCGACTTCTGCAGAGCGTCGTGATCCACTATATGAAAGGTTTCGCCTACGTTTACGGCCTGAACGGGCAGCAAATGTCGATGGAGGCGTCCGCTCTCTATTGGGGCGTCTAGTTCGAGAAACTGCTCGAATACGGAAATAGGTACTCCCTCGGTGGAAAGTAATCCTCGCATGCAATCCTGACGCTTGTCGCGCAGGTTGTCCAGAAGTTTGTTACCCTTCTGCACCCGGGCCAGCTTTCGTTCTGAAATGACTTTTATTTAATATTGATGCTTCTGGTGCCCCGAACTTGATCCAACCTAGCAACTTTAGATAGTCGCTTGAATCCGGCAGTGGCTCGATTTTTGACTCCTTTTCTATGCTGCTCTCTTTCCCGGTGGACGGGGGCGTGAAATTGTCCTCGAAACTGTCGGTGCTATCCGCGGACTCTGTGTTTCCTTGCTCAACTATTGTGTTTTTCAGATGCCAAGGATCGGCATTGCCAAGTGACATGTTTTACAAACTAAATAAACGTAAATCCAAAAAACTCCCACAGAAAATATTGTATTTGTAATAATGTGCCCGGCGTCGTTCTCCTCTAAAATGTCGTAACGCCTTGTAAACAGTTTTAAATATGACATCCGCGCAACTTATGCACAAATTGTATTCGCTGAGTTTCTTTGAAAGGATTGAAAATATAAATAAGGAGTATATTTCATGCAAAGTACACTTCCAAAATAGATAACTAATTAACACGGTATTAAAGTTGTTTTGACAATTTATTATAGTAGTATATAAACTATCCGCATCCGCGATTCATGTCCACCTAACTGTGTGGGGTTTTTTCTCTGCCACGACACAGTCACACTGTTTAAGTCAACGTCACCATGGATGTTTCGGCTCTTTCGGGGCCAAATTTTAGTCCTGCGGAGTGGATAAACGCCAACTACAAGAAGTTTGTGGAGGAAAATGGACGCGATGACAGCGACGCCGCATCGTCCTTTATCCGGAGCTACGTGGCCAAGCTGCAGCTGTATATATTTAACGTGAGTGGCACTCGTCCTATTCCAGTTGTTTTGCTTTCATGTAAATATGTAAATATCCATAATTCACAGGTAAACAATGCTGTGGAGGAGTCCAGTCGGCAAGTTGTGGCCAGTATGCCAAGGATCGCCAAGGAATCCGCCGCGCTTCAAGGCGATGTTCGTCGGCTGCAGGAGAAGATGAGTGCAATGCGTTTGGAGGTGGCTGCGGTCCAAAGCGAAACCGGCGAGTGCATGGCAACTTTGGAGCGTCTGAACACCAAAAGCGAGAAGCTTCAGGTGGCCAAGGAGTCATTGCAGGAGTCGGATGGCTGGGGAAACCTCGTTTCCGAACTGGAGGATGGTTTTGAACGCAATGATTTAAAGGTTCAAAATTCCGAACATACAAACGAAGTCCTTTTTTTAAATTATTACTTTCTAGGGAGTCTGCGACAAGTTGATAGCCCTGCAAAAATCTCTGCACGCGCAGGAACAATTGCCTGGACATGCCGAGCGACAGACCCAAGTAGAGGATTTCAAGAATCGACTAGAAGCACTAGCCTCACCCAGCGTTGTTCAGTGTTTCGCTGAAGGCAATACTGAGCAGGCCCAGCACTATGTCCAGATCTTCACCAGCATTCAGCGGTTGCCGCAACTGCAGCAATATTACCGAGCTGTGCAGAAGAATTTCTGGCAGCAGCAGTGGAAACAAACTTTGGAGTTGCAGGGAACGGAATCCCAGCCACAACAGCAGCAGTTTCTCACTCTGTATTACGATCAGCTGCTGGAGCACTGTCAACGCCAGGTCAAATGGTGCTCCAATCTCTTCGGTGAGGACTCTTCGCAACCTTTTCTGGTTATTGCGGAACTGTTACCGGCATTGCAACCCACCCGAGATGCACACATTCTACAGCTTTTAAAGACTTCCAATGAAAGATTGGAGATGCTAGCTTTATTTGCCCAGGTCAATCATAGTTTTGTCCTACATTTGAACTCCTTACTGGACCAGTCGCATATTACCTTGTCCGAGGAACTGCATCGTCTTCTTGGCGAGGCTATTTTCGAGTATTTCCACAAGTTTATCCAACAATATCCCCGCTTGGAAGAGACTCAACTATCCACACAGGTAATTCATATAAATTTTCATTTATTATTGATCTTTTGATAATTTATATTGCTATTTAGGTGGATCGTCTTTCCTCTAATCAAGCCACGCCTAGTGATGGTGTGCGTCATTTGGAGGAGAGTACCCGGAAACTCTACGAGTGGCTGAAAGAAGCCTGTGAACGTTGTGCCTCTATAACAAGTGATTTGGCTCTGTGCAAACTAATAACTTTGCTAAATGGCATCTTCAAGCGGCAGCTGGAGAGTTTTGGGCGAATCCAGCGGCAGATTGGACTCAGTTTAGGATCCAGCAGCTATGCGGCGCAGAGTGAGAACTGGTCTCTGTTGCAGTACACCATGTCCCAGTTACAATGTCTGGCCGATTTTCAAGTTCAGCTGCACCAATTCGAACAGGATTTGCACACACGCATGGGAACATTGTCCAACAAGCTGACTAAGCCATCTAAACGTGGACCCATAACCATATTCCAGACCTGTGATCATACAGTTCGCACCCAGCTGTTAAACAGCATATCTGATTATCAACAAAAGAAATCTGAAGCCACGGATAGCCTTGGCATTTTTCCACAAATTTATGCCACTTTAAAGAGTCACTTTGCCGATACACACGATATAACTCTCAATATATTACTACAACCTATTGAGACTCACTTGGCACACATTCGCCCGCCTGTGCAGGAACACGCTGCGTCCGGCATTGACATGCCATCATTTAGCTTCGCTCCTCAGGAGAGCATCACCCAGATTGGTCAGTACCTACTTACTTTGCCGCAGCACTTGGAGCCGCTACTGCTGTCGCCATCAGCTCTGCTGAAGCAGGCTCTGGAGGTCTGCAACATTAAGTATACGCAAGCCATTCCTTGTGCCGACGTCCTACTGTCTCTAGTCGTGGAGCAATGCTGCGTCTTGTATCAGACGCAGATTCTGCAAATCAAGTCGCTGCCGGCTTCCTCGGCCACACAGCTCAGCGTGGATATTGAGTACCTCTCCAACGTTCTCGAGGAGCTTGGCTTGTCCATCAACCTACAGTTGTCCCAGATCCTCACGCTACTGAAGGCTGCTCCGGATCAGTATCTGACCCTTAGCAGTGGATGCGAGCCGCGTCTGGTAACAGCAATTCGACAAATGCGCAATATTATATCTACACAGTAGATATAAGATAGGTATATTAAATAATCACGATAAAATGTTACAAATGTATTTATGTAAACTATTACTAGGGTCTTTTATTTAAACTTTTAAATTAATAAAAGTTAAATCTTCATCGTATGTCTATAATAAAAAAATACAATACAACTTTAAAGTGAGTTTAACAAACAGAGTATAAATATTTAATCAGGTGTCCAGAAGCTGAGACCAGTAGTTCGGTTCAGTCAAGTAAGTGGCACATATGCCGATCTCAGTCTACTTAAAACGCGAGCTGACTTAGTTTCCTAATGCACTTCTTTTATTTCGGAATTCGACGAGCGCATTATAAATGGTATACGGCAAATTCCGCAGAAAGAATCCGGATGATTGCTACCGGAATTTTTACGGTCGGCGTTATTTTTATTACCTATATTCAGTGCGATGCAATGGTGAAAGAATTCTTTCAAAAAGATGTTGAAAACGAAGTGATTATAAGTGAAATAAACCCATCTGAGATGCGAACGAAGATTAGGGAGATGATGCTGCACGCCTGGCGAAATTATGCTCAAGTCGTGTGGGGTACAAATGAATTTCGTGCGATTTCGGGACGTGTCCATGTCGGTAGTGATTTCGGGTCGTACAAACTCGGCGCTACTATTATCGAAAGCTTGGACACACTGCACTTGATGGGTCTGGAAAAAGAGCTGAAGCGTTCCCGGGATTGGATCGATAAGTCATTTACTCTGGATCGCGTTGACGAACCTTTGTCCGTTTTTGTTTTGACATCCAGGCTGCTTTGCCCTATGCTTACACTCTACTCCCTCACTGGGGATCCTTTTTACAAGGAAAAGGCCATCCATATTGCCGATAAGATACTGCCTGCCTTTGACACATCAACTGGAATACCAAGACGACTCGTGGTCCCAAAAGAAGGCAGCACCCTCACAAAGTACCTGGATGACGTGTCTCTAACTTCAGAGTTTGGAGCCCTGCACTTGGAGTTCTTTTTACCTCAGCGAAATCACTGGAAATTCAGTTTACAAGGACCGGGTGGAGGGTATTCGGAAGAGATTAGCTAAAGCAAACAATTTGAATGGTCTATATCCAAATGCCTTTTGCACGAAATATGGTAAATGGGAAAACCAAAATTGCTCGATGAACCGATACCATGATATTCTGTTAAAGTCATGGGTGCAATCCGGGAAAGTTGATCTTGAAAATGCCGATCAGTTTAAAGAAGATTTGCTGGCTGTGGCGCAAAATCTGGTTGTCATAAATCCTGAGGGCGTAACCTATGTTTCGGAGTTAATTGGTAGTACCTTAACGCATCGGATGAAACAGTCAGATTGTTTCGCTGGCGGCCTTTTCGTCCTGGGAGCAGCGGAAGCTATGATGAAGCACTGGGAGAAGTACGCCCAGATCGGCATTGGCATAACAGAAACGTGCCATGACATGTTCTACGATTCGAGTACTCAATTGGGTCCTGATAGTTTTGCCTTTACAAAAGAAAGCCAGGAGGAAATATCTACCCTTCAGAGAAACTTCTATATGCTGCGGCCAGAAGTCGTCGAAAGCTACTTGGTGCTTTGGCGATTGACTCATCACCCTAAGTATCGCAAGTGGGGAGTTGAGATGATACTAGCGATAGAGAAATACTGTCGGACGCCAAACGGATATACTGGTATTATGGACGTCCATAACAGGTCTTCGGAGCCAGATGACGTGCAAAGAACTTTCTTCCTAGGCGCGACCCTCAAGTACTTGTTCCTTTTGTTTTCCGACGATGGAGTGATTTCCTTGGAAGAGTGGGTGTTCAACAGTGCAGGACATTTCCTACCTATCAAGGGGGTAAATGCGATGTATCGGGAATATAAAATAAATAATTAAACAAATAAATATCACAGAATAACTATCTTCAGCTGAAAACAACTTGTAATCAATTAAATAAAATATGAAAGACGAAGAAGTACTTTAATCCAAACCATATTATGTTTTAAACATCTATTTATAGTTTTTCTTTTACTGCAGACATGTATAAAAAGTTGTGTAAGTTAATACTTGCACAATGAATTACAAAAGTTAACTCCTAATTAGCTGGGAACACACACATTGAGCACACCTAAAAGCACATACATAAGTAATAAATCTTGAACGTTGGCCCACTAAACCATTCTTGGAATGCCCAATGCCTAGAGCTGACTGTTGGCCAGGTGGTTGTCGATGACCACCTGGATGATCCTCATGCAATGGCGCTGCCTTGCCACCGTATTGTCGATCAGTTGCTCCGTGAACTGACTGGCCGCTATGTTCGTGTTGGGCGGTATGTCCTGCGTGCAGGATATGTACTTGTTAAAGATCTCCGTGTTCAGCGAGGTGGCCAGATACCGCTCGCTCTCGTCCTGCTGCTGCAGTTTGTCGAGGACCTGGGCGGACACTAGCAGCTGGCCCTTGGCCTTCTGATATGTTTGCAGCTCCTGCAGGCTGGCATATTCCGCGCTGTTCAGTTTCACGGACCTTTCGCCGTCCATGTCCTTAACTATGCCCTTTGTCATCTGGCGTATGTGGTACTTGCGCTCGGCCACGAAATTTCCCAGCAAGTATCCTGCAAAATCCGGAAAAACAAGCGTCACTCATTAGGAATGTGTTCTGTGATTTGTGACATCTTCTTCTGGCACTCACCTGTTATCAGCATGAAGAAGGCAATCGTTAGGACCAGGGAGGCACAAGTGCGCTTGGAGACATATTCTCGGAATTCGCGAGAGCTGTTGGCCCGCACTGCCGTCTCGTAGCTAAGTACCTGGTGCATCCTGCTAATCTAATCCTCGGGGTTGTGGTCAGGGTCTGATTGCTAAGCTTAGTCACTTCGAGAAATTCTAATATCTGCTTTAGCGCTGTGCTGGAACATTTTGTTATCCTCTATTGTACTTTTAATGGTAGTTAGCGACTAGAAAAAGTTGAATTAAATAATACATTTAATATTATAAATATTAATTAGTGGGTATTTATCTAAACTTAAAGTAGCTCTCATTGGTTTTTAAGAATGGTTAAGGCATAAATAAATTCCCACATGGTTTTTTCAACACCCTGGTCATTCTTTAAATTCTCTTGAAAGTTTCTCAATTTATATTTCCGCATTAAAGCCGCGATGTCATTACTCCCAATGATGCCGCTGGTACGGCAGGAGCGTGACTTAATCGCCCCACCTTAAAAGGCAATCGCGAACCCAGTTGTTATGGGCATCGTACACGGCAAACAACACAATCCTTTAAAGCGCTTCCTCGAACACTCACTCACTTGCCCTAAAGTGTATCGTGTATTCGTATCCGTGTCCGCTTTTGTACTTCCAGGATATTGTACACATGCATTAAATTAATTAATGCCTGCACTTTTTGTTTTGCACTGGCTGTAGGAATCGAGTTATAAGTGTGGATGAACTATGCGAGTGCCGCGCGCTAAACTTTCAGATGTATTATTAATTGTTTGTTTGTGATTCGTGTTCGTCCTTTCGCGTTATCCTTGCGAAGGGGTCTGTATGCCTGGACGACTAGTCGGGAACTGACTCACGCTTCGTTGGGGGTCGGCTTTAATAGCTCTCCGGTCCGTGGTGAGTTTCCTGCCCCGAGATGTTGCACATTTCGACGTGGAGGCGAGAGTACGGCGGTCAAGTAGAAGCACGGAGAATGCAAACATAAACATTCCCAATAGATTCTTAATGAACGTACCAGTCCACCCACTCCGGTTGTGGCTTTCCTCAGAACTTATATCAGATTTCACACCGTCGCCTCTGTTTAAGAGGAACTGCAGCACTGTGGTTCCGAAAGTGGACTTCCCTTTTGATTGCCATAATCGTATTTTCTTTTCTGTTTCCCTATTTTCTGTTTAACTTCAAGGATATCACATGACCCTCGATTGTAATTTCTATGTCGGAGGGTTTAACTAGGTTCCATGTCCCTGAAGTTGTCTCTTTTAAAGAACTATTGTAGTTTAAGTTTAGGGCTATTAGAAGTTATGACACATATTATTATTTTAAATATTTATTTAAATTTTCACTTGGTATTTTAATAAATTACTTTGTTTATTTTGTTCTTAACTTACTCTATCAGTCAAAGCACTTGGTAATATAATTTGAAATGATTTATTAATCTATTTCGATGGGGCAGCAATTCATTCTTGATAAGATTTAACACTTTATTTGCATCGATAATGGTTCCCATTGAGCTATATAAAACTATGACCACCGTAGCAGCTTTTTAGTAATCAGAAATGAAGGCGTCCGTACTTATATTGGCAGCCCTTTTGGGCGTCTGCAGTGCCTTCACTGTACCCCACTCGATTGTCCACCCACGAGACTTAAAGGTCGAACACCGAAGCATCGAAGGTCGCATCACCAACGGAAATGAGGCGACTGAGGGACAAGTCCCCTACATCGTGGGAGTCAGCCTGAACAGCAACGGAAACTGGTGGTGGTGCGGTGGATCCATCATCGGCCACACTTGGGTGCTGACCGCCGCCCACTGTACCGCTGGGTAAGTTGATGTAATTTAAAAACTTAACAATGATAATTAACAAATCATATTAATTACAGTGCTGACGAAGCTTCACTGTACTACGGAGCCATTAACTACAACGAACCTGCCTTCCGACACACCGTCAGCAGTGAGAACTTCATCAGGTATCCCGGTTATGTTGGCCTGGATCACGATTTGGCTCTGATCAGGACACCTCATGTGGACTTCTACAGTCTGGTCAACAAGATCGAGCTGCCCAGCCTGAATGATCGTTACAACTCCTATGAAAGCAGCTGGGCTCAGGCCTCTGGCTGGGGTGCCATTTACGATGGCAGCAATGTTGTGGAGGACCTGCGATATGTGGATGTACAAGTGATCTCTGTGTCCCAGTGCCAGGCTTACTATGGAACAGAAACTGCCACCGACAACGTCATCTGCGTGGAGACTCCTGATGGAAAGTCCACCTGCCAAGGAGATTCCGGTGGCCCATTGGTCACAAAGGAAGGTGACAAGCTGATTGGAGTTACCTCCTTTGGGTCCATCTACGGCTGCCAGTCAGGAGCCCCAGCTGGTTTCACCCGAGTGACCAATTACCTTGAATGGATCAAGGAGGAGACTGGCATTTACTATTAAGTAAAGTCAAAAATCTTATGGCACTAAATAAATCTGAGATATTCTCTACTTGTTTTGGTTTGCATATACAGAAAATGAGGAAAACCACGAGTTATTCATTATAGAAAATCAATGTACGTGCTCAAGATTAATGGCACATAACCAAATTTATAAGTACTTATACAAGATTTAAACTAACATTTAACAATGGACCTCAATCTGCCAAACACTCAACTCAAGTTCCTGCTAATATAAATTAAAATTTTTCATTGATAAAAATCGCTGAGGAAGCGGCGCATGCTAGATTAGATTTCGCTCCTTAAATTTACATCGATAATGACTTCGGCTGGGCTATATAACATTGGGACCACCTGAGGAGCGGTTTAGTCGTCGAAAATGAGGGGTCTTCCACTCTTGTCGCTTGCCTTCCTTGGGGTCTGTAGTGCCCTTACCGTGCCCCACTCTGCTGTCCACCCACGGGATCTGGCGGTTCAGCATGGGAGCATCGAGGGTCGGATCACAAACGGAAACCTGGCCACCGAGGGTCAGGTGCCCTACATCGTGGGAGTCAGCCTGAACAGCAACGGAAACTGGTGGTGGTGCGGTGGATCCATCATCGGCCACACTTGGGTGCTGACCGCCGCCCACTGTATCGCTGGGTAAGTTGATGTCATCTAAAAACTAAACAGTGATTATTAATAAATCATATTGATTACAGTGCTGACGAAGCTTCACTATACTACGGAGCCATTAACTACAACGAACCTGCCTTCCGACACACCGTCAGCAGTGAGAACTTCATCAGGTATCCCCATTACGTAGGACTGGACCATGACTTGGGCCTGATTCGCACCCCCCACGTGGACTTCTACAGTCTGGTCACCAAGATCGAGCTACCCAGCCTGGATGATCGTTACAACTCCTATGAGAACAGTTGGGCTCAGGCATCTGGTTGGGGTGCCATTTATGATGGCAGCAATGTGGTAGAGGACTTGCGAGTTGTGGACCTGAAGGTGATTTCTGTGGCGGAGTGCCAGGCCTACTACGGAACGGAAACCGCCTCCGAGAACACGATCTGCGTAGAGACTCCGGACGGAAAAGCCACGTGCCAGGGTGACTCTGGTGGTCCACTGGTCACAAAGGAAGGTGATAAGCTCATCGGAATCAGTTCATTCAGCTCCGATTACGGCTGTCAGGTTGGAGGACCAGCTGGCTTCACCAGAGTCACCAAATACCTTGAATGGATCAAGGAGGAGACTGGAATTTACTATTAAAAGCTTTAATAAATCTTTCTTAATTTTTTTCAGACAATTAAATGTTGAATTAAAGATTTTGCCACGCTCTTATATAGATTTCTTGTTTATTTTTAACTTTCATTTTAATAAGATAATAGAATACCATTAAACTAGGATGTCTTAGCGAAAAAACATGATTAGTGCTTTTGACATTTTTTGCATAGTTATGAAACCAATGAAAATATTATGAGTGTAAATTCGGAAAAAACCAAAATTGCCATTTTTGTGAAAAATTTCCAAAAATTTACTTTATCAGACTTGAATGCAGTTCAGCTAGGAAATAAAAAACAAGCTCAACGAAGCTTTCCTGTTCGTATTGGGAACATTTTTGGCTTTTTTATGGGCGGGAGGTTGGTACAAGCCAAATCTCACGTCTTTGATAAGGAGTTGATCATTTTTTTGCAAAAGCTCAAACAAGCTCAATGAGGTATTCCTTTCCACGTTTGGACCATCATCGGCTTGGTTGTGGACAAAATACTCTAATTTTTGGCTGGGTTATGGCAAAGTACAACTGTTTTTGCGGGGAAGTTTAGACAAGCCAAATTACCAATTTTTGATAAAGGGGAAAAGTGGCATAACAAGATAAGAATTTTTTGAAAAATTGTATTTACTATTTATTATTATTTTATTATTAAATGATTATTGACAACCCATAAAACAGAATTCAAATTTGGCACATGTCTCACCACTTCAAACGTTGATCATAATTTTAGCAAAGCAGGTACTTCCGGCAACTTATCAGCCGCAGAGACTGGTCACGATGATAACTTGATCAAAATTAACAACCCTCAAGTTTTACATACAAGTAGTAGAGCTCTTGCGAAGTGAGATAAGACCACGAGTGGCTTCTTTTGTATAAAAAGGCTGCCGGGTTCCGGAAAAGTCATAAGTTGCAAGACTTGATCAACATGAAACTGTTCGTATTCCTGGCCTTGGCTGTGGCCGCAGCTACTGCTGTCCCGGCTCCCTCGAAGAAGCTGACCCCGACGCCCATCAAGGACATCCAGGGTCGCATCACCAACGGATACCCAGCCTACGAGGGCAAAGTGCCCTACATCGTTGGTCTTCAGTTCAGCGGCAACGGAAACTGGTGGTGCGGTGGCTCCATCATCGGCAACACCTGGGTCTTAACCGCCGCTCACTGCACCAACAATGCCAATGGAGTGACCATCAACTACGGAGCCAGCATCCGCACCCAGCCCCAGTACACCCACTGGGTCGGCAGCGGAGACATCATCCAGCACCACCACTACAACAGCGGCAACCTGCACAACGACATCTCCCTGATCCGCACTCCCCACGTCGACTTCTGGAGCTTGGTCAACAAGGTTGAGCTGCCCAGCTACAACGACCGTTACCAGGACTACGCCAACTGGTGGGCTGTTGCCTCCGGATGGGGTGGTACCTACGATGGAAGCCCATTGCCCGACTGGCTCCAGAGCGTGGATGTGCAGATCATTTCCCAAAGCGAATGCAGCCAAACCTGGTCTCTCCACGACAACATGATCTGCATCAGCACCGAAGGAGGCAAGGCCACCTGCGGAGGAGACTCTGGTGGCCCTCTAGTCACACACGAAGGTAACCGCCTGGTCGGAGTGACCTCCTTTGGATCCGCCGCTGGCTGCCAGGCCGGTTACCCAGATGTGTTCACCCGTGTCACCGGATACCTGGACTGGATCCGCGACAACACCGGCATTTCCTACTAAGGATCGAATGGTTTAATAAAGAAGTAGAGCATAGAAGTTTAGTTCTTTACTTAGCATTTGGGGTATTGTGGTCCATCATAACCTGGATGGTGTTAAATCCAGATTGAAAGAAACCTTAAAGAATTTATATTAAGTTTTCTGAATAAGTTCTTTGGAATTCTTTATATCCCTTACTGCAACCATTTGGTTCAAACGCGCTAACTGTTGATAATAATACAGTAGAAATAGAATTATGAAGTCCCCTAAACATCCAACAGAAGTATTATTTTTAAAGGAATTTTTTTTCTTTATTTTGAAGATTCCTGTTTATTAGAAAGGGCTATGCAAACAGTGCTCCATTTATTTATATTTCTTATTTCGTTTATTTTTTAAGTATTTCATTTCAAAAAGCAGCAAGCTACAAACTGAGGAGAGACTATCAAGGTTTAGTTTAGAATCATTTTTATACGACTGCTTAGGATATTTTAATTTCGGTCAGATGGATTTATTTTCGATCTTACAATGCATACTGTAACATGCTTTCTGATCATTAATATCCCTAACAAGTGTAATAAAATTTAATTTTTAAATAAGTATAAACCAAGTCAATACAGTTTTGGGAAATCGGAAATATAATGCTTACCTGCATAACTTATTTTCCTTACTTATTAAAATGGTTACTGTCCTTCCAGCTAGCTGCATGCTATTCCTTTAACATCTTCTCGTTTGCTATTTGGACATCCGATCTGTTCCCCCAAATTAAGGTCCACAATCCCCCAAGAGCTAAGAAGACAACTGAACTTTTTTGTATGCTTTAGTCGTTTATTGAACCATTCGATCCTTAGTAGGAAATGCCGGTGTTGTCGCGGATCCAGTCCAGGTACCCGGTGACACGGCTGAAGACAGCTGGGTGACCAGCCTGGCAGCCAGCGGAGGATCCAAAGGAGGTCACTCCGACCAGGCGGTTGCCCTCGTGTGTGACCAGGGGACCACCGGAGTCACCTCCGCAGGTGGACTTTCCTCCGTCGGTGTTGATGCAGATCATGTTGTCGTGGAGAGACCAGGTGCGGCTGCAGTCGCTATGGGACATGATCTGGACGTCCACGCTCTGGAGCCAGTCGGGCAATGGGCTTCCATCGTAGGTACCACCCCATCCGGAGGCAACAGCCCACCAGTTGGCGTAGTCCTGGTAACGGTCGTTGTAGCTGGGCAGCTCAACCTTGTTGACCAAGCTCCAGAAGTCGACGTGGGGAGTGCGGATCAGGGAGATGTCGTTGTGCAGGTTGCCGCTGTTGTAGTGGTGGTGCTGGATGATGTCTCCGCTGCCGACCCAGTGGGTGTACTGGGGCTGGGTGCGTATGCTGGCTCCGTAGTTGATGGTCACTCCATTGGCATTGTTGGTGCAGTGAGCAGCAGTCAGGACCCAGGTGTTGCCGATGATGGAGCCACCGCACCACCAGTTTCCGTTGCCGCTGAACAGCAGACCAACGATGTAGGGCACCTTGCCCTCGTAGGCTGGGTAGCCGTTGGTGATGCGACCCTGTATGTCCTTGATGGGCGTCGGGGTCAGCTTCTGCGAGGGAGCAGGGATAGCCGTAGCTGCGGCCACGGCCAAGGCCAGGAATACGAACAGTTTCATTTTGATCAAGTCTTGCAACTTATGACTTTTCTGGAATTCGGCAGCCTTTTTATACAAAAGAAGTCAGCTCGAGGTGGTTTTATCTCGTACCTCTCAAGAGCCCTAGTTATCATATATGAAATTGTTGAGCAGTAAATTAAACTCATCGGGTCCCAGAGAGGTGATAAATGCGAGAAAGGTAAACAAAAACAAACAATGCTCAAGTTCGTAATGCAAACGACAAATCTGAAGTTATCAATGATTCAGCGGATCAGTTGACAATATAGTAAATTTTATTCTAAATATTATTTGCCGTCCGAACTCATAAAGCCATTATCTAGCCAAGAACGTATAATTTACTCGGCTTGTCACGTTTAACCGCAGGATATCTTATCAGAACCATAAAGCAAATCAGCATTGATTCTCTTGATTTTTATGAGTTTCAACTTGGAACTGGCGTATTGTAGATGACGTCTTCGTTGTGGAGGAGTCAGTGAAAGTGCAACCTGCTACAAAAATCCAGGGAAATGAGCTCTTTCCCTTTTCTGGAGCTGGAGAAAATTGTGTACATAACTCACAAGGGCTCTTAGAAAGCTAAATAAGGCAGGAGTTCTGTTAAAGCCCAATGTATCATTGAGTGCAGCAGTATTGTACACTGAGAAAATTTATTTAATATTTCAAATGAGGAATATTAAGAATTGTCACTTGTGCCCATTAAGAAGCACCTTGATATCATTCCTAGAACGGCATCTCACGTACTTTCAGTTATGCTCACCAATTAATGTGCACTTAATGAGTTCCCATCTGCTGCTGTGGCTTTAATTTCGAAATTCCTTGGCCCCCACCTCCTTCCCCCGGAGAAAGGCTATGCGGAGTGCATTGCCCCCGCTGAAAACCCCGTACGACTTGAACACGTACGATGCCATTCCGCCCGGAGCCCCATTGAACCCCACCTTTCGAACACACATCTCAAAGGGCGCTCCTTGGAAGTGGGTTGGTTCCTTTGCCTTGCCTTTGCTCTGCCCAGGAGCTGCCATTTAATTCCAAGTGCATTGACATACAAAAAGCCCTGCCAGCGCCCTGAAGTAGGCAACGCTCAACATTCAACATCCAACATTCAACATTCAAGGTTCAGGATGTTCGGCTGCCAAGGACGAGTGGGGATTTCAGTCGGGATTAATCAATATTAATCAATCACAAAGCAAGAATCACTGACCCACTGGCAAAAGGTGTTTGAAAAGATTTCAGTTCTGCCATTTCCGACTGTAAACTACAAGTGTGGTGTGTTTTCTTGGCTCTGTTGGTTAGCCAAGAGCTTAAAAGCTTGTCTTTTTACTAGTTTCAAGGGCTGTTAACGCGGTATGGCCTGGTTTTAAATAGCTTTTAAGTTGCAAGGGATTGTCAAGATGGTTTTTACCAGTCATTACTAATGTTGTACTAACAACAAATGATAGGAGTAATAAAACTGGTATCTGATATTCTATTGGGTATAAGCCCTACTCCTTTTATCTTACCAAAACAAGCATTTTATTGAATTTGAAGTGACCATTAGATGTTGTAAGTATGTCGAAAACTATTACTTAAAGTACTTAAGTTCTTCATAAACCCATCCAGAGATGAAACTCAATCAAATCGAATGTCCTCTAAGCACATAAGTTCCCTAGAAGCACTCCAGCAGAATCGGTCGTTCCCCATAATGTTTATGCCTTCTGCAGAAACGCATTGCACACTATGGATTTTTAGGTTTGATCTCGTTGCTAGGGCTTCAAAAATCGAAAATAATGCGCTGCTCGCTCATCACGTGCCCTGCAACTGGAAATGGGCAATAAATTCCTGGGCTGAAATCGCTGAAATCGGTTGCTGCCTCCCGAATGCAGCCCCACAACTACCAAGCGTGGTCAAATGGGCCCATTGACTTGCGTTTCGCCTACACATTGACCGAGTTTTAGCCAGGCACTAATGTAATTAGTGGAATATAGCGACCAGTGGCTGGCGCACCTCAACAGTGCATCGCGGCTAATTGGAGACTTAACATCGTCACGATGGAACACTAAAGGATACAGTGCGCGAAAGGATTACGGCCAGTCTCCTCAACGAGGAGCAGGGATATACACACATAGTCTGTGAAATGTGAAGTGAGCAAGTGATCCTGTGTTCCGCGTTTGCATAGTGACAGAGAAACGAGAGATATGGGTAGCAATACGGAATCCGATGCCGAGAAGGCATTGGGCTCTCGCCTGGATTACGATCTAATGATGGCCGAGGAGTACATATTGAGTGATGTGGAGAAGAATTTCATATTGTCCTGCGAGCGGGGTGATATTCCGGGTGTCAAGAAGTGAGCGTGTTTGGCCTTGTCCTTTGGCTTCGGTTTTCAGTAATGCTTTCGTCCTTGAAGGATTCTCGAGGAATACCAGGGAACCGACAAGTTCAACATAAACTGCACGGATCCCATGAACCGCTCCGCCTTGATTTCGGCCATCGAGAACGAGAACTTCGACCTGATGGTGATCCTGCTGGAGCATAACATTGAGGTGGGTGACGCCCTGCTGCACGCCATTTCCGAGGAGTATGTGGAGGCCGTGGAGGAGCTGCTGCAGTGGGAGGAGACCAACCACAAGGAGGGCCAGCCCTATGTAGGTTAAATCCAGCCGATGGTAAAACCGCTTTGCCTTCTCACTTATGATCCTTTGGCAGAGCTGGGAGGCGGTGGACCGCTCGAAGTCCACCTTCACCGTGGACATCACGCCCCTTATCCTGGCCGCCCACCGCAATAACTACGAGATACTAAAAATCCTTCTGGATCGCGGGGCCACGCTGCCCATGCCGCACGACGTCAAGTGAGTACTGATACAGTGAGCTTCCTCGTCCTTCGAGCGGCACGTACTATTGTTTGCCCAACTGGCATCTCACTTATGCAGCACCTAGCTGGTGCTTCTAATTTTAGCTAATTATGGGAAAAGTAGGGTGAAGTATGCATACAGGGTGTAAGGATGTTTGGTGAAAAGGACTCTTGAATGTCCTTCAACTGGTCCATCAATCCGTTCTTGCTTAAAAACTTATTATCAGATAGCCACTGAGAATGGAAAGAATGTCCTTAGACATCCTTTTTAAAGATATTTTTAAATAATTTGGATATAGATATGGGGGCTTCATCCTTTACTTTCTCAGGTGCGGCTGCGATGAGTGTGTAACCTCCCAGACCACGGACTCCCTGCGCCACTCGCAGTCGAGGATCAACGCGTATCGGGCTCTTTCGGCCAGCTCGCTGATAGCGCTCAGCTCCCGGGACCCTGTACTGACCGCCTTCCAACTGTCCTGGGAACTCAAGCGACTGCAGGCGATGGAATCGGAGTTTCGTGCCGAATACACGGTACGGTAGACAATGTAAGCGGTGGGTCTAGTGCCAATGCGAATGCGAGCCTTTGTTTGTGTTTGCCCAACAGGAGATGCGTCAGATGGTGCAGGACTTCGGGACCTCTCTTCTGGACCACGCACGCACATCCATGGAGCTCGAGGTGATGCTCAACTTCAACCACGAGCCGTCCCACGATATCTGGTGCCTTGGCCAGAGGCAAACCCTGGAGCGATTGAAGCTAGCCATTCGATATAAGCAAAAGACGGTGGGTTGGATCTATCGACATTAATTTATAATATTTTAAGGATTTTTTATATAATTTTAATAACATTTCTGCAAAATTTTTTTGCTAGTTTGTGGCTCACCCGAATGTCCAACAGTTGTTGGCCGCCATTTGGTACGACGGACTGCCGGGCTTCCGGCGAAAGCAGGCCTCCCAGCAGTTGATGGATGTGGTGAAGCTTGGCTGCAGCTTTCCCCTCTACAGCTTGAAGTACATCCTGGCCCCGGACTCCGATGGGGCCAAGTTCATGCGCAAGCCCTTCGTCAAGTTCATCACGCACTCCTGTTCCTACATGTTCTTCCTGAGTGGGTAATGTTTGGCTTTTGTGCTCCCTCTTCCTAAATGTTCCCCATCCACCACAGTGCTTCTGGGTGCCGCCTCCTTGAGGGTGGTGCAAATCACCTTTGAACTGCTCGCTTTCCCCTGGATGCTGACCATGCTGGAAGATTGGCGCAAACACGAAAGAGGCTCCCTACCGGGTCCCATCGAACTGGCAATTATTACCTACATAATGGCTCTGATATTTGAGGAACTTAAGAGTTTATATTCGGATGGTTTGTTTGAGTATATCATGGATCTGTGGAACATAGTCGACTATATATCGAACATGTTCTATGTGACGTGGATTCTCTGTAGAGCCACCGCTTGGGTAATAGTCCATGTAAGTTTCCGATCCCTTAAGAATGTCAAAGTGGAGTTTGATTTGATTTATTTTTCAGCGTGATCTCTGGTTCCGAGGCATAGATCCATACTTCCCCCGTGAGCACTGGCATCCGTTCGATCCCATGCTTTTATCGGAAGGCGCCTTTGCCGCCGGAATGGTGTTCTCGTATCTGAAACTCGTCCACATCTTCTCTATCAATCCCCATTTGGGTCCGTTGCAAGTTTCCCTGGGACGCATGATAATCGACATCATAAAGTTCTTCTTCATCTACACTTTGGTGCTGTTCGCCTTCGGTTGTGGGCTCAATCAGCTCCTCTGGTACTATGCTGAGCTGGAGAAGAACAAGTGCTATCACCTGCATCCGGACGTGGCGGACTTCGATGACCAGGAGAAGGCTTGTACAATCTGGCGAAGATTTTCCAAGTAGGTTATGCCATTTTCTAATGTATCTGAAAATGAAAAACCTTTTCTCGACTATGCCAGCTTATTTGAAACATCGCAGTCCCTTTTCTGGGCCTCCTTTGGCCTGGTGGACCTGGTCTCATTCGATTTGGCAGGAATCAAAAGCTTCACCCGTTTCTGGGCCCTCCTGATGTTCGGCTCTTATTCGGTTATCAACATTATTGTGCTCCTCAACATGCTGATTGCCATGATGTCCAACTCCTATCAAATCATCTCGGAGCGAGCCGATACCGAGTGGAAGTTTGCCCGTTCGCAACTGTGGATGAGCTACTTCGAGGATGGCGGCACCATTCCACCGCCATTCAACCTCTGCCCCAACATGAAGATGTTGAGGAAGACTCTGGGTAGAAAGCGACCATCACGAACCAAGAGCTTCATGGTAAGATACACTTCAAGAAACTGAAACTAGGATAGCTGTTTCACCAGGAAACCAATCTTAATCTCAATCTCAATTGATTTTCTTTTGCCAAAGGCTTGTCTCAATAATATTTACCCTTCTTATATTAATAGAAAAATAGTTTAAATATTTTCTAAGTCGTAGGAAGATATTTTTCTTCAAGTTTAACCACCTCACAGTGAGAGGCGGTGTAATCAATACAAATCTTTGGCAAAATCATTTTCAATCAAGCCCATGCAGCGCTGTCTGTGCGTCAAAGTGACGGCTAATACATCCTTTCCATATCCTTCCACCCCCTTTACTTTCTCTCTCCCGACTCGCAGCGCAAGTCCATGGAACGGGCACAGACCCTGCATGACAAAGTGATGAAGCTGCTGGTCAGGCGGTACATAACGGCGGAGCAGAGGCGGCGGGACGATTACGGCATTACCGAGGATGATATCATTGAGGTGCGCCAGGACATCAGCTCCTTGCGATTCGAGCTACTGGAGATTTTCACGAACAATAGTTGGGAAGTTCCGGACATTGAGAAGAAGTCCCAGGGTAAGGGAAGCCTTCCCATACCCCAAATGGTAGCACTCCTAATGATAGCAGCGCAATATGAATGTATTTTCTGAAGTAGCTAATAAATAAGTAAAAAGTTTAAAGCCCTCAAATCAAAATCTATCTAGAACTGCATTTTAAAACTAATTTCATATTCAAGTCATTAATTAAATAAATGATTTTCTCATTCTCACAATCCGATGTAATAGTATATGATATATTTCCTATAAAGAATAATCTGATTTATTTGATTATAAAAAACAATTTCTCAACTTCTGTAGGAGTTGCCCGAACCACCAAGGGTAAGGTTATGGAACGTCGCATCCTCAAGGACTTCCAGATTGGCTTTGTGGAGAATCTGAAGCAGGAAATGAGCGAGAGTGAGAGCGGTCGGGATATCTTCTCATCGCTGGCCAAGGTCATTGGCAGAAAGAAGACCCAGAAGGGGTAGGTCTAGTTTAGTTTGGTAGAAGAGTTAGGGTTATCACTTGTATTATTATTATTATCTTATAGAGACAAGGATTGGAATGCCATTGCGAGAAAGAATACCTTCGCATCCGATCCCATTGGCTCGAAGCGTTCATCCATGCAACGGCATAGCCAACGCAGTTTGAGGAGGAAGATCATCGAGCAGGCCAACGAGGGTCTGCAGATGAACCAGAACCAGTTGATTGGTAAGATTATTAGGATTACATTCCATTCCATGTGTAACATACATCTAATCTCGTACAGAATTCAATCCCAACTTGGGTGATGTGACCCGGGCGACGAGAGTGGCCTACGTGAAGTTCATGCGAAAGAAGATGGCTGCCGACGAGGTTTCCATTGGCGACGAGGAAGGTGCTCCGAACGGCGATGCGGAGAAGAAGCCCATAGATGCCTCTGGGGTACCCTTGATACCAAATTTATTATCCATTTGATTTCTTTATAATTTTATCACATTGCAGTCCAAAAAATCGACTACCAGCGGCGGAGGAGGAGGAGCTTCAATGTTGGCTGCAGCTGCTCTGCGAGCTTCCGTCAAGAATGTGGATGAAAAGTCCGGAGAGAATGAGAAGGATAAGAAAACCGATGGTAAGCCCAGTACAGTCAGCAAGCCAGCAGATGACAAGAAGCCCAGTGAGGGGAAGAAGCCAGGTGATGACAAAGATAAGCAGCAGCCTTCCAAGGACTCTAAGCCGCCACCAGCGGGTCAAAAGCCCGGTGACCAGAAACCGCCTCCAGGAGCAGGAGCTCCTAAGCCCCAAGCAGCTACAAATGGAAGCAAGCCTAGTGACCAACAAAAGAAGGATGCTCCGGCTCCTCCAACCAAGCCAGCCGACACTAAGCCAACAGCTCCCAAGTCCGGAGAACCTGCCAAGCCCGATGCAGCTGCTAAAAAGGAGGAGTCTTCAAAGACCGAGAGCAGCAAACCTGGAGCCACAAATGGAGCAGCCAAAAGTGCAGCTCCCTCGGCTCCATCGGACGCGAAGCCGGATGGCAAGTTAAAGGCTGGCGGAGATGGAGCTCCGGAGGGAACGAAAGCCACCAACGGAGCCTCAAAGCCAGATGACAAGAAGAGTGGTCAGGAGCAGCAGAAAAAGCCAGGTGATTCCAAGTCAGGAGACGATGCCAAGGACAAGGATAAGAAGCCAGGCGATGACAAGGATAAGAAACCGGGCGATGATAAAGACAAGAAACCTGGCGATGACAAAGATAAGAAACCAGCCGACAATAAGGATAAGAAGCCTGGTGACGGCAAAGACAAGAAGCCGGGAGACGATAAGGATAAAAAACCAGGCGACGACAAGGACAAGAAACCAGCCGACGACAAGGACAAGAAGCCTGCCGATGACAAAGACAAGAAGCCAGGAGCAGCTCCTCTGAAACCGGCGATCAAGGTGGGTCAAAGCAGTGCGGCAGCTGGCGGAGAACGGGGCAAATCCACGGTCACAGGACGCATGATCTCCGGCTGGCTGTAAGTCATCCCCGGAATGCCGTTTTATAGTAGTTATATATATTTAAGGTCCATGTTTGTGTGAGCAATAAACGAATCTCAAATACAAATGTCTCTCGCAACATGTTGCCGAACCCCACCTGTTGCTGGCAACATCACTTTGCATCCCCACAGCGCCAGCAACATTCATCAGCCGCCCCGTTGGCCAAATGGCAATTTGTTTGCCTGCCATCCTGCTGTCCGTTTTTTTCTGGCCTATAAAAGAACTCGAACTTCGACCAGAAGCATCAGAAAACCAGTGTCCGCTCCAAAGAACACATCAGACCGAAATACATATTTTGCCAACCAGTGTTACTTTCTAAAAAGTTTTGCAAATATGAAATCAATGTTGCTCAACGCAGTCTTAGTGCTTTTCTTACTAGCAGAATTCAGTGCGGCAGGTGAGTAAGACAGGGATACATCCATCTTGATCAAAGGATCTAAGAAATCTGAGCTGATGTGACTTGTTTTAGTAGCCGAAAAAGATCTTAAAGAGCTTTTAATAAATTTTAAAAATATTTTACAGCACCTTTAAAAGAGAAAGGTAAACCAGTGTCATTTCGATTTTACTTTTTATCTTTCCTAAAATTATTCTTGCATAATTTTAAATCCAATTAAAGCTATTTTTAAAAAGGCATGATATTTTCTCTTTATAATTCTACTTTTTATAACAAACACCTCAAATGGAATAAGCCAAAATTGCGAAATCTAACTGCTTAAACAAAAATAATTATAAGGGCAACGTAATATCCCTGTTTATCGTAAAGGATAAGAAGTAATTAAGCAAAAGAAAGTTAATAAGAATAATTTTGGCAGTTAGAAAATAGCCTATTCCATGGTGACTTAAGAACACAAGTGTGACAGTTAAGAAATAAATTACAAACCATAATCACCCCATCTAGAGTTGGACCACGACAAGAACCGACGAGGTGCCAATATGGGGCTTTATGCCTTTCCGCGCGTTGGCCGCGACGGATTAGAAGCTGGAGTCCTCGATGGCATTTACGGTGATGCCTCCCAGGAGGATTACAATGGTAAGTCGTTGCGGCCGGATAACTAATTGGCCTAAACGCCCCGGGGACGTACCATTTCAGAGGCTGATTTCCAGAAGAGGGCCAGTGGTCTGGTGGCCTTTCCACGCGTTGGCCGCGGAGACTCGGAGTTGCGGAAGTTGGCCCATCTCCTGGCCCTGCAACAGGTGCTAGACAAGCGCACAGGGCCCAGTGCCTCTTCGGGATTGTGGTTCGGACCCCGCCTCGGAAAGCGCAGCGTAGATGCCAAGTCCTTTGCGGACACCGCCAAGGGACAGAAGGAATTCAACTAGATACTCCCACTCGTACTCCGCACTGATGAAAGGCTCCTTTGACACTCCAGTTTTGTTTATCAAAGAGAACGCTTCTGATTGAATATTGTAACGGGTATACAGCAAATATGTTTTTCGGTCAAATATATATAATTAATTAAGGGCTGGTGAGAGCTTGTAATTAATGTCTTTGTGTGTTGTTCATGCCATTTCGAGTATGTAAATATAATAAAATAGATCAAATAACCTGCGCAAGTACTTTTCCTTCAGATCTTTGATCAATATAAAGTCAGTATCCTTTAGAGTATTAAGAAAAGTTTATTCTAAATGAGTTGCAAACATTTTTGGTACAGATATGCTGGTGTGAATGATTTCTCATCGCCACGACAATATTAAGATCAAAGATTCAGGCCTCTACTCCTGCTGCTGCTTGAACTTTCGCAGCTCGGACTGTATGGCCTCGATAAGGGGAGCAGTTCCAGCTCCTGTTCCCGAAGAACTTGCAGCTAGACCAGATGCATCCATCCTTTGAATAGGTCCAGCGCTCAATGGACGATTCAGGGTGGAATGGGAGCTGTACATACTCCCACCACCCCAGGCACTATAAGTCGGTGATGGTGGCTGCGTGGAATGGGCCGACTTAGATGTCTTCTCTGGCTGTGCTGTGGCAGGACGTTCAGCTATGGTCTTAGTGCCACCTGCAGGATGAAAGCTGGAAGATCACAAGATTAACTCAGAAAGGATAATTGCTGCTTAGGCTGTAGAACCTCACCTGGGCAATCCCGCCGATGAGCCCCTGTGCTCGCGCTTGGTAGCCCTCCTGTTGTTCGTGAAATTCTGGGTGGGCAAGGGCATGGGTATGTCGTCCTGGCTGGAGTACATTTGCAGGGCTCCCTCCAAAAGCCCCTCGTAGTGGTTTCGTATGGCCGACGGATTGTGCAGCGGACTGGGATTATAGTCCGTGTAGGTCAGGGCCTCTGGGGAAGATCGATTGGAGAAGTTGAGTACATTATAAGAGGACTGACTTTACCAGGTTGAAGTGCGACTGAACTGGACTGGACTGGTTAGAGGTAGGTCTCTACGTTGTTAGTTAGCTACGTTTTGGTTATCGGGTTATCAGGATTGGTGCAAGCAATAACAATAACAAAATCAACGACTACAGGTTGTCCTAGTAACGCGACTTGTCCCCAAATCGAACATCGCCATCGTCATTGTCGTCGTCCTCGTCGTCATCGTTATTGTTATTCTTTGGGGTTTCTCCTCCCGGCTCACCCTGTGACTGCTTCTTCTTGTGCCGCTCCCAGACCACGGGACCCACCACTCCCGGATCCGGATTATCGCTGTGCGAGGCTGAACGGACATTCCTAACCGATGGCGGCGCCTTGGGACTGGGAAAACTGGCGATGGTGGCTATGGTGCTGTCCTTGCTGCCTTGTTGAGATTTGTGGGATCTCAAGGATCTCGTGGAATTGTGCGGTGCCACTGCATTCACATTGTCGTAGTAGGTGACGAAGACGGGATCCAGGACGCGGTTAAGTGGTTCCGGTAGAGCACTCTTTGGAAAGGCCCTCACAGAGGCCATCGATAGAAAGGAGCCCACACTGGCTGTATCTGACTTATCGGATGGCTGCATATTCCGTATCATCTCGCTGTTAATGGCCTCGGCGGAAACCCCTCTTCCGGTTTTCTGAGTTAGCAACTTGTTCCGGTGATAGTTGTTGTTCGGATTGAAGGCCTCGTTCCGCTGAAAGTTCTCGTAGCTCCTTCGCATGACCTCTGGAGATTCCTCGGCGGAGGAGTGGCCTGCTAAGGAGCCCTGGACAGGACTCGTCTCCAAGGAGCCCACTCGATTCTCGTTCAGGTAACGCCTCCTTGACTTGTGCCGGGACTTGTCGCCCTTTTTCTCGGACACCACCGATGTATAGACGGTTTCCTCGTGGCCCTCAGCTCGATCGTACTGATGGCGCCTCTTATGAGCATCAAACAAACGGGCAGCCTTGTCATCCAGTATCCTCTGGACATCGGCACTCGGCGGATTGATGGGGCAGTAAACCGAGGAGTCAGAAGTGTTGTCTGTTGACGAGGATATGGAATCACGACGGGATCGGTTGTCTTGTGGTGGAGCTGGAAAACTGATGCGTGGCTCCCTTTCGTAGGAGAAGTTTCGGACACCAACCTCCCTGGAATCGGAATGTCTTGGACTGGGTTCTCCCTCTGTCCTCTCACTGGTTGTTGGTCTTATTGATTGACCCTCGGAGAGCAACTCGTTGCGGGACGAGTTTCTGCAATGAATACTTCATAAGTAAAAAGGGTTTAAACAGACAGAAATATCCTTTGGTTTTAGCTTAAGGATGGGACTTACCTGTTCACTGCGCTTAGCTCTCTGTGTCTGGAACGTGTTCGTCCTAGAAGTAGAACTGCCACAAGAAGCAACATCAGCAGCAGGATGGCCAATGAACTAATCACCACCAAAGCTACATTGTTTTTGACGGAGTTAAAGAAGCCAGCCTGGCCACTTCGAGGAACAGGAGCCAAGGCTGTGGCCGTGGGCTCCCTGATGTAGGCTATAAGAATATAGATAGTATCTCAATAGCCAAAGATAGATCAAAGATAGTTCAACTTACGTTCAGATTTCATATAGACAGCCTGGCCAAAAGTCTTGACTGCCTCGGATTCGCTGACTAGTTCCATATCCTTAGCTGCTGTTGTGGCCAAAACGGGTCGACCATTCACCAGGACAGTGTAAATGAGCTCTGTTTGGTTCGCTATGGGACGATCGTTGCTGCTAAATGATAAATTAAACAATTAATACACGAATATATATATAAAATGATTATCAAAAGCATTCTTTACAATTTCAATTACATTTCCTGCAGTGCTTATCCTTATCCCCATCTTGCAATTGATATTTTTTGTGAGTGCACTTTGTGGGTTAATCAAACTCATAATATAATAACAAGTTCGGCAGGCACTTACAATTTGAGGTTGACGTAGTTGGGCTCCTCCATGGTACCGAACCCATTGGTGTTCGTGCTCCACTTTTGCACATCCGCCTCGCTAATTTGCGTTAGGTTGTGTATGACAACTCTGACGTGCTCGTCCCGATAAAGTGGTTGGGGCTGGGAATGGGGCTGGGGTTGGGCTGGTTCCACTCCCTGTTGATGTTGCCCCTGTTGTTGCTGCACTAGCGGTTGCTTAGTCAACAAAGCTCCGTGCATTTCCCGCAACTTTTCCGATTTCCCATTCTGCTGTATGAGCTCCCAGGGGATCAGAGTAACGTACGCGCCATAATCTATCGATTCTGTCCCGGTCGAAGTTGTGACCCCCGTTGGAAGTTGCTCTTCGGACTGCTCCTCTTCTGAGTTGCTGGCCCACTCCGTGTCTTCGCCAAGTCTTCTCACATTCTTTATGTAGTGCTCCTCATCCTCCTGCATGTCCAGTATTTCCACATCGTCTGAAGGTGATCCCGTCGTAGTTTCGGGTCTCATTGGTGGGGTAAAGGATTTCCGACGCCCTCGAGTCGCTGGCACATTAACCCCTTCGATCTGCTGAGCTCCATTTATGCCCAGATGACGGGTTTGTTGCCTGTTGGTTAAATTTAACAATTCATAGCCGCATTTATTACCAAGAAAATTAAGTTACTTAATCGCAATTTTGTAGTTATTTCAATCTTTTAAATACATTTTATAGTCAATGTTAAGCTTACCTGGTAAAAGCCAGACGGTACAGGCGAGCCAGCTTATCCTCCAAGGTGGGATTGTCCTTTGCTGTATAGTAGCCGGACATGACAGTCAGCAGCCAATAACGACGATCCGTGGCGGAATAGTTCAGGGGAGGCATTCCAGGGCCACCCATATCCCAAGTGCCACCCCCATCATCCGGTTTGCAATCCAGGCAAATAGGTATGTCAATTTCCTGGAAATCTGTATAAGATTGCCTTCTTTAAGGGTACTACTTCAACTTACATTATTTCCATCCACATAGACCGTGGCCACCACTGTCTCCGTCTTGACAATCACATCCTTGCCCTTGGTGATGCCCGTATGCACCTTCTTCAAGAAATCCGGAGGGCCATCGCCCGAGCCAGTCCAGAAAAAGTCTTCCAAGTGAATTTCGTCCTTAACTTCCGGATAGTCATCATCGGAGTTGTCTGGAAATGTCATGGTTTTATTATAGCTTCGGCAGTTTCTTGAACTTTCACCCGGTTTCCATAGAAAGTAAACAAAAGTTACTACCAAAAGGAAGGGAGTTGTGATTTTATACTCTTAAAAATAGATTTAATATTGGTATTTTAAATAGATCTATATATATATATCTTTTTGATATCTTCAAGTTGCTGAATCATCGCAACTCACTCATCCATCAATTGTTATTTACCAAAGGGCCTTTGATTTTTATAACCCTTATTTGGTAACAGGCTTTCGAGTTTGTTTGATCAATTGCGCTAATGGCAACATATTTCCTACGATGAATGCAGTTGTGCCGCATTATGCTCCTGGTGGTTCCCACTATGTGCACTGGATGTGGTTAATACTAGGACCCACTCTCCTGAAAGACAACAATAGCATTGCCTTATCGATTAGCACTTTCGTTTCCGAAAGCCCAAAGACAGGAACTTGACAATTTGCTTGCGTGTTGGCCTGCCTGCAATTAACCATACACCTGCCTTGATTTGGCAGGTCGAATCACCTGGGTCAGCCTGGCTTACCTTTCGGTTTTGCAATTAACTCTTATTGATTGTCCCAAATTTTTGCCGCGGTCAGTGATGAAACTCTGCGGTTTTGTGGTAACGCTTTCAGCCACAAATTCATAAAAATGCGTAAAGCAAGGGAAGCGTTAAAGGGCAAAATACTTGCCCCGTAAAAATGCTGGCTTGGGAACCCCGTAGCCCATAGTCCAGAACCTTTTGATAATATACAAAAATTTCACTCGTCGGATGCTCAACTCACCGTGACTTAATTGTATAAGCGGCTGACCGAGCTGCGACTTTTGCGTGGCTGTAGAGCTTTGTTGGATGGCCAAAAATAAAGATATCAGCAGAATCGTATGATTTGCTTTCATTTTCACTGGATTATTTATGAGCGTTTTGGTCACTTTCGGGTGTTTTCACTGCGTCCCGCATTTCCCTTTCCACGAGCTCTGAAAATCGTTCCGATGGGAAAACACTTTTCTACCGCTGAGCCGCTGAACTATATAGATGATGATTCGGCACCGTCGAACGCCAACCGGGAACTAAACGCTCCATTGTAATCCGACAATTCTGGTGGTGCGGACTGGTGACATTGTTATAACCCGCTCTCTGTTTGGGCCGCTTTATGCCTGGTCAGTTACCTGGGGCAACGGCGACTTCATTTGCAACAGGCACATATCGGAAAAGCGCGCCAACACAGAGACCCGCTTTCCGTAAACAATCAGAGCTTTCGCCTCAATTCAAGTCCGACTTGGTAGTGGCTTTTTGGGACTTGGTAGGTAAGGTGGGTTACTAAGGGATACCGGCTATACTGGACAGATACTATGTAAGAACTTTTAACCATGGTTTCAGTTTAGCTTTTAAAAAGCTATCCTAAATAAATAGCAAAAGCTGCTTGATTTGGCAACAAATTGTGTGGGAAATCTTTTAACGGACAGAATCTTTTATTATTAATATTTTAAGACATCTAATTATGTTTTAAATATATAATTATATATGTTTTAACATAGAATGAAAGGGTTTTTATATATGTGTTATAATAAAACCAAGCTTCTCCGTAAAAGGAAACTGTATTCAAAATGTTTTTGTATTTTTAACATATAATTTAAATAGGGGTATATAATTATATATAGTTACAATAATCCATTAACATTTCATCAATCTTTTAAAAGCTCTTTTGGTAAAATATATGTAATAGCCAAGGCAAAGAACACTATGGAACATTATCAAACGACCTTCATATCATTACACGAATAATAGCTTTTTGTTAGCATCAGCGTTATCAAAGTGGTTAAAGCTTGATTAATTAGCAGTAATTAACTTGCAGACTGAACAAGTTTTTAGTTAAGTATGTAATTAATAGGTACCAGCACTAATTCTAGTACATAAATATTTGGTGTTATTCTTTTGACAAGATGGTTAATATTAATGGTTATGTGATTAATTAATCATTAACTGTAAGCTACATCTTAAATGTAAAGCTTAAACGGCCTTCGTAATACTTCTTTAATGTTTTCTACTCATGAGCCCTAATGCTGGAATGATAAATTACAAATAATTATTAAGTAATTTAAAAATGTTTCCCAAAGTAATAAAGTAATAAATCTGATTGCCTCAGCGACTTCTGTGAAAAATGCCAAACGGCCTTCGTCTCGTTTCTTCAGTTATTTGCTTTTTGTGGCATATCCGACTAGTAAAAATTGATTAATTGTTAATAATGATGAAGATGCACTGAGTAACTTCCCACCTACATTTCGGGCAAACGTGTTTCTGTGACTGATGTAGCCGCTAAATAAGCCAAATACGTCATACAATGGTACAAGGTTTCCTATGTAGGCTTACAAAAAACCCCCGAAAAATACATAATTTTACCTCGTGGCTCGAACTACCATTCATCATAGGAAACGGGTTTGCTGGTCTAAATGCTTCCAGGAAGAACTCTAATTTTCGGTTGTCCATTGTTGTTATCTGGAATCACTAAAATTAGAATTTGATTATAGCTTTGCCGCGAATCAAGCCTGTCAAATCTGGCCATAACTTTGAGCTGTAGGCGCTTATTAGCAGGCGATCCTCACCTGACTTGGCTAACTTTTCGGTGTTTGTGTGTGGACTTCATAGATACCACCGAATGTATTTGTCAATGCCTGCAAGATTCTTAAAACTTGTTTCGGGTGTCGAGACCAAGACCATCATTACGATAGAATGCGCTAATTTGTCGGGCGTAAAGACTTTTTAAAGGTCAAAGCTATTGCGCAATAGAAAAACTCGTCTATCTAGAGTGGTTCCAATGATATTGAAACAAGTAAACTTGATCTTGGCCAGAGGCAAATGAAAATTCTTAAAACGCCCTCACACAACCAGTTTCAGCGGTGGAAAATATATATTTTTGATTCTTTGTTTACATTTCTATACAATCATCAATCTTTATGCAGTCTATCCAGCGGCGGACTTCAGGGCGCCGGGGCTCAGCTTGCGGTTCTTGATCTGGTAGCGGGCCTTGTAACCATCCTTGTCGGCGGTGTACATGGTCACAGTCTCGGTATCAGTCTTTTCATCATATGAGGAGTAGCTACCCATCACGACCAGTTGCTCATCAGGAGTGTCGGGGTTCATGATCACACCAATTTCCTCGCGCTTGCTTCCATTGGGCTCTTCAGATCTGCAAATCGACATTAGTTAATCTCTAATCCCTGCCGAAGTCTGAGAATACGTACGAAAAACGGTATCCCTCCTTGGTGGGTGCATTATTGTAAAATTCCGTCACGATTGCGGGAAATATATAGTCCACAAGTCCTGCCGAGCTGTTGGCGGCCATAACGGCCACAAGGGCAGTGAAAAGTAGCTAAAAGGGGAAAACGTTTAACATATTACTGGTCTATCTTTGCTAAGTTTTAGTTTTTGTAACATTTTTTAAGTGTCTATCTATATTAAATGTGGCAGATTAATGCCCGTGCTCATAGACTGAACAAACTAATCAGAAATGTAGCTATATAGTCCCAATATCTCACATGATTTTCTTATTTTATATTCAGATATTAGCACTTTTTTGGAACACCGAACTGGAAAAGCGTTTCTAGCAATGTCAGGTATAGAAAGACTTCTATAAGTTTCTGCATTCTACACGGGGTAATTACACGGCTTAGTTAGCTGGATATTAAAACAGCATTGCCAGTAGCTGAAGCTATTAGCACAGCTGCATTAACATTTACAGTATTGATAGCTTCTATTTGGATTATTCACACACTTCACATGCCAAAGTAATTGCAGCCCCTTGGTCAATACCAAGTCGTAGGTCTCGGACAGTGTCGAGGGTTCCGGAGCGGGATGGGGTGACGCCCTGGGCGAGTGCTTACCAATTTCGCTGAGACCATGTTTATGCGCGCTGAAGTTCCGGAGCTATACTAAAGCATCCGCAGCGTGCCCCCTAATATATAAAAGTTAAGATCTGCATAGATCTTGAAGCTGGCGGCGACAGCGAATACACGGCGGTTAATTCGTATTTCTTACTTAGTAGCTGCCACTATTGAGTAAAACCGGTCGCTTCTCGATTCTCAACTTCTCAACTTAAATGCCGAAATAAACGCCAACGCCTTACAGCCATTGTGTTTCATTTTGGAAGATTGATTCGGAAGAACCTTTGACGCAGGAATAGAAATCGAGACACCTGTTCGGAAAACATACCACTCACTCTCCCTGCTGTGCAAAGCAGATGCAAGACTATTTTTTCGGATATCTTATCAAAATGCGGTTATCCTTGGACTTGGAGCTGGCGAAACCAGTGATTTATAAAATCATATTTGCATATGTTTTCAGATGCCAAACTAAACAAAATTACTCTGAACGATCTCAAACTAGTTTATTTCGGTTGGCAGTCGTGCTATGATTTCACTTTCTATACGATGTTCTCGTAGGTGAAGCCCAAGCTGCTCTCAAGAATTTGTACTTTCTTGAACGGATCAGGTTTTTCTCTGTAAGAAGTTTTCACGGTTTTTTACATGATTGTTCAATGGGATGAGTAATTAGTTGTAATCAGCCATCAATAATGCTCATGCACTGACTCATTGCACCACCAAACCTTTCCAGACTCGTCTTCAGTTCTAGTGGTATTCAATTGATGTGTTCCTGGATGGCAATCAAATAAAACCCAAGTTCAGTCTGAAGCTGTGTAGCAATTAATCTAAACGTCAAGTTTAGGTTCAACGCTCGAGACAACGTCACTACAATTAAATGTTATAGGAAGCCGAATAGTTCAGATACTTGTTTTTATGTAATACATTCTGAAATTTAATTATTTTTATTTTGATATTAAATCGAATCTTATTCATTTATTGAGGTTTGAACACGAAATCCCCTGATAAAAATATATCAGCTCCTAAAGTGACCTTAACAAATATAGAAAAAGTGGAACTCAACTTTTTAAAATGTTTAAATAGTCAATAAATATATAGATCTCCTCAAGTAAAGGTGATTGACGTCTGAATGAAGGCTGAGATACTATTAAAACCACCTCCCTAAAAGTATGCTTTACTTTGTAACAAAGAAGCTATTAAGACTTTTCATTCCACATTCTTTATTAACAGTTTAACCCTTTTTCATTTTATCCAGCGAGTGTCTTGTGAACCACGCCACTCAATCTGCGATTCTTGATTTCGTAGCGGGCCCTGTTACCATGCTTATCGGCCGTATACATGGTAATGGAATCCGTGTCGGTCTTCTCATCGTAGGTGGAGTAGGAACCCATCACCACCAGTTCCTGTTTGTCCGTGCCGGGATAGAGGAACATACCGATTTCCTCGCGTTTGCTGCCATTAGGCTCCTCTAATCTGAAAGGTTATTTGATGATACACACTCGGTTAATTACTGGCAATTTAAAACTACTAACTTGAAGTGGTATCCTTCCTGAGTGGGAACCAAGGAGTAAAACTCTGTCTTCACGGCTGCTACGAAATTGTCGAACAAACTTATGGCCGAGTTTGTGGTTTGAGCAAACAGGTTCTGGAAGCCCTGGGCCGAGCCACCAGTGGCCATAATGCCGAGCAGGGCAGTGAATAGAAGCTACAACAGGAAATATATTAAAGGATTGCCGCATATTATTTTTTTACTAAAAGAATTTGAAATTTCTAATTTGATTACCAGTTTCGTTGAGACCATATTAAAGCGTTGAATTAACCGATCTATACTGAAACATCCGAGGCAGGGACACCTTAATTTATAAACTTTGGGAACTGCATATGGCATTTCAGTGCTCATTATTAGCTGCCAAAACTACTAGGTTAAACCGGTCCTAGCCTTTCCCCGGCCAAACGCCGGACTAGGGAAGAACATGTAGATCGGGAATCAACTGATCTGCATATCTCTTAAAACATATTTGCACGGCTGTGTGAAATATTATCGGGTTTGTTTTCACTTTCTGGCTGACTTAATTATTTAACAAAACATGATATAATAACATTTAAAACACGTCTTGGTAATAACATTTACTTATTTAATAAATAAATAAATAAAAGATATTGCTTTATAAGCCTAAGGATTATCTATGGATTTTAAGCTGACGATTAATTTACCAACTTTGTTGAGATCATCTTGACTGCATAACAAAAACTGAGGAAACTTATGTGTGAACCCTCTTATTTTATAAAATGGAGGAAATGCAAAAATGTTAAAAGCTTCTGTGAATGGATAAAACTGGTGACAGCATTTCCATTATTTAAGGCCAAAGTTGGAGAGCAGATATTGAGCAACAACATTCATCTGATCTGCATACTATAGATCGTAAAACAAATTTAACAAATTTACAAATTGTATATATATTGCCAATAGGACTTAATATTCTAAATTTGTAATATTTTGATAACCCATTAAACAAAAATTTGTAAATAAGCAATTGAATTGTTTACTTTTTATGGAAATCTCAGTCAGTAATTTCTAAAAACAGTTTACCTATAAATAGTCAATTTCGCACAATAAAAACGTCGTTTTAATTTCTTTTTAAAACTTGTTTGTTTGGCATCTGCCTTCTACATACATTCTTTTACTTATATTTTTAGAAAGTACATTTCAGAGCAGTCACTATGTTTAAGCTGATTGTATCAGTTCAGATTATTTTTGAAACCTTTTTTAAGATACACTTTTTAGTACTATCCCAATATGTCCACGGCCAGTTTTATGAATATTTATTAATTTGAGTCTTTTAAACTTCAGACTTTATAACAGCTGAGGAATTCCAAATATGTTAAGCTGAATGACAAAAAGCTGAACTGTACGTAAAGTACCCTACTCAACATGTATTCTACATTGCGCACAAATTAGATCGATAGAGAGCGCCACTAAAAAAGTGAGTAGTACACACCCTGTTTACTTTGTAAACATTTAACATTTCTTTTAGCTTTAAAATATCTTAATTTTCTATTACATCGTTTTTAAAACCAACCATTAATTTATGAACTATTAAACAAGTTTTAAATTAATTTGTTTTTATTTAACATACCCACACATTGCATGACTTTTGAACCAAGCATTATTTTCCCTAAATGGCAAATTAAATGAGCCTTTCAAAAAACTAATTAATTTGTGATAACTGTTATTAATATTAATATTAACCACAGAGTAGAAAGAGTGGACAAAATGTAACCGCTTGCGAGTCTGTTAAACAGTTGGTCATCCGTTCTAGAGGCTTCACCATGGTGAAGAGCCTCACTTTCCTGATTGCAGTCCTGGCCATTGCAGATAACTTAGGATGGGAATGGATGGGGGATGCAGCTGGAACTGATCTGTCATCCTCGTCAGCACAGACCCAAGGATGCGAATGCTCAGCTACGATGTCCTGCAGTTGCTGCCAGAGTGTGGCTGTTAGTCTCATGAACGAAACCAGTACTCGTGAGTTTCTCAGATGATAGTTTTCATCCCTTAATCTATTCAACTGCCTTCTTAGTTTGCCTCACCCTAGGAATTGGCTTACAAAGTGGAACGTTAGATTTGGGAGCCTCACTGGACGGAACTTCAGTAGGCTCGTTCTCCATTAGCACCAACAAACCGCCCACGTATTGCGTTCCTGTAGTCTCACTGGTTTCGCTGGACATATGCCTCAAAGTCGACATTCAGATGGCCGGCGTTGCAGTCAAGGCCTGTCCCACCTTCTATACCAACTACAGTAGCAACCAGGTTGTGGCCTATGACTTCCCCTGCATCCAAGTTGGACTGAATGGCGTTAGCCTGGTCTGAAACCCACATCCTGATTCTGGCCAAAAAAATACACAGTGCTTCTTTCAAGTTTTTTATTCTTTATGCTTGTCGTTAGGTTTATAAAATGTTCAGCAGCTAGCCAGGAAAATTGCTATATACAAATGTTACTGGTCAAATGCGTGGTGGAGTATAGCCACAGGATGCAGGCGATCCAGTCGATCCAGGACATACTTTGACAGCTAAGCTTAACGAGTAGTAGGGATATTAAACAAAAACAAAAGTTATCGGTGAAACCCATCAAAGCCCAAACCACAAGAGAAAAATGTACAATAAGCTTACAACTGAAGATCACAAAGGACTCCTAACCACAGAGGTTGGTCTTACGAATTCTACCAATTATATAATATGTTGGGTCTTCCTATATTGAGGTAAGCAGCAGATAATTCATCAGGATTACTTAGGGCACCTCGGGAACTGCTAGTTCACCCAAAATTTAGATCAGTTCGCTCGTAAATCGCTCGTCCACCTTGTTTATCGGTTATATCAACTTAAACTATGCTTGGAGCAGGCCGCCTTGGTTGCCCAAACAGCTCTTCTGGTCCATTCCGAAGGGGGATCCCTCTCCTCCATAGGAAGCGGACGCGGATGAGGCGGGCACATCGCTCACGATCGCCTTGCACATGACCATCCTGACTCCGGCGAGGAAGTCCGAAAGGTAACATCATGTGGGCCGTGAAGGTGCCGGCGGCTTTCGCTCCAAGGACGTCTGCAGCACGACGGGAGGTGGCGGCGGTGGGGCGCTCCGCATCCTAGGCACCGGCTTCTGGTCCTTGCTGGCCAGCGCATCCTTTAGCACCTTTGGCTGCGTCGTTATGACCTTTGGTATGGTTCCCAGATGCTTCGGCATCCTGGCATCCGCACCTCCTTCGAATCTCACTGATTCCACGGAGGAGGAGATACGGCTGTTGCCCTCCTCATCCACTTCGTTGCCATTGTCCACCTCGTCGTCCTCATCCTCGTTCTCCTGATCCTCGATCAGGGCACGGAACTCTTGGATGGATTCGTTAAGCACCCACAGTTGTGACAACAACGAGAGATCTAGTTGACGCAGTCCGTGCTGGAATAGATCAAATGGGAGGGAAATTAGTATGATAATTAACTAAGTTATCTTTAGAAAAAAGGAAAGGAAACCAGCTATAAGTCATGACCTTCACTCTTGTTCCTGTTAGATTGATATTTATTCTACATTCAGCTCATAAGGTATTCAAGCATGCTGCGTTCCCACTGACAAACATAATAAACTGCATAGAAACAGACCTGGAAAGCTGCTTGTTTATGGGCAGATAGATTTATCATTGACAAATAGTTACTTTACATTTTATAGATTCAGATTGTGTTATCCGAAATATATATCGTCTGGCTGGCCATGAATAATCCCAAATAACCAAACATCCAAATCCTTGGCCTGTATTTGGTATAGCTTGTGGTCAAAATGAAAGTTCCCTGTCGCTGTCGAGTAGGAAGGAAAAATCTCATTTGTCAATTAATATCGCGGCATAATATCGCGCGAAAAGAAAAGCAGAAAAACTTTCTGCAACCGCCGCGGCATCACCATCACCATCAGCATCACCATCAGCATCGTGGTATTAACAAAATCCGCTCAAGCCTGCGTTTTCGCTCCGCCCAACTCCCACTTGGCTGCTAATGCATTCAGATTGAATGCAAAAGAAAATTAAACTAAAAAATTAAGATTTACATGCGATAAATTGAGTAGAAGAAGGAATACCTCATGCATTTTTAATTCAATGTAAAGGCTTTTTTAATGATTACAGATTTTTTGTAACCATTAATTAAGCTTTCCCTTTGTGGCTTCGGGCACTTCGGAAACCACAATTTCAATTTTCTTCACTTCCGACTAGAATACGGTTAGCGTTTCGTCATTTGCGGTTTCTTCTTGGGCATTCAATACTTCTGCATCTGCTATTTTCCGCTTTTCCCCAACTTTCCCAACAATAAGGAAGTATCTACGTGTTCTGCAGTAAAATCTGCCTATCTGCGTTTTTCTTTTGTTCCCCCCATTTGCTGTGAGCCATGTTAAGTGTGTGCCAGTTTTGGCCAGATTAATGCCGGTTGTGGAAAACCTTTTCGCGGGGGCGTCGCCTTGGGTCGAATGTGAATTAGTCGCAAATTAACATACTTGCAGGGTTATCCGTGGGAAGTCGATCCAAGTAGAATTGTGCTAATGCCATTAGTTAGGACTGACCAGAAAATGCAGATCAGGCTGTCGGCGAATGTAGGTCAGCTATTGAACTGCATTTAATTAGGTTTAATTGCAGTCAGCTACATGGCAAGTTGCATTTCTTTCGCTTCTGTCATAAATCAAATCGATATGGTTGAAAACTTAATTAGCCCTAAGCTCCTTGTGCTAAAATTGCTTAGGGCTGTACGAAGTGCTTATATTACGTGGCAATAGGAGGGGAGGCTTTGGCACAAGCAGAAGCCCTAAAAGTATTTCTTAAATGCAACAGCGCCAAATGGCAATGAACGCTGCAAATGCCAGACAAGGCTGCCACAGCCCTCTCTCTGGCTGTTAAAATATATATATGCATATATATATTATATATGTAGATCTGCCCAAGATCCAAGATAAATAGTGGCGCGTTCTATCTTTAGCCGGGAAGCCATTCAGCGTACATCAAACATTTCTGCACTGATGCGTGAACTCTGCAGCTGAACGGCGGCACCTTTGCTAGAAATGCGGAAGATCAGGAATCGCGGAAATCGGATGGAATGAAAACAAGCCGGGAATTTCAGCAATTATCTGCAGAATCTGCAGAAGGAAAATCCCAGATGTGTTGCCATTTTCCATTTACCAGATATTTGCATTTTAAAATTAGCAAAAGGAAAGGGAAAAGCACAATCCATGATTCCTTATCTTAACTTATAAATTTACTTTTTTGATTAATTTCCTAACACTCGTAACGAAAATGTCTTCCAGCAGACCATTTATCAAGCCAATTGTGCAAATAAAAAGTTTTTCCACACCTCTTAATATCCCCCACGGATTTAATTAACTCGAGAGGTAGGCAAATGAAGCAATACTCGTAGACGGATTGCAGAACATATATATATAGATATAGTACACATCCATATATCTTTATAAAACCCTCGGCAAGAGGTTGGCGTGTCATGTTCGCGGTCTGATAAACTGAGCTCGGTTCGCATGTGCCAAATAAAGTGGAACAAGTGAGAAGCGATTAGCCGCAAATGGGGGTCTTTCTTGGCCAAGACTCGAGACGCGGCTTAATCGGCACTCGACGATCTTAAGGCTGAGCAAAGAATGCTCCAGCCCGGACCCGGGCCCGGTCCCATGCGTTCAAGGCCATTTTATGTAAGCCGTAAAAATCCATTTCATGCATTGATGCATTTCTTCTCACAAACTGTCCGCTGGCTCCTTAGTTACTTGGCTGCTGCTGCTGCTGCTGCTGCTGCTGCTGGTGGTGCCTTTTTTCGTTCATAAATTTAATTTGCTGCCATAACCGAGGTATCTGGCAACATAAATTAGCTGAAGCGGACCCGCTTTGTTGCTTTCTTGCTTTGTAGCCAGAGCTTGCTTTGTAGCCAGAGTTCGCTTATTGCTGGATTGCCTGGCTTAATGGCTGCGCATGCGCTGATTAGTCTTACTCCTGTTTTCTCCCATTGTGGCTTGCCTGCTGCTTTTTATTTCTCCCCGATGCGTTGTATTGCATTAACCAGGTTTATTACTTCATTTTCATCGTTGTACACATTAGAGTTGGTGCCGCTGATGGCGATGGGAATGGCGGCTCTAACAATTGGGCCTAATTTGACTTGACAATCGTCTATTAATATGGAGGCTATAAGGTCTTGAAGAGTTCTTCTGCAGCTCCTCCAATGGTGGAACTCCTTAACTCAGCATTACAATAGATATAATACCTGTAACTGCCCCTTAACTGATAATGATTATGACTTCTACGTAAACCTTTTCATTGTTTTTCCCAGAAACAATAAAACTATCCAATGGAGTTTAATTAATACCAAACATGTTGGCCATGTTGCTGGGCATTATTCGAGCGAAATGTAGAATGGATAATCGCATTACGGGTGGCACGTCAAAGAGTCATTGTGGCCCGAACTGAAAGCTGATCTAATAACCCAATAATAACCAACTACCGCACTGACCTTCAGCAAATATTTACTTTCAATTCGTGTTCAAAGTTGGGTTGGCTCGGTGAGTAAAAGCCGCTTTCGACCAGATACGGATACGAGGAGTAGAGTGCACATAAACAGATGCGAGTGAACAATGCATATCAATGGCTTGGGTTCACCAAGAAGGCTAACCACTCAATCTCTGCCCAGTGCGGCATTCGAAAGCAAAAGCGGCCAACTAACATAATTGCAAAACACATTCACACACCGGACCCATACTTACTGGCTTACACACCCACCGAACTGAGCGATCAGAGCTCGAATCGTTAATCAACCGACCGAAACATTTGCGAAAACCGAGAAAAGATAGTTCAGTTAGGTCAGCACAGCGATACCCTAACCAATACCCTAACCAGTAATTAGTTTAAAAAAATAAACAAACTCTATCGCTTCCCTATTGATTCAAATCTATTTGGCCAAGGAATTGGTGTTTTCTTTTCGCTGGTGTCTAAACAGGCTATGGCAGACCAACTTGGCCAGAAAGCGACTAAGACCCGGCAGAGTTAGATAAACAAAGCATCGTGATATTGTGGCAACACAATAAATCCAAATGCCTCGCAGAAATAACACACAAACGTAAATAATAAACGGTTGGGCAAATACAATGACCAATTAAAGTGTCATTGGGCCTGCGTTGGCGATTAGAGGTTGGCTTTGATGTAACATAAAAACTTACCCAGCTGATAGAACCTCTCGCATGAAATGCGTGTAAAAGTAATAATAATAACACTCTTAGACTCAGGCAGGAAATGTGGCCCACAAATATTCCATTTGGGCCCAAGACTCTGGCCAGGTCTTAATGGCCATATTGCACAACAGCAGACATGCAAATTGCGCAAAATGCTTTAAATGGTGCACAATTTAGTATTTATTTGCAATTGTTCACCACCGCCAGAGATCGACGTCTAAATCGGAGCAGCACGAAAGAGCCAGCATTTTTGCTCAGAAGATTTGATCCGAATTCGAATCTGAATCTGAATCTGAATCCGAGACGAGGTTCAGTTCAGTTCGGTTCAGAAAATGGCCGCTCCTAACTCAAGGCTTACTTGTGGGGTATTTACACCTACGCCTAAGCGAGTATTAAACAGGTTCTTATGGCCATAATGCTAGGGGACACAGCTATTGAGCCAGCTTTGTTGCCAGCCAACAACGGAATTAAATGTGAAAGGATTGGCCAACATTTAGACTTTGCCCCCGCCTCAGAAGTTTGGTATTAGGCGGCTGAACTATGGTCTACTAAGCCAGGTCAATAAAGTTCACCTCCAAATGCAGCTAAAACTGCTAAGAAGTGTGTTATTTTCCAGCTTAGAGTGACGACATTCAAATATAAATAACTCAGCTTGTCGGGGAACTGGTTTCGGCTGTTAAACGAGACGATTAAATTGTTTTGGTTCCAATGCAAATTTGTTGAAATATTTAATTTCGCAACTGAGTCATTGGAGTATATAGTAGGGTGGGAATATCAAAATTATATCGGAATTATAATACGAGGAAGGTGGTCTGAATAAGAATTAGTAAGCCTGTGATTCAAGTTTGTCTTTAAAATAAACCTATCTTGGTAGAATAAATCTTTTAATGATATTCGAAAGCTAACAGCTAGTATGATAATCATCTTCGTAATCGTATCTCCTAACTAACCTCAACCGATCAAAGCTGATACCAGTTCCATTTCCATTTGCAACTCAAACAACTTAAAAACACAATAAAATATGATTGAGATCTCACCATTTCCTTCCGCAGCGTCGCGATTTGTGCATCCAGAGTGCTGCCTGCTTCGACTGCTTGGGGGTTTCCTTTGGCGGATAAACTGGGGGATTTGGGTTCGGATTTCGCTGCCATCGGTGGTATTGCCGTGTTTCCGTTCGGCGAGGAGGGCAGTGACTTATCGACGGCATTCTTGCTGCCATCCTGGGTCTCCCCCGTAAAAGTGTCGTTTGGTTTTTGGCTGATATCGCTGCTGTTATTGTTTCCTTCCACATCGCTCAAGAGTCCCGAGTCGGAGCACAATAGTTTGTTAAAGCCAATGAGGGATTTTGGCAGCGGGGGCAGCTCGCAAACGAAGTTTCCACTGCAAAGATAAGATAGAAGTAGTCATGAATTAGTAATGATAAGTTAAGAGCGCAGACACAGTACATACAATTTATTTCCAGCCCAACTATACCTTTGCTTGCCACCCAAATAGCCATAACCTTGCCAATAACCAATCACATGACCATCTAGACCATCATCACTATCCTTATCAAAGTCATCTGCCTCGTTTCGATCTATCATCTCGTTTAGGACCAGGGGCAACACGGTCCCCGCCTCACCAAAATCACTATCCTCCTCGTATTCGCTGCAGGTCGTTGGGGTTTCCCCACGCCCGATCCTCAGCTCCTCATCGTCCTTCTCGTCAAAAGTAAAGAATCCGTCTTGGAAGCGCTGACACCACTTGGCCACGTACTCAGCACTCGGACAGAAGGGCCCGAAGGCGTTGCGGCACTCCTCGAAGATCTGGGCGGGGTGGAGGTGCCGCCGGAACCCAAACAAAATGCACTGCTGCAGCTCGACAGCGGTGGGCGCCGGAATCGGCGACAAGAAGAGATCGTCCAGGTCCTCGGACATTTTGGGTGACTTTGTGAGATGGCGTTTGAAACTTCTTATGGCATTAGCTGCAAAGTTTCCATTGGACATAAGATAGGGGATCGTTTAGACTTTTGGATATTGGAGCGAGAAGCTGGTTTCTCCTTAGATTCAACGCATTTCCTTAGAAATTATCAACAGATAACAAAACACGGAACTGAACACAGAACTCTGGATGAGGTGATGGGTTCTTGCAGCATGGGGTATTATCATATGTTGGTTAGGCACAGCAGATGTTATGGCTTATTTGTATTATTCTCTATGAAACGACTTATGACATAAGCTGCAAAGTGGATCGAAAGATATTTCTACATATGTACAGCATAGCAGATATTGCTTCGTTATCAAAAACAACAAACAGAACTGAACAACAGGTGGGTAGTATGGTCAGTATATCAGAGTATGATCAAGTGTTGGCTTAGCAGATTAGATAAAGAAAGCTGTATTTAGATCCCTTTCTATTTATATCCTTTCTTTGAATGTAAAAGTCTTATTAGAAACAAAAAACTGGTAACTTTTGGGTTAATCAACAAGAAATCGTGATCTCTCAGAGTTGCACTCAGCAGAATGGCATTTCAATCTCAATCTGTAATATTAGCTCAGGCATTCTCATGTAAAAAGATACATGAGAACATGGCATGGTATGCGAAAAGATAAAGTTATGTACATAAAGTGCACGGCACAACTCCATTCGTCAAAGAAACCAGACACGAAGGCCACCGACTTATGGCTTTTAGAATGCTAGCAAACGAGTTCAAAAATCTGCTAAGCAGTCTACTCAGTCAGTTGCATCAAAGGCCATAATACAGTCGCAAAAACGTGGTCAATGCAAGAGGCAATTTGGTTTGTGACTTCATTAAGTCGTGATGGAGGTTGCTAAATGAAGACTTTGCCATGATAATCGACCATTTTTCAGACTAAGCCTAATCGTTTATGAGACAGATTATGAATCTCGAATCGGTTTGTAGTTGTTGCAGAAATCTGAGTGATATACTCGTAGCTAAGTAAAGTCAAACATATTGTGCAATCAAGTTGCTTGTCATAACATCTATAATCTGCCTTTTATAAAAAGTCGTTTAGTCAAATAAAACCCAGCTGGTTCTACTGTATTTCATTAGGGCCGCCAATATTCATAGCCAAAGGCAACACCTTTCATCTATTTTCGACCCACACGTCAAACTATTTTAGATATTCGAATTGAATCCGTCAGCAGGTCTGTATTTTCACCTTAACGATGCCAGTCGAAGTGAATATTTAGAAAGCCATTCGTATTAAGCGAAGCAAAGAATTCAACAACTGATTATAATTATGATAATGAATTTTATTTGATTTTCCACCGAACTGATATTACGTCATGAGATTTTCATTGGGAAAAGCGATATTCTGCGCAGGGCAAGGCTGGAGGTCGGTCAACGAGAATGAGTTTATACAAACGTAGGTGATGGCTTTATCTGAAATGTCTCACATGTCGGTTAATGAAAACACATCTACGTTTAGCATTCGAATCCGCAAGTTGTTACTTATCAAATAGCCGATGTTGTGAAGTACAAACACATTGGAAAAACACTGCGGCAACATTATTTTAGACATCAACACGAAAAATCAACACGAAAACTTTGTATTTGTTGTATTTATGGTTTTTATTGTATTTCTTAGGCGAAGCATTGGCAGCGGAAAGATATTATTATTTTTACTATTCGCAGCATGTCTAATTTGGTTTGCTAATCTGTCATTTTTATCTGAAGAATTCACACAGCTGCGTAAACATTGTCATTAAAAGGGTCTGCGCTGACTGCTCTCGGCTGTCTGCGGTCTGCGATTCAGCGCGTACTCACAAATTACGATTTGAACAAACAGTATGGGAAAAATGAACATATAATCTGTATTTCCTAGTTCCGTTTGGCGTGGATATTGTTTGTTTCGCTGCGAAATTCGCGTGCAACTAAAAATTAAATGCTGCCACTTTCGGCCACGTTGGAGCGCCCAAATCTCAATCCAAATCCCCCCGAAGAGAGCGGGCCCCAAGGAGCCCCCAAAGGCGGCCAAACAGAGACGCGAAAGCCACGCGATCGCCGAGCACGGAACACTCTCGAGAGTGAGAATTGGGAATCGAGACAAAAATAAAAACATATAAGAAATGAGCAAATTGATTTAATAAAAAAATAAAATGACAAACAGGGTGTTCGAGGAGGGAGAAAGTTAATAAGTTGGTCGTACTAAAGAGGCTTAAGGTGATTATTGTTCCTTGAACATATTATTGGGGTTTCCACTGCAATAAGAACCAAAAACTATAAAAGGTTTCATTGTAATGCTCGATCTTGTTCTGCCAGAAAGTACTACAACTTCAGGTTAATTTTAATCCAAAACTCTCCTGGCTTGTTTTCCTGGAAATTTGTTTACTACAAAACAGTCGTAAAATCGCCGTACATGATCCATGAGATCCCCAACCTTGCACCACCCTGTAGCACCTCTGTCACCGCATCGCATCCCCGGATATTTTTAGATATAACAAAATAACACGCTCGCGCCGCTGTAGTACATCATGTACGGAATAATCGGGCGACTGCCCGACGAGACCTTAGGGCGATCCGAATAGCCGGCTAAAGCAGCGGAATCGTTCCCATTCCCATTCAGAAATATCCGAAAACGATGGCGAGTGATGCAGCCGTCAAATTTGTCTTATTTCGGACCCCAAACAGCGAGTTTTTGTTTTAGTTTTAGCCTTGCTCGGGGCAAGAGACCAAAGCGAATTGGGAGCGTGCGGAATGCGGCTGTCTATTTATATAGACCTACTACTACTGCCCGGTAGAATCGGATCCACGCATTGGTAGAATGTGACCCACAGAAGAAGTGCATCGGGATCGGAATGGGACAATCTTGCAGACAATTGCGCAGGTGGCGAATCGGAGCACGCACATTGCAGGATGTCGCTGTAGAACAATATATATATATATATTAACGCCATGGCGATTTCTCGACTGACTGGCTCTACCTACGTGATCATAATACCAATAGATGACCCAAAAATTTCACCGCCAGTCGGCATTTATGAGCTTTCCTTGGCTAAATGGTTGGCAAAACAAATGGCGCTCAAGTCGCTTGAGTAGGTGATAAAAGGGGGATTTAAATGGCTGCGTTGAGATCTCTGGGTCAGTCGGTTCTCGGAGACTCTTTCCCAGCCATTTAATGAGGGCAGCGTAAAGACTAATAACGCACACACAATCGGGTTCCAGTTTCTCACAGTGGCTGTGGCTTTCTCACGCATTCTAATAAGGCATCGTTGTTCCATTGTCTTGCAGACCGCCGAAGAGTCCGGTGCAAATTAAGTGAGAAGTTGGAGACTTGTTAAAGGGGAATCTTAGTCTTGGGGGAGTTATTATCGCCGGTTACTCACGTATTGTCGCCCTCTACGTGAGCCACTCCCGAAATGAAAAGAGAAAAACCATCGAAACCAGATACAAAATCGCTCATATCGAAGCGTTTTCGCTTTCGTTTGAAATGCCCTCACCAACTACTCACCACAGAGCCCATAAATTTCTATTTTCTAACTTTTATTTCGACTCCGGGCAGAGGAGTTTCTAAACAAATAACAAAAAACCAATGGCAATGCAAATGAGCCGCCGACTAGAGCGGTTTAGTTAACCAAATAAATTGTGTTGTGCGGCATACGATTAGTCGCGCGTTTCTCTTTCGAATCCAACAAAAAGCGAAATTTTGATTTCGGTTTCCTGATTAGTAGAACGAAGCCGGCCAATAGCCAGCACCACCTTACAAATGGCTCATCGAATGGCTTAATTTATGCAGATTCACCATGTTCGGGCCCCATATAGCAAGCATATAGCATGGTATACCTACCATAAGGCCACTGCTGAGACTTTGTTCGTTTAAATACTAAAAAACTCAACAAGTCAAAAACTCAAAAGCGAAAGCACCGCAATATGAGCGGGACATTTTCGAGAATACCGAAAATATGCAAGACACGCCATTGATCCCATTAAAATGAACAGGTAACCATACCAAAGAGGCCCTCCGATGATTAATTGTCTTTTAAAGCAGCCGAGGTGTACCAATTTAGACCCTAAAACCGACTAGTATGTATAATCGGCGGATAAAATTGGTTAATGAAGTAACTACATATCGTCGAACTAACTAAGGCTGCGAATACATCTCGGCTTTAACTTCTCCAAATCAGATTAAATATTAAATAACATTTTCTCTATAAGATTAACTATGCAAAATCCATAACAGGAGTGAAAAATGAACGAAGCTACGAAGGCGTACAAATAAAAAGACTAATTCAAAAACCAAAGTGCTATTAAAATTGCCTTATGTGAAAGTAAAGTGTTCGGCGTGGAGCTCGGCAACCGCAAGTAAGCCACGGAGTAATCCGTCCACTTGACCACCGAACGGAACAGGAAACTTGGGCAATACTCGCGCACCTGAGATACAGATCTACAAATCCGCGCCAGCTTGGCTCAGACTGCTATTTTTGGCCAGACATCTGTGCGGAGTTGTTGGCATTAAAAAATTACAAAAAATAAGGTAACTCAAGTGCAGAGTGGGGGACAAATTAAATGAGAAACGAGGTCTCAACGCTGGAAAACATATGGAATCTATTTGCCTGAAAGGGCTGTTTAACGACGAAAAAATGAATGCAGTAAAGTCAACTTGAGCTTTGTGTAGCTAAACCTCAAGAGCAGTTCGATTGTGTTTTATAAATCATATTAAAAGGCAGTTAATATAACAAACTTGCAAGCTAAAATATTCATCCCAAGACTCTTCACTTCCGTTAAGGCCTAGATTATATCATTAGTTTGTACTGCCAAATTTCTTAATAAACTGTAACAGAGCATACAAGCATATGTGAGCTCAAAGTTTTCAGTTTATGTAAGCCAAGTCAGGCAGCCAGTCAGTTAGCTAGTCAGCCCGTCGGCCCACACTCGTAGACCAAGTGGAGTAGAGTCCAAGACTTCATCCACTTTTGGCTTCCAGGTCCAGGCTGCTTTTCCGCATGTTTTGTTTTCCGTTAAAATCAAGTTTATAGTGTCTTTGGGTATTTTGGCCACTTTTTGGCAAAGTTTGTCTTCGACTAACAACCGAAGAGTCTGGTTTGGTCTGTATTCCTCACCTTGTAAACTAGTAACACTCATTTGGGCATTCATTTCTGGTACAAGAAGCAGCAGCACTTGACTAATCACTAATCACACGCCATTAATTGAGTTGATCTTTCCCAGAAGTTTCTTTTCGAAAGGTTGCACTTGGCAGGGAACTCAACTTGTCTTAAGATCCATTGACCTGATATTTTCCAGCTTAGAGAACGAAGAGAGGTAGTTGAACCCGGAGTATCTGTCGCATCATCTCGGGATATTTAGCTGCTAGCCAAGTGAAACAGAAGCATATTACGCAGAAATACCCGCGCACACCTGAAAGTCACTCGGTTTGCCGAGTCACCTGTCGTACTTTAACGGTTCTCACACTCGTAACTGACTCGAAAACCTGACTTGTGTATCTTTGGCAAACACAGAAATTACAACTCCGCCACCTGAAACTACTGACTGGCGGACAGCCGTCAAGCCTCAAGCCCCAAGACTCCGAACCGGCCATGATTTTAATCGTAGTTGAAGGTGTTTCTGCGCCTAGTTCGGCTTAGAAAAACCCATATTATTAAATTCGAAAGGTTTATAACCCAAATCACTCACTTCACCAAATAAAGCAAATAAAGGTCTAAGGATGGCTTACTTGTAGTTTGTTTATGCCTTCGGAGAAAGCTTTTATGTTCGACCTGCTAATCAGCTGAGCCCCTTGTTCGATACAAATGAACTTGTGACCGATGAAAAAATCTCATTTAAACCAAACTACGGTTCCAGTGAAAACTACTGTTTCTTTTATGGGCTTTGAAGCGGCTTGCATTTACATTGATTTTCCGAGATACATATGTAAATCGCCATCTGTATTTTGTGATTGGCTTCCATTCGCTTTGCAATTCCCAGTTCCCAGAAAATTATGCTGGAAAATGATTGGAGCCAACAAGCAGTGCGAAGCAATAATCAAGTTGCAGTCGTCGTTATTCAAGACATTACCACATGCAAACATTCCATTTCGCTTTTAATAATGGCTCACAGGTGACAATTAGGCTCGGGTTTCAAAGAGACATTGTCGTGGAAAGTTCTTTAAGCCCCAGGCGAAAAGAGTGAATGAAAAGTTTGAACAGAAATAAATTCACGGAAATGTCTTTTTAAAAGATGTACAACTCTTGTGCATTCTTTCAACCCAAAGTGGCAGATATTTTCTATATAGAAGAACGAGGAAACGGTAAACCATTCTCGATAACGGCAACCATTATACAAATCGAAATCGAAGGAGCAATAACTCTGGCCTCGTGTGGCGATTGGGATTGGTGCAACTACATTGCTTTCGCCGAGTGATTGAATTTGAATCTATTTTATAACGCTTGCCTCGGAGTTGCAACAGTTAGCCACAGCCACAGCCATAGCCAGAGTCAATGGGAATATATATAGATATATATATCTCTGAATCACCTCATATGCATAAGACACAATCCACACGTTCAGGCATTTGAAAGATGCAATTTGCCAGTTGCATCTCGCTTTAGGAAATGACTTCTCGACGAGGTTCGTTTAAATATGCATAAGCTATTGATTGGGTGAGTAATAGATTAAGTGAAATGCATTATTATCAGCTCAAAGTGCTTGCATGAGAAAAGAGAGTTATTACGTTTTGTTGTTTAAATATCGAGTGAATAATACAAGTTAATACTTTGTTAGGGTAACTATTATACTCTCTTTCTTGGCAGAAAGAAAAAGTAGTCTGAGTAATGAAAGACTTTATAACCAATTATTAAATAAAATGTATTGAAACATCGTTAATCACCATTTACATGGAAAGAAAGAAAAGTTAATGGTATTTTTGAGATCTGTAGAGCATGAGTATCAGGCTATCTGATAATAGGTAACCCTAGTAACCGATTTGTATTTTAACAGGCAATCGCAACTTTCTAACACATGATTGGAGAACATTAGCCCGTGATTTATGGCCAGTGTATAGCCACTTCTTTCGGCCATTCTGATGGCTATGAAATGCCAATGAGAGCCATACTTCGTGTGAATAAGCAAATATTGGAACACACATATGTGCACGATATACGAGTATGAAGTAGGATATCTGGTCGAGTGTGCGATGGCGCAAATGCCAAGCTCTGTGAGTCACGATAATCACTTTTCGCGGCGACAAACACGTACCGCAAGCGGAATACGTACAGTATTTATATGTTAATATAAACACAGGCCCATTGTGTGTTGTTTACCAGCCAAATCCGAATCTTTCCAGTCGCAAAGAGCGCCTCCAAAACGGGTTTTTGGCCACTTCGATTCTGCTGTTGCTGTTAAAATACTAACGAGCGGGCCCAAATTGTTAATATCGCAAGCCTTTGCGGCTACCTGCAATCCGGCGATCGGCAATCGGGCCCAAAAGCTCGCACATGCGATGTGCAATGTGCAACATTCAACAAGCAACAAGCTGCAAGCAGCAAACAACATGCAGCAACCGCATTCGGAATGATGTCAGCACAGATAAATTAATGTAAGCCAAGCCCGCTTCTGTGAGAGATCTCACTCACCGAAAACAATAGAGGCCCCGTGAAGATGAAGAGGTGCTCGGGATTGCATTGGATTCCGTGGGATGAGATGCGCACGGTCGATCAAAACCATGTCATTGGAGCCCAGCGAAACTCGGTGAAATAATTGCGGCAGCTCAATAACGAGACCGAGATAGGCAAATACCCACTATCGCATGGAGTGCGCCAAAGTCACATTCAGTTTTTTGTAGACCATCACGACCTCTAAATCAATCTATCATAAACTCTCTTATTGGTCTTTGTCTTTAAAGGTCTTCCACTGATGGGCCACGATCTTCCTTTCCTCCGATCAAAAGTCAATCTCAACATTCATTAGCAATAAAGAAACGGCGATAACAATAATATTTTATAGCCGCGTTTATGTATGCTAACTGCTTTCATCAAATTATAAATCCCTTTGCTATTAGCGGATTTTAATCAATAACTATGCTAATCTTTAAGTGATTTAAGACAATTAGGATAATATGTCAGGTTAACTATCAAAATATTTAAAAATGAAACTAAATAAATATTTAGTAAGCCCTTTCAAGACTCACCGTTTTCCGTTGCGAGTACGTTTCTCGGTCTCGGCCTCCTTAACGCTGTCCCAACTATCGCCCACTCCCGAGGACATATCGTCCAGCCGCTCCTCATCCTCCATGCCCGAGTCCTCGAGGCTGATGTGGCAACTGGTCAGAGTTACGGCAGTGCCATTGTCGCCCACCTCTATCCAATCCGAGGTGCGAATGCGTTGGGATCTTTCGGTTCCGTAGGGCGATGAATCGGTGGAGCAGCCCGAGGGACAGCGCTTTCTAGATGAAGAGCCATCGTTGACAATATTCTCCTTCAACGACTTGTTGACAGCATAGGTGAGGGTATCCTCTTCATCACCATCTGCATCCTCCACATTGTCCGCATCCACGTCCTCGGTATCAGCGTCATCGATGGAGTTATAGCGCCTTCGCGATACCACGCTTTTGGGTGTGGATGTGGTTGGGGGCGAGAGGGATTTGGTGGGAAGCTGCTCCAGCGAACAGGACTTGTTCCTCATGGCGGCCAGCTCTGAGATGAGCATCTCGTGGAAGGCTTGCTTCTTCTGTGGAGTATTGCCCACACTAATTGAACTCTTAATGGTACCGGACTGTCCGCCGTTCACATTAATCCTCATGCAATTTCCCGTTGACTGGATGGTCAGGATATCCGACTCCTGTTTCAGGGCCTCGTGCTTGGTTATAATGGTGGTATCGGTGGCCGCCTGTTTCTGGCTCTGATTTATGATTATTTCCGAGAACAGACGCTCTGCGGCGTTTTTCAGATTGTTCTTGATCTCCACAGTCCGCCCGGCCAGGAACCCTCCATTATGTGGGGACGTTCCCGACTCCTTTTGGCAACCATCCAAAGTGGTCTTTGATCTTCTGAAGAGCCCAGTGGGTGGGTTAGTGGCTGCCACCGGTAGATCCTCCACATCTAGAGTGGCCACGGGTAGCTGAACTATTTTCCGTGGTCTGGGAAGTGGCTGGCTAGCCGGCTGGAGACCCGCCCTCTCGAAATCCACCCTTCCCAGGCTCAAACGGGTGTCCTTGCGGGGCGTGGTCTGTGGGGAACCCCCAATCACGCTAATCGAGTTATGGCGATTGACCGTGACCACCGAAGTTACTGCCTCCCTGGGCTTGGCCGTTGGCACATCGGGTGCTTTACGCAGCTTGAGGGGCTTAACCGGAGGAGTCGGGACTGCCGTAGTGGGTGTCTGTGTCTGGGCCTGCTTCTTGGGGAGATTAACGGATGGGGATTTGTAGACCAAAGTGCGACCCACCGCACTCAGTTGGCTAACGAAGGTGGGCTTCTTCTGAATGATTGGAGGCACTCCTCCTCCACTGGCCACCTGGGCTGCTCTGGGCCTGGGTGGAACTGGAGGACCAGGCCTCTTCACCACCACGGCGGTGGCTGCTGTTCCGGCGGCTGTGGCCATTGGTAGTAGCTATGCTGCACGTTCTCACGCCAAACCGCACTCGAAACCAGTATTTTTAGGTCACTTCTCGAACGGCGAACAAGAGACTACTGCGCTTATTTATTATTATTACTTAGCATAAGCGCGCAAATGGGAAACTAGTTTTGCTCTTCTCACATGGCGATCTCCTCAGCTGCTCAGCTCCTCATCGCCGCATCTCCTCCTGCCGTTCGGTGCAGCTGCCGTTGAGTCGATCTCTGATCTATTTTGAATATAGGCCACCACGTCGCTGCAACGGAGCTAGTTGGATGTGCCAAGTAACACTTTATTGGTCGCTTATTCAGTTACTCAGTAACTCAGTCATTCGATATGGAATATGGAATATGGCTCTGCTCTTTGCGAAACTCGTTTTCGTCGCTTTATTTGCACGCTCGATCTTTGGGGTTCTGTGGATTTTAAAGTGAAAGGGTTCCGTTTATTTTGGTCTTGAGTGCCCCAACTTCAGGCAATGGAAACTGTGCGGGTCCACCACAATGCCGTGCCATTTTAATTGTTCATTATTTTTAAAAAACAGAATTTAAAGGCCTGCCCCCCACTAACGATCTGATTACCTTGTCACAATGGAGAAGGTGCTCAAATCTTTGGGTTCTGTGGTCTTTAAAGTGAAAGGGTTTAAGCTAAAGGTCTTGACTTTAAAATTGGGTAATTATATTGCCGGAAGTCGAGTCAATTTAATTAAGCTCAACGGCTAAGTTCATATTTTGAATGGGCAAGATTAACAGACAAATAAGCTATAAAAAACGATAAACAAAACATATAGGCACTAAAAATATTTAACAAAGCACACACACACACTCACACACACGATCGCAACTTAAAAGTGGGCTTTAAAAGAATGGCGTTGGCAATTAACGGTTTCTGTTGTTTGTACAAAGAAGTTTCACTTTAGCACGGAATTCGGCACTTGCTGGCTCTCCAGTTTACGATCTTTTAACAGCCTTTATTTGTTTAAATTTTATGTATATTATTTATCCACTGCACCCACACCCACACATAAATCACTGACTTTATATTCAAGACAGGGAATGAGTATGAGTTTACGGGTTTTTGGATCAGTTCCCAGGGAAATATCCAACAAAAATTGAAGATATCTTGGGGGATTCTAACGAGTGTGAGTGATTCATCTGCGTTTGTCAAATAGTAAATAGTATTGCACTTTTGCGCTTCAAATAGCTAAAACCATTGCATCGGATACACTCACTCACACCCGCTTAGGCACACACACACACACACACACGCAGATTGGAACCGATGCGAACACGATTGTACATGCGATATAGGCGATGTCCGCTATACGATGCGCTTTGCACGAGAGCCAGAAATAAACTGAACCGGAGAAATAAGATTCGAAAGAGCGAGCGCTAAGCGCACCTTGCTCAATATTGTTGTTGCTACACAGCTACACGGCAGCCCCAGTGTATGTGTGTGTAAGTGAGAGTGCCAGAGTGTGCGTGAGAATGCCGTGGTGTGGGTGCTTTGGATAAACGAGTGACGCGGCAAAACTCGAAAAGTCTGCACTTTAAAGATTCGTTAATATTAAATGAAGACCTGGAGCTACACTATTGTTCTGGTAAAGTTGAAAAAACTTATCAAGACATTTTTTTAATTCAAAAGATTTTTATGTACACAGGTTATTTGTATAAAATTATTAACATTTTGGTGTAAATTTTAGAATTTAACAATAAAATCTAAGGTTATCTAAAAACTTATTTTAAACCTTATTGGCTAAAACATTAATTTATTGTAGATAATTTAAAATATATTTCATTCTATAAAAGTCACATTCTTTTTGTATTTGAAATGATAGAAATATGTTTAATATATTATAAACTAAGAAAACTCCTAAAAAAATACATATAAATCATGATACATATTTAAAGATAAAAACATTTACCAAAATAATGTTCCTCAACGACAGTAAACACAAAAAAAAGATTGTTGTTATAAAAGTGAGTTTTGGGAAGTAAGAAACTAAACAAGTTGAACTTTAATTTGTCTTAAACTTTTCAACCGAAACCAAACCAAACCCGAAACAACTCTCATAGACTTCTGGTGCCTCTCTTTTGAATGGCTCTCCGGGTTTTCGGAAGAGAAACTTGGCACATGGCCAGAAGTGCATTGATTGCTTCTTGAAACGGGTGGTGAACGATGATGATGATGAGGTTCCCCGGTTGCCGGCGTCTGGCTGCTGTTCGTTTTCTGTTTTTTTGGGGGGTCGTCTGGCGTTGCAACAGCTGTTGTTGCCGCATCGCGACAAAACACCCGCCACCCCAACTCCCAAAAATAAAATCTTTATTGATTGCATGTGCAAGTACTGTATATGTAATGCAGGGTGGACTTTCTTAGCCTAAAAGGGGAATCATATCTGGAATCAATTCAAACACTAAAAAGTTTAGATTTCTTAAAAAAAAATTGCTCATACGCACAAAATTACTCATACGACAGGTTGACCAAATTAGCATTTTTCTTTACTTTTAAGGAGAAAGTAAGATTCCAACAAAGACATAAATTTTGTGGGAATAAATAAAATTTTGGATATTGCCATAACACTCTTTGTCATATATGGTTTCAAGTCAGCGCCAAAAGAGAAATAACCAGAATTAATATTGAAAAATATTTTAAGCTAAGCGGATAAATATATTATTGGGTTGACTATGGGTAATACTCAAATTGAAAGTCTTCATTTTGGAACTTTTCTTTTAAGCTGAAAACTATTTTTCTTGTAAATAGTAAAAGTAAGATCCGGCCCACCCTTATAAATATGCACAGATTTTGCAGAATGACTCCGCCACGAATGCATGTAACAAATAAACATGAACACATCGAGTTAAAGTAATAGCTCTAATCGAGCTTCCCTTTTCACCACTTTTACTAAGTAAAAGGCAAGAAAATAAACCATACTTTAGAATTTCAGTATGTAATTTATGGGTCCGCAGGGCAATATATGTATATATATTTCGTTTTCGGGGGTAATGCCATTTGAAACTGGCTCATTTATTATTGAGTGAGTAGACGGTCAGCCCCAAACTATGCAAACGAGGTAGGAAGCCAAAAACCAGTCCGCAGGAGTCAAACCATTTAAACCAGTGCCAGTTCCACTTATGTCTGCTTTTCATTTACTCTCCATATTCCATCCCTTCCTGCAATTATAATACCTAAGATTAACAAATGTCTGCAGTGTTCCGGCCAATATCGAGTTACAACCATTTTTGTTTACTTTCTACTTTTTCCTAGCACCCACCTTAGGAAGCCCCAAATATGAAGGTTAAGCTTTTGTTAAATACCAGACCCACCTGGTGGAATGAATGTTTTAGACGTACTCTAATCCCGAAGCACTTCAAAACCAAAACCCCTTCCATCATGAGTTATAACGCTGGCAGAATTAAAGTTACAGATGGTTTCCTGTTTGCACATTTTTACTTTACACAAAATATATGTTGTTTAAAAGTTAATTATAATAAGATGGTTAGGTTAAGTCTGTAGACTTTTAAAATAACTTATTTTCGATTCGGCGCTCCGAGTCGTTCGTACCCTTGCAGGTTGGTCATTAGTTAAGTTCTAACTAGATATATCAAAGTGGGGTCATATGGCCAGACGGACAGATTTAAAATTAATCGAGAATCTCAAAATCGAAGTTCTGTACAGTCAAAATGTAACTTACAAGGGCATAACAATAAACAATTGACTTTCGAAATAATCAACTTGTTAAACAAATATCTATACACATATTCACACACTCAGCTTTAAAAATACATAACATATTTTGCGTAAGACTAAACAGTTCGCGCCAGCAGCAATTGTTAACAAACTTTTACAATGGGAATAAAGTAGGTGTGGGGACAGACAGAAATTAGTAATTACGGATTATGCATATAAATAAGCGATGGCGCTAGTTACTAACGATACAAAATGTCACAAATACAAAAATAAAATAATATTTTACTTTCACTCTTCTATTTTTCTCATCTTCTACCTAAAGACTAATCCGCGATGGCCGTGTAGGGTAGACTGCTGTGTTTCGGCTTCGTCTTGTTTATGAAGACCTTTATGGCCCCATTGAAATCGGCGCTGACCAACACGTAACCACATCCCTTTTTGTGCTGCTCGACCAGTGGATCCGGCTGATTGTGAGCCAACTGCATTAAGGTAAATATTTATTAGAACGCGTAAAATCAGAATCGACTGGATTATCACCCACCTTCTCATTCGAGATTTCATCCGGTTCGGGCTTAATAATAGCCTCTGGGTGTGGCGCGAATATGGCACAAGTAACCGTGGCATTGTGTGCTTTGATGCCTTCCCAAAAATCACTGCGATCTCGCCGAACCTGCAGGTATAAATTGATATAAATAAAATTGTATTGTAAACAAAAATTTTCTTGTCACCCACCGAGCTGAGTTTCGAGTAGTCGTGGTTTGTTTTCCATATATAGATGCACTGGTTCTCGGATCCAGCAATGATATACTTTCCATCGTGGCTAAACGATCCCTTGATTTGCGAGGACACATTTAAGTAGCCCTTGTATTTGCAGGACAAATTTAAGTCCCTCAAATCGTAGAGCCGGACTCTGCTGTCGTTTGAGGTGACTAGAATCTTGTCCTCTCCGGGCATCGGTTCAATTCCACTGATCTTGCGGCCAATACGATTTTTGCCCCTGGTGGAACGTACATGAATTTGCGTGTGATATTTCAGCTGATCCGTGTTATAAAATATGCAACGGCCATCGTAGCTCCCCACCACAGCAAACTGCCCGTTCTGGCAGAAGTTGGCAGCCGTTATAAGCTTTGTCTGGCCATCTACCTCATTCCAAAGAGCAACCTTTTTGTCGGGTATATTCCACAACCTTAGTTTGCCATCGAGGCTCCCACTCAAAAAGTAGCGATCATCGCGTGGATGGAACGCAATAGCGGTGACAAAATCAATATGCTGAAAACAGCAAAGGCACTCCTTTCTGGATATGTGCCAGAGCCGAACAGTCTTGTCCATGCTGCTTGACAGAATGAAGTAATTCTTTGACCAACTGACGTCCAGTAGGTCGGAGGTGTGTCCATTGTAGGTGCAGAAGGGTTTCGGCATGAAAGGGCCTGTACATTTTTCGGCTGCGGTGGCCATAGCAATGGCTTCTTCCGCTGAATGCTGCGAGACAAGAGACTCTTGGGAGGGCGTAGGCGAGGATTTTTGGTCAGCATTGTATTTGTTGCGCATGTCCTAAAATGTGAAAATGTAGGCATAAGAAAAATGTACAATTAAACAGATTGCACTTATTTACCTGGAAGAACGGATAGGCATCTTTTAAAACCCAAATCCTTAACACCTTGTCCTGCCCAGCAGTGGCCAACAGTCGTCCGCACGAGCTGAACTTCATGCACCACACAGCACTCGTGTCTTCGCCACTCAAATCCTGGACGTGCTGCAGCTTAGTAAATTCATAAGGACCTTTGTTGGACGACGAAGCTTTGATTTTAATGTTTTGCTCGGGATTCATAGCATCAACAATATCGGCCACATCCTCCTTGTGTCGCGCATGTGACACCTCGGATGCAATCGACTTGGCCTTATCAACTGTCTTCCGCATTGTGGTGCCAAAGAAGCGTTTGATCCGCGCAGTTTTCTTTTTCAGTCGACTACCATCTTCCGTTTCGAGCTCCTCCTCGTCGGGCTGCTGACCCTCAGTACTAGGTGGTATGCCAATTACACTCTCCTCGTCGGACTCCTTCTGGATCACCTCCAGGTGGGAGGTCAGCTTAAGGATGTGGAGCGAGAGCGGATTCCATCCCTCAGGCACTGGTGGTGAACGCATTTCGGAAAGCGGCATATTCTCTCCCGTGTCTAAATTTTTAACAGGAACTTGTTCAAGGATCTCAAAGTCCGTTAGCTGCTTGCCTGAGCTGGTACGTGTTCGCACATAAATGTTCATCTGCTTAAGCACATCTTCGTCGCCAGCGGACTTGCGTCGCTCCTTGTCGTTTACGCCACGGTAGAATCCGGGGTACCTGTGGTAAAAATGCAATTCAATTAAAATATTTTTATCAAATCAAACTTTATGGATATATTTAACTAACCGAGTAGAGCTGCCCAAGCTGTTGGATCCTGTTCCCGCCAACTTCGGTCGGTTCGCACTTTCCATGAGCATTTTCTCAATGCGCTCGATTTCATCTTGGGACGGACCCTGCGCCTTATTACTGGCCTCATCGCGTGGTTTCACTACGTAACCTCCCTGAATGGCCTTAAAGAGGTTTAGACCCTGATTTGGATCAATGGAACTGCAGGAGAAATTCTTAGTCAACTTTCCACCAAATATTTACGTACTACAATTTACTTACCTAACCCTCCCTGGTGCCGAGTTACTTTTCCCAGAATTCGATGGACTTGGCTTGGAGTGAACCGATGTTGAACTGCTTCCCAGAGATTGCGTGGGCTTTGCACCAGCCATCGTGACCGAATTCATGTTGGGACGCATATGAATTGCACTTGTGGATGGCATGGACGAAGATGCCGTCGTAGTCGAGGCTAAAGCGGAGACGATGGTGTTCGTGGAGGAGCAAGTCAATGTGTTACTGGAGGCTGACGCAGTTGCATCATTCAGGGAGCTTTCAAACTCGATAACAAAGTCATCGCGCAACTTTTGCTGAAGGCCCTGTACACTCTTCACAGATCGGGTATCACTATCGGTATCTTCATTATCCGCCGGGGGCAAACTATACTGATCGGAGGAACTAATAGAACAGTTTCGAGACTTCTTCTTTCTTCTCGGCGGCGCCACAGGTCCAGACGAGGTGATGGAATCTGTAGTTTTAGACTGGGCAAGCTTTGTGCTTGCTATCACATCAGGTTCCTGCAGCATTATGGCGCCAGCAGTTGAGGATTGCGTGGAAGATGCGGCGCTAGGAATCCCAGTTGTAGTGGCTGCTGCTTCCTGACCGCTTTGAAGATGTTTGGGCGAAACCCTGGGCGTACTCATCCCTGAAGAGGTGTTTCCAGTGCTCGGTGGAGTGGCGGAATTGGTAGATGATGCAGGCAGCGCCTGTTGTTGCTGCTGCGCCTGTTGCTTTTGCTGTTGGGCATTTAACGACGCTAGGGACTCGCGATCGACGCTTATAGCTGGAAACGAATAAAATAGGAATGTCAGTGGCTGCTTTGTTTTATTAAAAATATCGATTTATACTCACCAGATGGATCAATGCTGCCCGCCAAGATACGGCCCACGCGACCCAGTGATGTCATGCTCTGTATGCTCATCGCATCGGTCTCAATGACCTTAAACGGATGTGTTGAACGATTGGTAAAAATGCCGTCCGTTGAGCTGTTCTGCAAGTTTAATTAAAATCATAAGTACATCTAGGAGAGCCGTGACAACGAAAAGCTGATCAAACACGCTAGATTACAAAAATGTATACCTGAGAATCAGGTGTGAGTGTATTTCCTGGATTATCATCTTCATCGTTTTGCATGCACTGACGTAGTTCGTGAAAGCGCTGTCTACCCAACTATATGCGATTTTATGTCATTTATTTTAACGATGCATATTTAACATTGGTCGAGTTTCGAGTTTAAGTTGTTTCCATTTTTAAGTTGGGTATTTTTTTTTATTCGTTGGATTTACGAAATGAGGCGGAGAAAATATGAAAGTAAAGAACACAAATATGGACACAAAATTAAGGGGGTGATTTGGCTTTTACACATTAGATGGTGATTGTAAGATGTTCCTAATGGACATACATATATATTTGGAAAAATAAAACATACCGATTTTAAATAAACTTAATTACGGTTTAACTGCCCAGGTTTGTGAAAATGACATAATAAACGGAACTATGACATGAAAATCATCTAATTGCAAGGTAATCATGAATATACTTTTTACTTAAGGTAGTACTCGTATGATTTGTCAAAGTGCAACATTTAAAAACCTATCTTTATCTTTGTACCATTAACCGAATGTGCTTTTAAAAATAAAGAAAGGGTAAACTCTATAAACCATATCATATCAGGTTTTAAAAGGTCGCAATAGGGCAATAAACAATTTTATGACACCCAGCTCCGATTGTAATCGTGAATACAACTTCTACTACTACTATGATAATATTTATGTAGATAACTCGATAGTAAAAGAAATTAATTATCTAAAGGACCAAAAAAATATATATAAATATATGCCTTACTAAACAAAGATTTGCCTTTCCTGCCTTATAATACTGAATACTATATATGATTTTAAACCTCAAATAGTGAACAATACACTCTATAAGCCATAGCCCATGACATGTGAGCTAAAGGAGGGCTTTCACACATGAAAATGGTTTCCCAAGGCCATGGATGATGGATCGCTGCCCTAGTCGATGACATCATAACTAGATCTAGCAAAACAGAAAGTAAGACCACTCCACTTGTACTCTGTACACTTACAGATCCGAGCACTGGTTTAGGCTCAACGAAGACCCCGGCATCCTGCTGCTTTAACCGGGCACCCAGGCTGTTCGTAGGACTCCGGGTCGCAGGCGTTCCAGCGCCAATGGGTGTAGCATCGCTATCAGAGGAGGCGGCGGCGTTCACTCGCACGGCGGGATCGGGAAAGATAAACTCCTGGACCACCTCTGGAGGCAGTTTCCGGCTGAAATGGTGCTCGATTAAGTAAACATTTTTAAGGGTTATCCACCATTTACCAACCTTAAAGTTGAATGGCGGTTGGGCGTAGTGTCCTCGGCATCGAAAAACTCTTCAGAACTGTCCGAATCCGTCTCTAGTTTACTCATTTCGTGATTTGTGCGTTTGTGATGGCTATCGCTATTACCTAACCACCCAATCGTATGCAAATTGTTCACGAAATTACGATTTTCTCTCTGCTTTTTTGTTATTGATTCCCTTTTGTTGCTGCGGCACCCCACTGTCTTTTGTTGTTGTTTTACTTAAGTGACGTCACTCGCTGCCGCACTACCGCTGAAGGCACTGCATTCAACATTTTGCTATCGGCTGGGTCTCACTAATCATAATCACACTGTTAATTTAAGTCCAAATCAATTGTTAATTGAGTTTTTACGCTTTTTTTACGCGTAAATTCTAGAGGTGTCAAAGATGCAAAATCGCTCCCGATTGCATCGAGTATGAATCATAAACAATCGATTTAGTTAGAGACGGTGAAAGTCGTGTTTTTTCGTGAAATAACTGAGTTTGAAACATGCGTGAGACTAAATTTTAATGAGTCAAAGAGTTATAAATTTGCAAAATTATTGCATCATTTTAAAATAACATATTTAAACTTCTAAAAACCATTGTAAATTTGATAATGATTTTGAATTTAATTCAGTTTCGGAAAGCCCCTATTATTTTCCAATTCTTACACCTTGGTTTGGATCTAAGCTATATATCACTCAATAGTATCTGATAAAATATCGATACAACGACATTTTGATTTTTTTTTGCCATCGCCAAGTGCACCGTATGTTGTTATTGTGTTTTCCGCACGGCCCTCGAACAAAGTAAACAAATGTATAAATGCATGTGTTTTTGGCGAGCTTGTAACTTTTAGTAAATCGACGCGCGGGACGACGACATCGTCATAAAGCCGTGAGCTCCCATTCGGCGGGGCCAAGCGTATATTTAACTTTTGAAATACCCAAACGAAATAAAAGTGAATCCGAGCAATTACTGCGGAGTAAAACGGGTGCCAATGATCGCTACTACGCAATAGAAAAGTAATTTATCAAACAATTTTACCACCACACAAAAACCAATTTGAACAAAACCGAAAGTTTTGGGTTTAATTGCCCGTACCCATCATAAAATTGATAAGAGCACGTTAACCCGTTTCAGCTGCATGCTAAATTACGGTAAAAATAACTGCATTATATTCCAGACGACTTCCATAATCATGTGACGTTTTTATTTCGTGCTTAAAAATGACAAAATCAAAGAAACAACGAACTGTATTATTTATTCTTCGTCTATGTTTCTTAAATATGTGTATAATATTATGAGCTGCTGATGCTTATCAGTTATATATATTTATGTATATAGTAAATAACTAAAAATACTATATAGATGCTTAAGGTTTAAGATAAATCTACACAAAAAGGAAAGAAAAAATATCTATTATAGTCAAATTACCTACTTCCGCATTTTGATATTTTAGCATGCGGCATAACTAACCTAGTGTAAGATTATCATCCACACGTCACTAATAGCGGCCATATTTGATCAACATTCAGCAGTACTCAATCTAATCTTAAATCAGTGCTCGGAGCACTATAATATTATGCGTGTATTGTCGTTTATCAACAGTACATATGTATATAATAACAAATCAACTAGACTTCGTTGAACAACAATACAATGATAACTTGTTTTGCAAACTGGTTTCGCGGCTCCAATCTTGTTTAATAATTTTTGTTGAGAATCGAAGGGTTTTGATTCTGTATGTTGGCAAATCAGAAGTGTATAATATTGAATTTACGCATGTGATATTCATTAGTACTTTCGACCCTGACCAAAACAAAGAATTTCATTAGGCAAAAGTGTTTTACATCGATGACAAATCTATTTAGGCAAGTAATGAGCATTCCAGAATTTAAGCCTGATTAAGAACCAAGAAAGAACCAGTGTTTCTTTTTCAATCTAATAACCGAGAGAGCTATCAATTCTTTGTTTCTTCACATGTAAAGCATATGCACATTGAACATGATTTTCCTTATTTATTCTGTTCATATCTTGGTAAGTCACTAACCTTATCTCCCAAGGGACGCAGTATTTCACTTAAACTCAGTCTCTTGCACGTTTGGGTTGATAATCACAGCTTGTTCACTCCGCCATGCCTCTATTGAGTGCAGCGTGCAAAATAATCTCTGCCATTTTGATGATCCATTGAAAAAGTGCGGCCCTATTGGCGACAATAATGATTCACAAGTTTATTACCAGTCAGCAACTATTTACATTGCAGTGTTTTTCGCAATCGTATTTATATGGCCAGTTTTGGAACCCCCTTATTATATTTTCGATTCATTTCTTCTATAAGAGCGCCTGTAGAGCTTGATTCCTCCCCCATAACGAGCTCAGTTACCGGAGCGATATCACACGACTTGTGGAGCATAAATTTTAGCATTAGCAACAGTCAAGTGTGTTCTAGTTACTCTATTGTGTTAACAGTTAAAAGTATACAAAAACCCACACGCCACAAATCAACTTTAAAGCGACGAAGAATCTATTGTCCTCGAGTTTTGTACGTTATACACATTACGTTATGTACATTAATACCTACGCGTCTCTTTTGATTCATATACTTAAAATAATCTGTGCGAATTGGGACCCATACATACAGGATTCCAGGAAAGAATGCAGACCTTATTAAAGGCTCGTCCGAAAAACACAATAATTAAGTCCAACAGCTAAATACATATTCGTCGTTTATTGTACTGAAATTGGTGTATTTGTTCAAGTGATAATCTGATATATACAAACAAACTTGACTGGCTTCCTAGTAACGAATTTTGACTACTTTAAATAAGGCTTTATATAAACAAGCTTTAAATTCGAAATAAAAGACTAATTGTTATTGAAGTTTAACGAATTTGGCAGATTATATTTAAAGGGCGTAAATTGCAATTACGCAGATCAATTTGCAAGTGTAAAATGTTCATGGTTCATTTGTTTTAACTAAGAGTGAAAAAATCTTAGTATCAGATATTAATGTGATGATGTTTTATAGATATTCAGAAGGAGCCGCTTTCCTGCCCTTTTTTGCAGTAATTACACGACGTCTAAATCTAATCTAAATAATTTGTTTTGTGATAGTTCAATGACAATGACTGCGAGAGATAAGAGTCAGCCATAGTTATGGTATTTCTATCGTTCACAGGTTTGCCTTTCGCATTGCTACTGGTATATCATATAAAAAATTAAAGTATAGCCAGAGTTCGTTTTGGAACTTTTGAGACGATGGCAGTAACATATACCCCCGATTTCGATTCCGATTCCCCAATACACATGTGTAGTATTGCCGTTTAACAAAGCCGTCCAAGTCGTACCACTCCATTGTACCAGCGCCATAGTAATCTTATCGCGGCAAAAATGAACAGTTTAAGCTGCATCGTGCACATCAAATCGGAAATCAAATGGAAACAAAGTATCTTGACGTGGGCGTTTCGACCCAGCGTCTTCTGAAGTTTCGTTTAGTCTGTTTGTGCACATTGGGAGCGACGGTTATCGAGTTTCGAAAACTGCCCTGCCTTCTAGAATTTTAATTCGCATAATTTACGGTGTGTTTTGGTTGGTACGAGTGATATACCAGTGTAGTTTATGGTCCTCGTAAGGGTGATTTACAAGTGAAATTTATCATAAGGTTGCTGATTTTGAACGAAGCGAATATAATAGTCTTTGTAAATCTTTCTACGGCCTATATTATAGTGTTAAAATATTAGCATTCACTATAACCAATTGTAAGATACGTTGAGCTAAATACATTTTTAGCATTAATTTCAATCCAAAGTGGCAAAGATAAAAACCTTTTAAGTCCCGGTATTTTAGTTAATATCCAGTGATATCGAAACTAATTTCTAGACTTAATTATGTGATTTTTTATTGGTTATAGTGAGGCAGGACACGCTTACTCATCCTGACGAATTCGTTATCGGGCAATGGTCTTAGTATGATTGACTGCTGTTCTTCACAAAGCCATCTAGTCACACTTGAGCTGCCATGCTTAAATTTTACAGAGACTTGCTTATCACTGCCCCTATACTGTTTTGGCTGACATTGTCCATATCTAAAAGATTTTCCCATCACCTTATGTCTGATACTGAGAAGCGCATCTAGTTGTTCAATGATTTTGTTGCCAAGTGGCGGATTTGTGGAAAATATTTGCTTAGCTTCATAATTGTATCAAAATTTATGTGTGAATTGACATTTCTTAATCGACACAAATTATATTTCGATTTTAGCTGGCTCAAGTCGACGCACACGGCACATATTCCTTCAAGATTCACTGGACATGAACAAGCGGTAGTGACTAAAGAAATACAGTTCCCGCAAGACAAAGCCTTATAAATATCCGTAGTAAGGTAGCCAAAATGACCACCAACAGCAGCTTCTTCGACGAACATTTCGCCATGATATACTCCAACCTTATGGATCAGTACATGCCTGAGTACTTTAAAAGCTTCGAGTACACACCATGGGTTTTCTCCCTGTTGGGATCGGTGGTCATCGGTTTGAGTGGCATATTCCCTCTGATAATCATACCCACAGAGGAAAAAATGGCAAAAGAGGGATACAAAGATCGTAAGTTTTCGCACTTATAGCTTTTTAAAATCAAATACCTAAGTTTCTCTCACCTTTCAGCTGCAGAATCAAAACTCCTGCGAGTCCTCCTAAGTTTCGCAGTCGGTGGTCTTCTAGGTGATGTATTCCTCCACTTACTGCCAGAAGCCTGGGAAGGTGATAATCAAGGTGAGTTGAGGCGAACTCTAAATGAAAAATTAGTCTTAGGTAAAGCCTGTATTTATAGATCCATCTAGTCACCCGTCTTTGCGCTCCGGACTTTGGGTCCTTTCCGGCATTCTCATCTTCACAATAGTGGAAAAAATATTTTCCGGATATGCCAGCGCGGACGAAGAGAATCCTCAGCCCAAGTGTGTGGAGATAGCGAACTGTCTGTTGCGTCGACATGGAGGACAGTTGCCAGAGGGAGAAACGGCCGAGAGTTGTGGTGGTGCCTGCGATATCGAAGATGTAGATAAAGTTTGTTTCCTTCGGGAAAGGGAATTGAAGTCTAAGGAAAAAAAGGAACAGCCAAAGAAGGTGGCTGGTTATCTGAACCTCCTGGCCAACTCAATTGATAATTTTACACATGGCTTAGCAGTGGCTGGATCCTTTTTGGTCTCCTTTAGACATGGAGTCCTGGCTACATTTGCAATATTGTGTAAGTACTAAGATTTCAGCTGCTTTCCACAAAATATGTTTAAGATTTCCATGTGCTTCTATTATTCCAGTACATGAAATTCCACACGAAGTGGGGGATTTCGCCATCCTCCTTCGATCCGGGTTCAGCCGCTGGGACGCCGCACGAGCCCAGCTTCTGACGGCGGGCGCTGGCCTACTCGGTGCCCTGGTGGCCATCGGAGGCTCCGGAGTAACGTCGGCCATGGGTAAGCTTAAAAAGGCTTTCCAGCTGACAAGCAACTGAACTTATCTTAACATTTACAGAGGCACGTACTTCGTGGATTATGCCGTTCACTGCCGGCGGCTTTCTGCACATTGCTCTGGTCACAGTATTACCTGATCTCTTGAAGGAAGAGGAACGGAAGGAGTCCATTAAGCAGCTGCTAGCACTGATATTTGGCATTGCGTTAATGGCCGTGATGACCATGCTATTCGAACATTAGGAACTTTAGTTCATATCAGTATAAGAAGAAAATTTAACCACAATTTTAGTTTTCCCGAAAGATTGTCATTGGCAGTTCCAAATTTATATGAATTTGTTGTACTTTACGGGATTCTACATCCTGCCTGCGTTATGTAATTATAGCTAATATGAATGATATTTAAACTATTGTTAATAATATCGTATTACTGTATCATACTTATGAAAAGAAAATTGAATAGACATTTAATTAAGGGAGAGTCCTTAACTCTCTATTATCAACGAAAAAGTTCTCTTTACTACCGCATTTATTTTAAGGAGCTCCCGAGAATTTCCAGGTAATTATCTTCTAGTCTTTTAAATGCCATCTCTGTTACCGAGGCTAAATGAAAGAAAAAATCAGACAAATGCACTTCCTATAAAAAACAAGTTGTTTTATTCCGTTTTTTCTTTGCAAATCATGTCTTGCAAGCTTATCTAGTGCCTTTATTTCTTAGACTTGATCTTCTTAAGGTAGAATTCCAACTCCTTGCCTTCCAAAATGTAGCCGTCGGAGCGACCGCACTGTCCGGGGCGGGAAGAAATGCAAGCTAAAAAGGAAAAGAATTTATAATTAGACAAGGGCGTCTAGTAAAACAAAAAAAAAGCGTGTAGTGTAGCAAAATCAGAGTAACTATGACAAGCCGAATCACACCCAACAGGCTTGTATCTCTCTTAAAACAAGATTGATACAATAAAGTTGTTGGATCGCTAGGGTTTTTACATCACTTTAAGAAGCTTTTATTGTAAATTGTCATAAATACATACCCAAGATGCGGCCGGAGGTGAACTGATCCTCGAGGGCCTGCTCAACCTTGCCGTACTTCTGGCGCTCCAGGTACTTCTTCATGACCTTTTCGCTGCGCTTCTTGGTCAGCACGTCGTTCTCATCCTCCTTCTGGGCGTGCTTGGGGTTGCGCTTGCGGCCCAGGGGCAGGACGTAGTGCGCCTCGTACCACTGACGGAAGGGCGTGGCATCGATCACCACAATGCTGTTCTTCACCAGAGTCTTGGTACGCACCAGCTCGTTGTTGGAGGCGTTGTAAACCACATCGGCGATACGGGTCTTGCGCGCGACTCCCTCAGAAGCCCAGGCGAAGTTTCCGTTCTCCAGGCGCAGAGCACGCAGTTTGGTGTTTCCACCACGAGTGCGCACCTTGTGCACGCGGCCGGAGCCAAGCTGCAATGAAAAAGTTCTGGTTAGTCTGTGTTGACTTTGGCACTAACTTTTTAAGGGAATATTAGGTATCAGTAGTCCGAACATAAAGCTTTTCAATCATCAAGAAGAGCGCTCGAGAGCACAATTGCAGTTGACACGCGTTAACATCATTTTATAGTCTAAAGGCATCCTGGGACCGGTTTTCTCATGTCTTCGTTTTGGGATAGCAATTTATGTTTTTTCTTGAAATCTAATTATTTAATAATCAAGAAAGTAACTCGCATTCGTAAGTCTTCTGGCATATCATAGCCACCATTGTTTTACTTTTGACCATGCGTTTATCATAAGGTATAGATTTATGTTTGGTTGCAAAATATTAAAATAATACCCTTAATCGGAGCATGAGAAACTGGATCTTCGTATGATTATAAGCTATAGGGATTATCTGCAGATTATCTTTACCTTGGTGTTGGCGGCGGGACGGCCCAACTCGAACTTGCGCTTCTTGCGGAGCGACTTGCGCTTGCCTCCGGTGGCCCGGCGTTTGTGTGCACTATCGCGGCTAATACCTGATATTAATAAATGGAAAAAATTAGTATAAATCACTCAAAGACTAGTCGAAAATACCAAGAACATGGTCACGTTGTAGGGTCACTCAAAACAGCCGCATTGCTCGGACACCAAGTTAATTTCACTATTATTTCTTTAAATTCACAGATTCCCATTTTCTTTTTGTTTGATGCGGTTGTAAACGTACCCAGTGCACACTTTTATAATGTTTTCAGGCCAATTCGAGCCCATTTTCTTGATATTTCGAATCATTTTGCGAGAGCTGACTTACCCATGGTCGAGTAAAAAGCGAGAAAGAAAGGAAAAGACACGCACAGCACCTCGTGTCAAAAAAGTAGGGTTATCTTTTTGACATTTACCGCGGATGGGCAACGCTGCACTGTTAACGCGCGCCTAACAGAACATTAAGTGCTGTTGCGTAAATTCAAATAAAAATTGATAAGGAATATAATAACTAAAAATAATTCAGAAAACTGAAATGTGGATTATATTACGCCCTTTTAATTAATCATTACTATCTTAAAAGTTGAATTTTTATTAATATTTTGATTACATGAAATAATTTTAAACTGTTTAAGCATTGGCGTTGTTAAAACCAGGGCTGCCGAATGTATCTAATATAAACATAATTGAAATTTTTGAATTGATCACAGTATAATTACTTTTTAAATAAACATAGCTATCCACAAATTACCCTAGACAATATCAATCTGAATTTTAAAAATATCAAATTTTTTATAGAAGAAGTAATACCTTAATCATTTTAAAAACTGTTGATAAAACAATTAAGGGAAACTGTTAACCCATGGCTTCTTGCAAACGGCCACACTTAACTTTTGCACCGAAAATAATTGCAATTTGATAAATAAACCCGACAATAGCATTCCAAACAAATTGGCCAGGGGCTGGCGAAACTTCAGCGCCGGGATTGCTAACTATGGTTGGGAAAAACTTCAAGGCTCTAGCGCATTTTCACCGCCTGACCGAGTACATAGTACAGTGCAAGCACTGCGACAAAACATTGTCCTCCAAACACACGTCCTCCAATTTGACGCGCCACTTGATCCGGAACCACAAGCTCTTGGCCCGCACGATTTTCGCCGGCGAGGAGGGAAAGATGCTGGCGGAGCTCAAGGACGAGTTGGAGGCCTCCGCTTCCGAGGATCTCAGTATGGAGCTCGCCGAGGGAGAAGGCGAAACGAAGTCGGCAGTGCGCGGAATAATGGGAGTGAAACGAGAGCAGGATCAGATGGATCGGCATAACCAGGAGGAGATGCGTAACAAAGTGATCGGGAAGAATAATAAGCTGTGGGCCCACTTCATCCGCATCTCCGAGTTCATGGCCAAGTGCATGCACTGCGGGAAGACCCTCTCATCTAAGCACTCGTCCTCTAACCTGATGCGCCACATCGTTAGGCGTCATAACAACCTTGCCAAGACTCTTAATCACTCGCATCAGCATCTGATGACACCTAAAAAGGAGACTTTCAGCAGCATTGAGCGACGGCAGGCGGCTGATCCCCTGGAGAAAGTCAACTTTGATGATGTGGACAGCATCATCGAGAAGGTGGCGGATCACCTCGACGAAGAGGTTTGCTCTCGGGTTATTTACCCCCCTACTATCTATATACTTTCGATCTCTGGTTTAAGGTCACTTCGATTTCGCTTCAGGAACCCTTCTATGAGTACGTGGTGGACAACTCGGATTCCGTGGTTATAGACAGGTGCGAGGAGCCCGAGCCAACGGATATGCAGAACCTGATTCCGGCGGACACTGCATCGCTGGCAGAGTCCACCACCCAGCTGGACGAAAAACTTAAGGCAGAAACGATATACTACAACGAGATGGCCGAGTTAGCCAGAGCCAAGCGTCGGCTCATCGATCTGCAAACCAAGAAGCTGCTTCTAGACATGAACGTGGTGGACAACTAACAAACTGACGATTAATACAGATTGTATTTGTAGGTGGATAAGGCGGGCAATATGATAATTTACACTTAAGTACGATTATACTTTTAACAACATTAAGATTTATGCAATTACTGTACGGTGGATTTTTTGGATTTCTAATTGGGAATAATGTTAATCAATTTTTGAAACCAGAGCAATTATAGGCGATTTCCCATTTAATTATATACAATTTTCTTAAAAAGTCTCCCGACATAGGTGGGTACTTTCAATTTTAAAATAAATTTCTTCATTTTGTCAAGAAATAGTTACAAAATGTACACAGCTTTTTGATACAGGTGCGTTACTCAATTGTTATTATTCAATTGGTATCGCTTTATAATTCTTTCGTATTATTTTTGGACAGCTTAATCTTTTACATTTTTTAAGTAATACTTGTGTTCAGATTAACATGTTTTTAAGAAGACAAATATTAATACTTTTCCTTAAAAAAATGGAGCAACGGTCTAGATGATTATTTTTTTCGTTTTCTTTTTATTAAAGTGGCTTGGATCCATGCTGACTAGCTAGCAGATTTCCAAACCAATGGCCTAAAACACGAGACAAATATTTTTTATTTTATGTGTTTTGGTCACACTGTCTTTACAAGCATTTTTCATTCGCATTTTTTGTTTCGCACCTAAAAAAAAAACGAAATTCCGAATTGGAATAAATAGAAAAAATGTCCAGCTTTTCGCCAAACCAATTGCGCCAATGCGCCCGCTTCACCGGCACACCCTGTACGCCGGACAAGGAGCAGCAGCTACGGGAGCAGATCCACAGCGAGTTGACCAAGATCAAGTACTGCGCGAATCCTACTTACGAATGCAGTCTTATGCGGATCGAAGGCTATGAATACTGCATCCGGCACATCCTGCGCGATCCTCGATCCAACTACCGCCAATGCTCGCACGTCTATTCGAACGGCAGAAAGTGCATTAACGCGGTGGCTAAATTTGACAACAAGAAAGAGCAAATCCTGACTACCCTCTGCTTTGAGCACAATCGCCAGACGCAGCTGCAGAAGACCCACCTGAATGTTGGTCGCATTCGCAGTCGTGTGGAGACTAACGAGACCCTGCTCCACGGTCTCTCATCGCACATCAACGTGGAGGACATAAAGCCAGAGGTCCCCAAAGCTGAACCAGATGACGATGAAATTGATGTGGTCTCGCCGCACGTTATTCCATTTGGTAAGCACAATAGTAGCAGGTTACATTAACTTGTAGGCTAACATTTCTTTTTCTTAAAGTCCCCCAGGATCATCGCAACTCCATAAGACATGTTGTGGAGAGCTCGCGCAAGCGACGTCGCATTCTGGATTATGCTTCTGATAGTTCCAGCAACGATGAGGATCCGCCTTGTCTAAAGAATACCGCTCAGGACATAGAGTTCTACGAATCGGACTATGAAAGCATAGATTCCGAAGATGACGATCCCTTAAAGTAAGATTTTACAGGGATTGAACATATGATGTGTAGACGGATAGGAGTTTAAACATTTAAAGGTATTATCTAACTTCACTTCTTTTACCTAGACACGCTGGCGTTTTCACCCGTGCCGAGGCAGTAAGGATTGCCGAGACCAAGCTAATAAAGCTTCAGGGTCTTTATCGTGAGCAGCTTTCACATTTGCAGAATGTCCTGAAGCAACGGCGTCGCAAATATTTGCACGACATACGCCGAGAGCGAGAGATATATTGTATGTTTTTCACGGTCTTAAAACTTATTCCGAATAGGCATCTAATACCTTACTTTCAGGTAGCATCCATGATCAGCTAAAGGACACGCCGCACGAGCGGAAGCTGTACGAACAGCTAAAGGCTCTGAATAGCTACCATCGTCGCCAGGGCATGGAGGCAGTGCTGTACAAGAAACTAAAGGAGAAGCGCGCCCGGGACACTCTGTATGCATCAAAATCATCTAGTAACCCAAAGTGCGTTTTCACTGAGGGTGGCGTAAAGTGTGGTGAACGAACACTACCCTGCTGCAAACACTGCCGCAAGCACATCCTGGAGGACAAGCGCCAGGTTCTGTTTCGTGCCTGCGGCGTGGAACGGAGTGGGGTGGTCTGTCAGGAACCGGTGGCTAGCATTCTTGAAGACTCGAATTGCGTTCTGCATCTGACCGTCGCGCCGGCTAAGCGGCAGTATATACAAAAGGTGCGTTGATCAAAAACTAAACCTAACCCACGCCATAACCACCACACGTAACCACTTAAATATTCCAACTGCCTCTTCACTCATTGCCATAAGTTGTGTTGCACATAACTGCCGAAACTACAGTAAATAAACTGTAAAACAGTTTAACAGTTCAAGAACAAATACTGCTTAACTAGTATTTAGACTATTTGTAGTAGAGCTAAGTATATCTACTGAGAAACAAACACGAAACACATGTATATAAGTGCTAGTACTGTTTATTAAGCCTATTGTGATCGACCCTGAATAAATTGCCGACCTCTCATCCCCCAGTTTTATGAACTTCCGAAAACTCCGCCGGTAGAAAGTATTTTCGCAGCAGGCCGTGGTGTCGATAATTTTGTTGAAGAAGACCCTCCGGTTATATCGCAGACGGAGGGTGATGATCTTTTGGATTTAGCAAGTGGTATATTCGAGTTTGACCTCGAAACAGCCGATGAACTGGCAAACTCTCTCGACGGTGACTGCACCATGTTCCTAGACATGGAAAGTGACCTCGGCTTAGCCATTAACGATCACACTGTGGACATTGGAAACTTAGACTTAGGTCTCCAGGAAGAAATCGAAGGAGTTTCAAGCTATTCAGTTGATCCTGTTGAAACTCTGACTCAAGACAATTTTATCGATGGCCACTTAGATTTAGATGAATCATCTGTGCAAGACAGTAACGAACTTAACTTTAATATCGACGATTCGGAAAGCAATATTAACGAAGTGTTGCGAATGCTAGAGGGCATTGAGCAAATGCCCTGGTTTGACGCCCTAATGAACTAGTTCCATTACTTAGTGATGTAATAACCCACAATCCTAACCATAATCCAAATACTAGCTAAGTGTACCACTCCTTCTCATTGTTGATAAATAATTTACTCCACAGAAATGCGAGTCCGAGACCGAGGAAGATGAGATCCAGTCTGCGAGCGTGAGTACGATTATAAAAAAGGAAAAAAAGGAGCCCACAGAAAATCTGAACACGAGTCAAGTTCTCAACGTCACCACAGCTCATGACGAAGACAACAAGGACGAAGTTAAATTGATAGGGTCCATACAAAAGCCAACTAATACTACTTCTTAAGCCACCGTAGACTATATATTTACTGTTGCAATCATTAATTATTACATATTAAACGGAAAACATAGACACAAATCTCAGCCAATTTGTTTTGTAAGCAGCTGTTGAATTTTTTGTTTATCTCGGGTAAAAGGACCATTTAATAAATATTCACTTTTAAGTTAATCAAAGCGGAGCGTTGGTTTTCGTATATATTTATTTACACTTATTGGCTTTTCATAATTTATACAACTTAATATTTGTTCATTTCTATGCATGTATATGCACATACATTTAACAATTTACATTTCCTACAGAAAATGCCAGCTTTTGTAGTTTCTTAAAAATACAAAATATGCACTCTGTTTGCTTAAAATTAATGACTGTAATTATTTGATCTTAAAGCACAGTTAAATATATCAGTTATCAGTTCCTCCGTTCAGTATTTCTACTCAAATATTTACAGATTGCATATGCTATGATCATATTTTGATGGCAACCGCTCTCGTTGTTAAAATGCACTATTAAAAATATAAATTGGCAGCTAAATATATTAACAAAGTCTGCTATATGTTGAAACCAGTTCTTCTCAATCATTTCCCTACAGTTCCGTCGTAGTCTCTACCTCCGATCTGTCCAAATCATTCAGATATGAGAAGCCTATTTGGCCGTAGTCCCTCTTGCCGAAGGAAACGTTCTCGTTTGTGCTGCTTAGGTGGTTGTGATCAGAATTGGATCTGTAAGAATTATGAGTATTATTATTTAAGACCTATAACTTCAGATGTGTTTGAATATATACCTTTGAAACAGCGGGTTTGTTATGGGCACCTCTCCACCGTAAAGTCGATTGTTAAGCTGGCCATTTCGACCCAATGTGGCATTCATCAGTTCGCCATTGCCGTTGAGCAACCCCACGTCGCAGAAGGTATTCCCCCGCCTTCCCATCGTACTGTAGGCATTATTTTTGGCATTTGCCATGTTGTTGGGGCCAGTCGGATCTATATTGTAGGCCCCGTTCTGGTAATGATTACTATTTTGGTGTTTTATGCGGCCCAAAGTCAGGGTGCCGGAAAGGGCTCCGTTTGCAGGAGATCCCAGTGGGTTGGCATTGTTGCGGGTATTCATCTCCAGAGTTCGGTTGAAGGTGTTCTGCCTGTTGTTAATGGCCAGATTGTTGTTCATGTTGGCATTGTTGAGATTCTTGTGCCGGCGCAGTGTGGCAATCGTGGCTGTCGTGGCATCCGAGTGAGACGGACTGGACTGTCCACCTCCGTTGGTGTTCTCCTTGTGCGTTATATAGCTGACATTGTCCAGCGAGAAGGCATGGTTCTTGGCACTGAAGTCCAGCTGCAGATCGTCGTCCACATCCGGAGGCACTGCCATCGCAAGCATCTGTGTTTCGTACTCCTTCATGTTAGCTATGGTTTCGCTGGCATTTGAGGCCTGCTGGTTAACGATCACGGGATCGTACCGGGTTGGATTAGTGGAGGAGTACTGGCGCATCCTTTGCTTGAAGTTTTTATATCTGAAAAAGATATATATTTCAACATAAGTACATACAAGGTGTGCTTTTACTTACTTTGACCAAGAAATGCAGATGTAAATGATGCCGATTGTTCCTAGAATGAGTATTACAAGTGATATGGCGATGAGAGTGAAGGGGAAGACCTCGTTATCAATGGCTACGGCGGCTTTGACCTGCAGAGGCGAACATAGATAGACAATATTATAGATAGATCCCAATGAAGAAGATTATACAAAAAATAACCCACCTTATGAACCTGTTCTTTTCTCTCAAGTGGAAATGAGATACTTTCGGCTGTGGCTTTGGGTAATGCGATATTCAGTTCCGATCGCGCAGCTGGTTCTAGTAAAGTCGTCTCCACAATGCTGTCCTTGCGACTCAACAGCTGTTCTGTCTTGGGATCGATCAGATAGAACCATATATCCGTTGCAGCTGGGTTCTCGATCACAGATCCGTTCTTGGCCAGATACTTTTGACTGCTCATTCGCTCAATGCCGCTAACCAGTCCGGTCTTCTTGTCCAGCAGCTCCTCTAACTCCGTGTAGTAGTTGCGAAGGTCGCTGGGTGCTGCATTCGGGAAGGATAGAGCCATACGATTTATATCCGCCAGTTTATTGACAACTATCCGGGCCCTCGTGCGATGAGATCCCTGCTCCTGGGCATCGCTATCACGGGCTTCGACCAAAAATGTCAGCGGAAAGTCGTTCTCATTTTTAAAGTGCCGTGCAGTGCGCAAGACTCCAGTATCTTCGGACATCATGAAGAAACTCGTGGGCTGAAAATATTAATTATAAGGTAATAAAACCATAAACGGGTGGATAAACTAGATCTCTTACCATATCAACCCGGTTCTCATCATCGTCGAAGAGAGCGTATCGAACGGTTCCAAATTTACCCGAATCACGATCTGTGGCACGCACCTGCAAAATGGTTGTGTCAACATCCATTTCCTCGGTTACCACCGTGTAGAAAGTGTCTTGTTGGCCACGCAGCCTATTGAACTCAAACTCCGGTGCATTGTCGTTCTCATCCTGAACTATTATCTCCACATTGGTAGTATCTTTCAGTGGGTTGACGAAGTAACGATGCGATGTCAGTCGCAACTTGAGGCTGTACGAGGTCTTGTTTTCATAGTCCAGTGGTTGGATGAGCAGCAAGTTGCAACCATGATCGGCAGAGCTCAAATTAAAAACTCCCTCCTCGTTTCCATGGACAATTTCACACTTGAAGGCAGGTGGTCCATCAGTTGATGTCTTTGAATTCACTATTTGAATGAGTTTGAGGGTGCTATTTGTTTCCATTGACTCCGGCACACTGGTGGTGTAGCTATCATCACTGAAGGCCAAGCCTATACTTTCACTGCTCATAACCATTCCACTTTCCAATTTATTGTCCAATTTAATTTCGTTATTACCGTTGGACAAAAGATGATGTACATCGACTCGCAGGGGAGCCACTGAGCTCAGCTGGGGTTCCCCCAAGTCATAAGCTCGTATGTCCACCTGGTACTCCGTATCCTCTTCTTTCTGCAATTCATCTCGTATGCGAACTGCTCCGGTGTCCGGATCTACTTGGAAGTACTTGGGAGCCTTGCCACGCCCAACTATCTCATAGCGTACCACATTTCCGGGAGAAGTGCCATCGCCATCAATTGCTGGAAGAGTGGCAATGATGGTACCTATGCTCTGGTCATCGTTTACGGTCACGGGATCGGGTACGGTGATAAACCTCGGCGGTAAATCGTTGCGATCTTCGACATCCACCACCAGGTGAACCGTATCTCCTGGCCCATCGCCATCATTCTCGATAGTTCCAATGGTCAGCTGGTGCTGCTTCTGGCCTTCATAATCCAGTCCCTTGACGGTCCTGACTTCTCCGGTTTTGTCTGAAACCTTAAAGAGTTCCGCATTACCCTTACGCAGAACGTAAGTGATTTCCGGCATCGAATCCGGATCAAAAGCTTGCACAGTGGCCACTAGGAAGTTTTCTTCGTTCTCCGGAATATGCACATCGATGCGGGAATCGCTGAATTTGGGAACCTCATCCGGAAGATCGAGAACCATTACTGTAACACTAGCTGTTCCCAGTCGAGCATCCGGCGCACCATCCTTGGCGGTAACCACAAACTTGTACTCATTCAACTGCTCATAGTCCAGCTCCTTAGCTGTAAGAATCTCTCCGGAAGTAGCATTTATAGTGAAGGGTATATCAGTCGGAATGGAGTAGGTGATCTCAGCATTGATACCCTCATCGGCATCGGTGGCATGAACCACTCCAACGGATGCCTGCGATTTGCCTTCCTCTACTTGGAAGACATAGGGTAACGTAGAGGCATCAAACTCCGGGTTCTTGTCATTGATATCCGTCACCTTGATATTGACAGTGGCACTGCTGGAGAGACCTCCAGTGTCCTCCGCTTTAAGGATCAGCTGGTAGCGGGTCAAACTCTCACGATCTAGTTTCCGTATGACTATGATTACTCCACTCTCCTGACCCACAGCAAACTGGCGCAGATCGTTGCCCGATATTATGGAGTAGGTAACAGCATCGTTTTCCGGATCCTCGGCATGAACTACCGTGACAGTGGAGTTGATTTCTGCTCCTTCGCTGACCTGGACCTCGTAGATGGGCTTCTGGAAACGTGGTGGCTTCGTGTTCGGTCCCGGGGTCACACTCACCTCGACTATAGCCTGGGAGGAGAGTCCTCCGATATCGGTGGCCTGCACCGTAATGCTATACTGCTCACCCGCCAGCAAACGTCCTTGGGTCCTGATCTCACCCGTCGTCTCGTTGATGGTGAACTTCTGGATGCCGTTGTTGGAGACGTGGTAAATGGAGTAGGTCACCACGGCATTCGGCCCCTCGTCGTTGTCGGTGGCTATGACCTGGGTGACCAGCCGACTTTCGCTCTGATCCCCGGCTGTTATGGAGATCGGTGGCACCATGGCCAGCTTGGGGGCATTGTCGTTCACATCTCGTAGGTGGACCGTGAGACTCAGGGGAGCACTGGCCGCATTGGTTCGCGGTTCCCTGGCCACCACTTGAAACTTGAAACGTCCTGGCGCAGGAGGGTCGCGGTCGAGGTTATCCTCGTTGACAATCAAGATGCCATCGCCTGTCACATTGAACGACGGCGTGGTCAGCTCGTATATATAGTCTGGCTTCGGATCGGTGTCACTCAGGTCGGCATCTGTGGTTTTGAACGATATAGGGTTACCTGTCGAGTCCAAGACCCTTGTTCCTATTGGCGAGTTCTCATCTACGTAGCCCTCGGTCTGAGATGATGATATTACTGGGGGATTGGCATCCACTGGCTTAACAGAAATAGCCAGCTTGGCCGTTGTGAATCGCTGTGGACCCGGGGAGACCTCTTCTGCTTTCACTATGATGTCATACTTTTTCGCAGTCGAAGTATCTATAGCTTTCGTTTGCTTCAGCACCCCCGTGTTCTCATCAATCTGGAAGTAGTCAGCGTAGTTGCCGGGCATTCCACTGGCAAAGCTGTAGCGAATCGGGGAGTTGATGGTATCCAGATCCACTGCCTGAATCCTTTCTGGCAGAACTGTAAGTACTCCCAGCAAGGATCCAGCCGGCACGGATGCTGAGTACTCCGGATTTATGCAGGCGCCATCAAGCGAAACACATCCGCTGTATATGAACGAAGGATCCAGGTCGTTCGAGTCGGCTATATTCACTGTCAAAGTTGTGGTCGATGACAGGCGATCTGCGGTATTGCGTGCCCGATCCTGAAAGTTAAAATAATAAGTTAACTTGGTAAGTAATATATACTTATGTTAGATCAGTAGCTGCACTACCAATATCTATGGATATATATTTTCTAACCCATTTCCAAGAGAAAGGAACTGAAACTTAATAAAATGCCGTCGGCCAAAAAGCCGGTAAAAGTAAGCACTTAATTGAGGCCTTTTCGGCTCAACCTTTAATTGTTGCAGTGGCCAAGTAGACAGTTTAATTAACCCTTTGTAATAATTTAATTTATCACTTACCGAAGCCACAATAGTAAGATAATATGTTTGTATCTTTTCAAAGTCCAAAGTCTTGGCAACAGTAACCTAGTTAAGAGAAGGGAAGAGAATACATCACATATCTTACCAAAGAAAGTTATGAGAAACTTACTTGACCCTGGTGAGGAAACGATATGGCAAAGGTTCCATACCCATCTGCACTATATTTCTCGATATCGGTGGAATTGGGACTTCCCTCGGCTATGAAATACTCGACCAGCCCATTGACACCTGCGTCCTTATCGAGGGCCTGAATGTTTCGAAATATAGTGGTTCCCACCGGTGTGCTCTGCAAGAGAATATCATAACCATTATAATCCATTGAAATGTCAGTTAATTCGACATGGGAAGCAGCGGGGGTCTTTAGAGTGGGTTTTTAGCCAGAGAACCGAAAGTGTTTCCTGCCTGCTTAGTAAATTGTTTCCATTTCTAGTTCAGCAAGAAGATGGCATGAAATATGTTTTCTTCTTGTGCTAAATTTCTAGCATTTCCCATGGAACCCAACTGGGAGCCAACGGAAACTCCGAGATCATTATTTTATTCGCATTGTTTTTTAGAGTCAAGTGGTCGGGTGCGGGGCTCCAAAAGCCTGCTGGGCTGTTATATAACGGTTACAGCCTCTTAAACCGATGTTAAGGAGCAAGTTTGCTACTTGCATGGAGTTGGAGCTGCTGTTGGAGTTGGAGAGTCTGCAGTTTGTGTGCTCTTCAGTTGGTAATTTAGCATCCACATCCCCAGCCACAGTACCCAGTACCCAGTACCCAGAATTGCAGCTGAGCTGTGCGCGTTCATAAGACATTGTTCATCTGCTGAACTTTGCGATTTGTTTTCGGTTTTTCTGTTTTTCGGTTTCAGCTAAATGGCATGCAAGCTTAGGTCATCTTTTTTCGCTTTTCATAATTTTCGGGCATGCAATAACATGGCTATCTTAGAGCCTAACCAATTCCCAGGCCCAGGTTTTTGTGTATTGATTGTGTAGAAGATAGCATATTGTTTCGGTAGCCCTGTGGAGGTATAATTTATCGCTGTTCTTGTAATTACTTGATAGAGCGAGCGGCAATGAAATGCGATTCTGTTGTCTTGTCTTCCCTGGCTGGACATCGGCTCTGGGGTCCCTTGGGAGTGTTCGCCTAAGCTGGCAAGTGCATACCAATTATATTCCAGTTTGACTGGCAGAACGCCATATAAAGGGACCTGGATCTCGAATTTACAATGCACTATATACACTTTTTTCCTGCGAAGAGACGATGACGCAGGCAGGCTGGGCTTTTGTTTATTCTCCACCAGGCTTCCTAAACTTTAAGGCTTCACATTGTTAAATAAATTTCGTATGGGTAAACGTCCTGATTGCAAATTCCAATGAACCATTATTGTATTGCCTTGCAATTTTATTTACTATCTATCCGAGGAGAGTGCCTCTCAAGGTCCTAGCAGATCGAAAGATATCCGCCTGAGTCTCAAGTGGCAACATTTTAATTGCAATCTTAAATTGCCAATCATTGTCTGAAGAAAGTGCTTTTCAGTAAGAGATCTATTCAGAAGCTAATACATTAATTAAGTTGATCGCCTATCAACCGTATTGGCAGGCAGTTATAATGTCTTTCCTAACGATTGGCAAACGTTCTTGCGAACATGATTATTCTACAGGTTTCATATCTCTCTAAGTGTGCGGCTCATTATGTGAGGTTTCTCCCATTATGTAAAGACGCAGGTGCGATTTTAGCAAGGTTTCACTCAGCTTGGCGAACTCTTTGCCTGGTAATGCATTTTATAGGGGTTCTTATTTACGGTTCTCTACAGAGCACGTTTCCGCTTTGTCTTATGCTTTTTGCTGACGCTGACGCTGCTTTCTAATATGTCAACAGTTCTATAATTGAACGTTATTAGTCTAAATACGTGATTAAAAGCCGGCAGGCAATGCTTTTGCTCAGATCCTCTCCTCGGATTCTTATGGTTACTATGGATACCGGGGACCCGATTCGCTCGACATGCTATTGTGTTGCTGAAGCGCTGAAAACATGTTCACTACCACTTCATTAGTGTTCAGTATGTAGTTGCTGCTGTCGCGTCGGGAAGACTATGCACATTCACCTGACTCTTGCACTGGGAAAAAATCAAGTTCTGTGCTCTTATCTTAAGAAGTGCAACCCTTAACTACCTTATGAAACATCATATCTCTAAACTGAACTGGAGAATAACTTAGTTCCCCAAAAAGCCCTATAATAATCTTAGATGTTATCTTTCAGGTACTATAACTTGATATAGATCGCGTTTCTCCCAGTGCATGTGTGACCATTTCCAGCGTGATAGTCCGTTTGGCACCCGGCTCTGAGGAATCAGAGGAACCGGAGCCGGTGGAACTACAGCGAGAAATGCGGGCAAACTTTGGGGCGTCGAAAAGCTGATCGTGCGGACGCTGGAAAATGTCTATTTGGTATTTGGTATTTACTTACCTCGGGAACGGTAACCTCGTAGGGCGTGTTCATGAAACGCGGCGCATTGTCATTTATGTCCGACACCCGAACAATAATGGGAATGGTGCGCTTCTTGTTCGTGGACCTGGTGGTGCAGGAGACCTGAAACGATTCGAAAAGACATATTTTCATAAATGCTTTGCTTTGCGGGGTAATAGGGCTCCGACTAATGTACCTGAAAGACAATGTGACTGAGGTTCTCCTCATCTCGGTCCAGAGGCTGCAGCAGTTGGAGTTTCTTGCCGTTTAATTGAAAGATCGGCTGGCCTTTCGGAAAGACCAAATTCAAAGCGATCTCCGTCTCCGGATCGCCGAAAATTGGAAGCTCTGGCGGAGTGGTTGGCTGTCCGATGACTGCAAGAAACGCATAAATAATATAGTAAAAGTTGAAGTCCAATAAATAAAGCTAGGTTATTGGTACAAGCATCAAGAAACCGGCAAACATATCGGGAGGGAAACGCGAAAACTGAGAAAACCGAGAAAACTGCAGACAGCAGCCTTTCTCTTTGCATTTGGGGTCAAGTTGCAGCGATCACTTGCGATGTGTACACATGTATATATACATATATATGTATACACCTATCGTAGATGCATCATATATGCACATGAAAGTCTTTAAAACTCGCGTGCTCTTGTTATTTCCTCGTAAGCGCCTGCAAATGCGAGATCAGAGATTACACAACGAGGCATAATATTTAAATATGCATCCCAAAGGCAGTTAAATATTTAATTTTTTATGATTTTTGAAGTAAAAACCCATTTAAATTGAATGCGTTATTATGGTCTTGAAGAAGACGCATTCACATTTTTATCACGTACATTTTCATGACACACATGTCGTATAAGTGATTTTTTATGGGAACTACAGACTTCTGCGACCTCAGACTTGATTATGTTTTGAAATTACCTAATGGCAGAGCCAAAACAAACCAATTAGCTGGCCAGTTTCAGCCCAAAGAAGTGCATCGTAGCAAGATGTAAATTATACAATGTATCCGCGAAGTTGATTTCATTTCCCCGGACTGACGTGCCTTTCATTCTTTGATGTGATGTGATGGGCTGCCCATGTGCATGAACACGTTTAAAATTATAATTATGGTGTTGCACCTTTCGTGCTTTTAGTCTATGATCTTGAAGTCGAGGTTGGATGCGGAGCGTTTTGTCTAAAAAGCATATAGCCATTCATGTTTCAGCCTCCACGTAATAGATTTGGCGTTGAAGTAGTTTAAGAAACTCATATTTCCTGTTTAAAACCATTTTAAACACTTAAATTGCTCAGTTAGTTAGTCGATAACCTAGCGCGAGTACATTTCTATATAATCCGTTTAGCAGATACTTACATGACTCTCGGCTTTCCTCGATGTCGAGAATAATATTCGTTTGACCGGTTTCCACTTCGCACATTTGCGACTTGCCCAAAACCGCCGAGCAGAGCAGGATTAAAAGGCCAAAAAAGCCCAGTCCCTGCTGGGCAGTGAGGTACCTCGCAGCCATTTCTCTGCAAATAAAGGTAAACAAATATTTGTTGTATGAGATATGAGATATGTGTATGTTTTAGCCGCAGTCTGATTTAAATATTATTTCTTAACCTACGCGACCAGGCCCACACATCTGGGCTCTGGAAACCCGAGTCGCGCTCGAAATGTCTTCTGCATGCGCCGCTTTTGTATGCAAAGACGGCTTCTCGTGCCTTAAATGGTGTGATATCAATATGCAATAAACAATTTAACAAACTTGGCGTTGTCTTAGCCATTCTGTTCCTCTCTTCAAGTCCCATATACATAGCTACATATATTTGCCTATATGGACATGTGGAAATCTAAGATGCGAAGATCCGAGGCTGGCTATTTGTTAGCAATAATAAATATGTAGCAACTCGGTGTTGAAATTGGTGGCTAAATTGAAAATTGGTTTTATAGTTCCGTTCGAACTCATCACAAGCCAAGTGCTCTACGAAAATATTGACAGAGAGAAGTTCATAACGGTAGGATCATAAATTGGCTAATAAAGTGGGAAGCCATGCCAGGCAATAGACAACCAAACAGCCAGCCAGATCAGACAACGAACCTCGCGATCAGGTGCACAGTTTGCGCATTTTGCCCACCTCATCTCATCGAGCGCCTAAATGGCCAACTTGACTGGCCGATCAACTTTTGTGGCTGCGGCTGGGATACAGTTAGGAGCTGGCAATGTTCTCCACAGCCACCTCTTTGCGGCTTCTATCCCTAAGTTCTTGCTCTATCCCCGCACCTCGGCGCACATCCGCTGCTGCTTTCTGCTCCATCTCAATCTCCATCTCCATCTCTATCTCTATCTCCAACCAAGACTCGTTGGCACCAGGAGCCATTCTATCGTATCCGTTACTTGGATCGTTTGTTTAATGAAACAGATCGAAGCTAATCTTCAGGTTTCTGGCTTTTTCTTCGCCTTTTATTTGGCTGAGTTCATTAGATGGAGTAAGGTGTTAGTTGGGCTTAGTTGGGCTAGTTAGCCGAATATCGTAAAATGAAGAAATAAAGTATATGTTCTAATGAATGAGCACTTTTCTATGATTATTATAACACATATATTGCAGTTTTATTTAAATTTTTATGTCTGCAATAAATTCACCAACAAACTAGATCATCAGGTGAATAGCTGGACTGGTTTACAGGGTATTTAGATCTCAAGTCTTAAATAAATAATGAATTTTTATATTTATATCTTACAAGGAAAGGTAGTTCGTATGCAAATTACTCATCCGCAATGTTGGTTGAGGAAGTCATTACCCAAAAATGGTTTTCTTAAGTGGTTGCTGCTTCTTAAACTTTATAGAAGAAACCTAACTCAAAACGCTTTATCCAAAATCTTGATCAAATTACTACTAGTTTCCAACGATTGCCCAATATTATTCAATCTTAGCAATTACTCCACACAAAACTCGGTAAACCAATCAAAATATCTGTTATTTTTAACGATTTATTTAATTTTGCTAATGTGTGCTGCAATCTGGAATTGAATCAAACGTGTCTCGAAACGCAACTGCTGACTGCTGCTGAAATTATCTCCGAAATCATAAAAGCAACGATCGTCCGTTGCGTAACCAAAGTGCGAGATATCACATTTTGTATTGATATGGGGCTTAAATGTTTCGCCGCGGCGTTCCTGTTTCTATTTGTGAAAATCGGGAAAATCGCGAAAAGCGCTGCAAGTCCTCCGCTTTCACTGAACGTACAAAATACCATTTCCCCCGCCAATAACCGTTCAAACAAAAGTCGCTATGAAGTGAAGCCACGGGGCAGGAGGAGGAGGAGGAGAAGGAGGATAGAGGAGCTTGGAGGAGTTCGGCGGTGGCCACAGAAAGTCAGTTGCTGATTATGTTCAACCGGAAACTTATAGAAAAAGCCGAATGTGCCAAACTGGTTTGCAAAATAAACGAAAGCCGAGGTATCGCTGTGCTTTGAATGCCTGTGTGGCTGAGTGGCTGAGTGCCTGAATGCCTGAATGCTGGGTGCAGATTCGATATACGGGAAACCTGTTGCTTATTGATGCTGTTTTTGCCAACATTTTCTAGTTTTGAATGTGGTACAATACGTACCGAACTTAAATCTGAAATCTGTTGGAATGCGAACGATGGTTGCCACACAAATCTTAAGTAAACAAGAAAGGAACGCCAGTTTGGGGCGGCCGAATCCCTCGATACCCTGGTTCACCTGGCTCACCCGGTTCACCTGGCCACCAATCATCCGCCATCGTTCTGTCAGGCCCAACATTGATTGTTATGCTAATTCCTGGAGTGTTTTATTGTATTTTAATTTTATTGGACAGGAGGACGCGCTCTCCACCATACAAAGTGTATGCTGCCTATATGCATATGGTTCTTCATTGTGATCCGTGAGATGTTTCATAATGCCGACGGACAATAAAATATGGTCTTTTATCAGCATATAAACCATCTCAATCTGAGGAGCTTAAAACTACAAAAGGGTAGCCATGGCCATGTGACAAATTTCAGGCAATATTATTTATATGACTGCTATACGTGTGGATAATCTATAAGTGTATTCCGGACCACAATCTTCCAATAATTTGAGTCAAAAGCTATTTGAAAGTTTAATGACTTGAAATGCTTTTTAAATTCTAATCGTTCGAATGAACTCAACAAGTATCTTAGAGCCAATTAACTGGGAATCATTTTTCTTGATGATTAATTCTAATGATTTGACTCTTTGTGAGAACGTCAAACTAAAACATGAGCAACTGCTGAGTAAGGGAAATAATTTTTAAATGGCTTAAATGGTCTTCGGTTAATAAGCCAATGTTTTTAGTTTACGAAATCTTTAAGTCGCAAAAAAATTATGTTTATTTTGAAACTATAAATTAAGATGCCAAAACAAGGCATTGAACTGCAAAGTTTTTGGTGACAATAAAATTAATCGAACTGCCTTTCCGCTGAAAAGAACTGTTAGACGATTATGTTTCTTCTTTATAATCTGCTTCGAGGCATTTAGGCAAATGAAGATTAATCTTCGAAGCTCGAAGCTTAATACTTTTTTCTGTATCTAAAAAACTGTACAAATTAGTGATAAACTTACCTTTTATTCTATAGTTTAAGTAATGCAATAGCTCAAAGTATTTGTGCTAAGTATCCACAGTGAACGAAGTAGTTCTTAATCCTCAATTACATCTCGAAAGTGCAATGTAAAAGTGTGTATTTCCTTGCCACCCGTACGCTGCATATGAAATAAGGTGAAATCAAATTAAAACACACTCGCGACACTATATGTTGTAATACTAAATTTATTATTAATGCTGCTTTGTCAGACAACGCAGATCGAGACAATATTTCAAAAGTGATGACCACAAGACGGGTTTGAGAGCGAGTTTTAATGGCATTTCGTTCAGGTTTTCCACACTAGATTGATTTTTAATTATATCTTTTTTTTCGTTTTCGAGGTTGTCCTCTTGGATTAATTATAAATCTTAATATTTCGCGAAAAGTGAGCAACAAAGCGGCGCGTGGGAGTTTCGGCTTGGGTCTGAGCTTGGTAGCATGTAGTAAAAGTAGCATGGCAAGTTGATGACTATCTATGTATGCCTGTACAGTGAACAAGACTGTATAAGTTTTCTTACACAAATCTCGACATACGTGACCTCATTTGCGATCTGACAGAAAACGTTTTTTTCGTTTTTTTTCGCTTGTTTCTTTGCAAATGCCGCAAAAATCCCGCTCGATAAAATAAATTCGTGGTGTATGTTTCTACAAGCCCGTAAACACACTGGCATTTAATACGGCGATCACGTTCACATTCCACATTAGAGTTCTATCCCTTTCTTCTTTTCGAGTTAAGTGATGATGGGCAAGGTAAATTGATGGGAAATTTCTGTTTGTTTTTACACCATTGTGATTTGGGTAAACAAAAATTGGCAAGAGAAAGTCTTGCTTTCGGTGATGTGTAGGTACAATTTTTTCGTTTTTTTTTTGTTTCGGATTTTAATGATGGATGCTTCGTAGATGGGGGCTTTGTTTGCCATTCGAGGTTTCTTTGTTATTCAAACAGGGATTATTTCGTTTTTTATTCACCGGGGTAGAGGATTTTGGGGGAAATCAAACAGAGATAAAGATAATTCCGATGCCCTTTTAGGGCCTCGAGACTTCAAATCGCTTTGGGTCCACACACATCACACGTCGCCATAAACGGACCATTCTGAACCTTACACATTTTCTCGAGAGATAACTCTTAAAAAATTAGCTCTTAGGCATATTCATACCAGCTTGAAAACCGGTATCGCGGGAGCCACCTAAAATGCGATTGAACACATAGTACACTGCGCGAAAGTACGTGGTAACGGCTCGAGGGTCGGATCGGAACTGTTTCGTTTTGGTTTACCTGCCTCTCGTTTCGGCAACAAGTGGGCGCTACCATCTAAAGCAAAGGTGGAACGGTATGGAATCGGTCCGATGGTCGCTTGCTGGCATTCGCTTTTGCGGTAAGACTGGTTTTGGGGACTAGTTTACCAGCTGATACCAGGCCATACATACACACACCGCACACACATAGGTATACCCATTTTTCGAGTGCGAAAGGCTTCGCCCGTGGAGCACAGGTACTGCGATCCACGATCTGCAGGTGCATGTAGATATGTATGCTCCTTGGAAATCTTGAACGGCTAACAGCGGTCTGTTAAGTCAAAGGTAAATAAAAGACCACCATGTTTCATTTCCATAGGAGTAGTTGGCTTTATGGGGAACCAGTTTTTCGGTTTGGGTTTGGGTTTCGGTTTGCTTTTTTCTCTCTTTTGTTTTTAGCTGCAGTCGCTGTGTGTTTGGGGCCGTGTAAAAGTTTTTATTAAAATGTTTTAGGTGATGTTGCTGCGATTTTGTGCAGCAATCTGTGGCCGGACTTTGCCAGCCCGCTCGCTCCGCCGATCCAATCCAATCCGACCGATCCGGTGCATGAATGAAGTTCACTAAAGGGGCAGACAGCATTTTTGTACCTGTCAGGCGGCCATAGAGTCGCATATGCATATTCCGCTTCCATTGTGCTGGACAATGAGACAGTTGCTCTGCTATCCACTAGCCACTGTCTCCTATCCACTATTCATGAAATTACCATCATTGGGAGGTGTCTGCAGTCGCACACCAAGCAAATATTATCATTGCACACCGGAAGCTATAAACTATTACTATTTAATATATTTCAGGTAATTCCAAGGTTAACCTAAAGATATATCTAGCTAAATAATAACAATGTATTATGATAATTGTTTTTGAATCTAGTTCTTTGAAATGCCAAACGACCAGCAAAAGCACCTAATTATAGCTATTCATATTCCTGCTCACACGAGCTAGAGATTTGAGCCACTTTCAGCCTTATAAAGTGCACAAATCAGTTAACAAATCGTCTCTCCAGTGCCAACTTTATCTCAAGCAGCTTCAACAGATTAAGACATGTGCTAACTTGGCCATTAACACAGTATCTTCGTGGTGCTAAAACCCATGGGATGTTGTGATGTTTTCCATAATTCAGTTGAAGAGAAAGTGCAAGCTTTTCAGCAAGATGTACATCATTAGCTGGTTTTACTGTTTCTTAACAACCGAGCTAAGCTCGTAACTCTAAGTCCGACTCCGTCTTGCTAAATCCCCCTGAGCTGGGAATAATTAAAGCTAAGCCAACAGTTTCTTGTTCTTTTCTTCGTTATTATAAAAGGTAGTTTCTTGCTAAATTTATTGACGTCTTGGATTACCATAATGTGTGCTAGCTTTGCTCATGTCTTCCGGCTTTGTCAACACTTTTGTAATTCCAATTTTGAATGTCCCATTTCCAAAGATAATTTGACTCGTTGGCCGATCATTTTACTTATTTCAAGTTCAAACTTCAAAAGGCTTCGAGAGTATTAAATTATATATCATTTTTACAGGCTTTTAAATACAATATCGTATTTCAAACTCATGGAAAGTTATGCTCTTACACGTTACAAAGGTGTTTTTTGAGTTAATTTATGCTGACACTTAATTAGTCAGAAAAGTATAGTTCAGTCACCCGGTTATGAAGCCAGACGGAGCTCATTTTCTTTAAATAATAGCCAAGTCATATTAATTTATGATTTTCGGTGAAACGCGAAGTATATTCTGATACTCTGCGAATACCGGATATGAAAAGGTTAAATTAAATGTGTCAGCCAAAACTGTAAGGTTTCGCTTCAGCCATCCTCTTTAGATCGAATTGCTGGTCGGAGCACTTTAAAATCAGTTTACCTTCTTCAGAATTTGTGGTAGCTTATGTAAGAAAAATAAAAAACTTAGGTTGTGCAATATAAGCTAAATAAATCTGCGTTTAATTTAAATAAGCTTTGGTTATGTCAAGTTATTTATAAATTTGACTTTTAGCTTCTGAAAGGCAAAAAGTCAACAAGAGAATAGTTGGCCAGACTATGAATACGTTTTCAAAACCCACTGGTTTGTTAACTTCTTTGAGAAATATATGTCATTGAACGAGTAAAAAAATATGCAACCTGTTGGCTTAAAGCAAAAATATTACGTTATCAGCACGAAATGCGAATGAACTAATAAAGGCAAATAATAAACTGGCTTTTTCGTGGCTTCAAATTACCAGTGCACTACTCTACTCATAAGTGGCATAAAAATTATGATTGCGATTATAATTTTAAATTTCTTTTACTGCCAAAAGGCAAGCCATTGTTCTGGCCTCTCACATGCTGGCTTCGCTCTGGCTCTTCACCGTCCAGGGGCTGTTAAATCATTCCTCGGCCGCTTTAATTGCTCCACAAAGTACAACTGCATACTGCATTCCTGCTGCAGCCACTAAAAGTAACAACAATTCGATTTGGGACCAATGCGCACCAAATAACCAAAAGATGCCTTGCTCTGGCGTACTGAACAATCACTTTGCCCAGATCAGTTTCGGTCCGGCCAAGAAATATATATATATATATATATACGAGTATGTATCATATAGATGGCAGGGGCGAATGTGTGTGCACAGTTGCGGTCAGAAGAAAAGTACGGAGCTGATGGTAGATTTATATAGTGGAAATCCAATCCGGTCTCGGCGAGAACGGGGAATTCATCTCCTGGATGCTCACGTTATGTGGCTTCCCACCTATGTACCCATTCACATAGTAAGAAAAGTGGGTTTTATATGATGAACAAATTTATTCAAGGCTTGTAAACACATTAACTTTTGGTATATAAAAAAAGAAAGGAATTAATTGGAATTAATATTAAATTTCAAGATTACATTCATTACTTTACATTCTGTACCAGAATGAGCTGCTCCATAAAAGATCAAAAGCTAAACACCATTTGTATATAAGTTAAAACGTAAACCTTTTCTTTCCGTGCACTTAGCCTTGTACTACCTTTCTGACCGCAGCTGTACCCGTCCCGCAGCCAGGCCATTAACATTGCTTAATTGAATTAGATTCCGAATGCAGATTATGAGTACCATCGCATGCTCACTCCGGAGTCCGGACAAGCCGAGTATGGCAGTTGGTGGTGGAGTATACTCGTAGAACGAATTACGCCGCCACTTCCCAGGCTCCTGCGATCCATACCGATCCCATGCAAATGAGTCTGCAGCTCAAATGAAGAGCGCATTTCTCAAATCCTCCTTTATGACTAGGAAATTATCAAACCCTTTTATTAATACCACAGCTGTAGTTCAGTGAACCCAAAGTCTAATTAGCCAAACTTTTCGTACAAAAGCGGTTTCTGTAATCTAATTCGATGGCGTCAGCGGCACTTTGCGAACCACGAAACATTTCTGCAGCCAAAACGAGCAGAGACTTGTACAGTGGCCACTCCGCTCCACACTCCACACTCCATGCCATTCGATTCAATTCGATTGCATTGCATTGCATTGCATTGGTGCACTGGCACAGAGCACAGCGCACAGAGCAGAGCATTGGTATTAAAGGCCAACAATTGTGGCATGTCCTAGTGACAGCCTCGCCACAAAATGCACAAATGCACAAAATGCCCGTGCAATAACAGCCACAAGCGACTGCGAGCGTCGTGCCACAAACGTAGGAGCTGCTGCTTCATTAGTTATGCATTAAGCATACGATATGTTGTACAACCCGGCTACAATGGCCAAAAGGGTACATGGCCATATTGATCGAATTGGGTTTGATTTAGATCGAGGTGTTGTCATTAATGTGAAGTGCGGGGGAGTGACTTGTGCCTTATATTTCAGTATCTTTAAAAGGTAGACAGGTGAGTCCAAAGGACTCTCTATGAAAGAGGAAGTAGATTTTCCTTTTCCATTTCAATTCATAGCCCTATTATCTTATTGTTAATTAGTCAATAAGACATTACCATAAAAGCATGATTATTACTTGAGAGTATTAATATTTATCAACTAAAAGTATATTTTCAACTTAATTTAATTATTGCCTTTAAAAGTGCATAAAAGTTATCATACGTTTTATTATAATTATATTTGGGTTGTATGGTAACCATTTGTTGAATGAAAAATGAATTTGATTAGATATTATACACATATATAGCAATGTTAATTAAATGATAACTATATTTAATAGCTTTCGAATAGGTCCGCTCTCAAGTGTAACCACGTTTCGGCTAGGCGAACGGGTGCACCTTTCCTGTTTTCCCGCATTGGGCTGCTGCAGTCAATCTTTTTGTGGGATGTCCAGCTCCCTGTTAACTGCGTGCAATTCGTGGGGGTTCGTATGTCGCTTAAAAATTTTAATTGCCTTTGCGTGTTTAGAAAACTTACACGTACGTATGTTCTGCGTAGTTTAGCAGCTGACCAAATGCCACGGCAGCTTTCTAGTCGCTCCAGGGGATATGTCCGCGGCAGTATATTGGAGTCTATTTTCACACTTCTTCGGCACGATCGCTAATGCTTATCGATGTGATTTGAAATTGAAAGGAATTTTCTGAGAAATGATCACATTTATTAATATTAACTCTGCACTGTTAAATATGATTTACTTGGATGATAAATTATTAAAAGAATAGCGAGAGTAGACTTCTATGAAAGAAGAACAGGTGCAGTCGATGTGAAAACGTGGCTAAAATGGCTTCCGTTCTCATGAATAAGATTTCGATTTCCGGAATAGAACATTCTGATTGAAGGTTTTTTAAGTGAAATCAAACATTTTAATATCGGTTAATATTTTAATAGTTTTGTTATTTCTTAGGCTTACAAAAGTAAAATAACAAACTAAAAAACTCGCATACTTAAAATTTACCCAGTTAGCTGATGTCTGTAATGTTCGTTATGCTGTCCTCACAACCCTAAAATATTATAAGATATTATTAATATATTAATGACTTAGAAAATATGCTGACTGACTCACCAAAGTGGCTTCTCGAATAGTTGGCGCTGATGTCCTTCCAGACGGCACCAAAGTCGAGTTGCCCTTTTTCAGCAGATCGGCGGCTGGTAAGTCGCAGTGCTTTCTTTGAAACTTTCGCAGGAAATGCATATAGGCCACTGCAGAGCCCAAAGAACTCGCGTCGCGAGAAGATATTACAGGACTTTTCTTCATATTTGGCTTGGACTTCTTGGGTCTCACCGAGGACCTTTCAGATTCCTTCTGACGACCATAAGTGGAGCGCTTGGGACATGATTTATCCTGTTTTATTTTCTCCGGGATTATCTTCCTACTCTTCTGACTTTCAGATGGTAGAGAATCGCTCTTTTTGTCAACCATTAGCTCTCTCTAATAAGTTGATAATTTATAATATATTTTATTTTAAGGATGTTTTTTACTTACGAAACGTGCCTTTTCTTCGGGAGTTAGCTGGTTCCACTGCCTAGCTGCATAACGTACCATGTTCTGGGGCGATATTCCGCAGAAACGTTTCTTGTACTCGGTAAGAAAGTTGAGATAGCCATTGTTTGTATAACGGGCTACTTTTTGGAACTTATAGATTGGCTTACAAAGAGCCGATCCTTTCTTCTTTTTCTGCATACTCGATTTTTGTAAACCTAAAATTTGACTCTCTGAATGGCCCAGAACTGCCTTTGCTCGAATGCCTGAGACGACTTTCGCTAAGCTAACTAGAGTGCTTACCTAATTCGTTCGAAGTTGTCCATTAGCCCTAAGTTAGGAAAGCAAATGAAATTTTGTTTACATAAATAGTAACATAAAAATGCATGTAAATTTTTAAAATTAAAGTGCGACATTAACGCAATCTTACATTTTCAGGTAAAATTTAAAAAATCTCCGAAGCAAGCGTTTATTTTTCATTTTTAGATAGTATTTAGAAATATCAAAATTTGTTTTTGCAAAATATGGCCTCTTATGAAGCAGTTTGCACTGCCAGTTTCATTCACCTCATACTCGGGTTGGCAGTATGGTTTAAGCCACCTGCTGAGAGCTGTTCACCTGCTCCGAATTTGGGCAGCTGGATCTTCGTGGGAGCTCCCATACTTTTGGCCACCGACATTAGAATGTATCCAAAGCGTTATATGCACTTGCCGTATGCAATTCAGTTTTTGGTTGAGACGGTCGGATCTCTGGCCATCATCGAGTTCTCCGCAATTGTGGTTTGGTGTGCGTTGGAGTGCCTGATTCATCACCTAGTGAGGTTGCTATTTTTGTCATGTGGAATGGGCGATGAGACCTACCTGGCACTGGAGTATTGGCTCCTTTTAATTCCCACTACGGCCTTGGCCTCCACTCTATTATATATAATGAAGATGGCCATTATACCGCATATCCCTATAAAGTCAATTTATGAAAAGCAGCAGATTAAGGTGCAGCTGGACGAGCGTGTCTACAATAACCTGGTTCGGCGAAGGAATAGAAGTAAGAACAAATATGGATAGTCGATGAAATCATTGATTTTAAATGTAAATTTAACGTGTGTGTGTAGCGCTGAATGCAATAAATAATTATTTGTATTTCTAGCAATTATGTTATAGGGTCACCAAATACACTCAACAGACACTTCCGAACTTCCGGAAATTAAAAGAGGTTTCTTTTCATATATTAACATATTTAACGGTTTCGCCGTTTTATATTTTTAAACCGACACGCGTTTTACAACACTGTGATAACCCCTGTTATACTTCTGTTAATTTCTGGTAGGACCATGCCAGTGAATTTTAGAGCTCAATACAAATACTCACTATCTGGTAACACTGTTATGAACAGCTGAATAACAATAATATAATCATTTTGTTATTAACAATTATGCGATTCCACGCAGCCGCCTTATAGCGCCCTTGCCACGCCCACTGCGATGCGAACAGGCGACCAACCCAAGGTGTCGCCAAGAATCCTGCAAGCGAGAATTCAAGTCAAGAGTCCGGAATCCATAGCCCCGAATACCAATTAAATTCCGGGGAGAACACATTAAAAGATGTCTACGGAGGAGCATGTGTGGCGAGCGCATGTCGTGCGGCGACTACGCGAACGCAACCGTAAGGAGTGCGACAACTTCAAGGAGATCATCGAACAAAGTAAGAATCTAGGTCGCCAGCAGCAGTCGCGGCGGAGCCCCAGTTGCCCCCAATGTGCACCAGTTAACCTCCGAATCGTCTCCAAAATTCATGGTCACACACATTAATTGCCCCCATCTTGCAGATAACCGCTTGATTGACCATGTGGCGCAACTCAAGGCGGACAACCTCAAGCTCTCCGTGGAAAACGAGCAGCTCCGCAGCGCGGTGTCAACAGGTGGTACCGGTTCCAACGTGGCCATTGCCACACTCGAAAAGAAACTGCTCAGCCAACAGGAGGAGCTCACTGATCTCCACAAGCGCAAGGGCGAAAACTCCCAGATGATCGTAGACCTCAACCAGAAGGTCGAACAGCAGCGGATCATCATTTCCGAAAAAGAACACAGGTACCTATCAAGGATGTTCCGGTTTTCGAATTCGCAAGGTTGTGCAAACCGGTTGATCGTAAAATAATGGTTAATTCTTCTTCTTTAAATTATGGCTAAAGCATATTTTGCTTATGAATTATGAAAACTATAATTTAGCCTTGACGAAAATGAAATAAGGAACATCCTCTACTCGTATATCGTAAATGTTACTAATCTATATATTTGTTTAGCCTCGCCGAGCAGCAAACGAATAACAATCGATTGCGCGCTGAAGTGCAGCTCCTTCACTCCAGTTTGGAGGAACTTAAGAAACTGAACAACACCATGTTGGACGAACATACAGCGCTTCAATTGGCATTTAGCTCCCTCGAGGAAAAACTGAGAGGAGTACAAGTAAGTAGTCAGCACAGTTCATTCACCTTTTCCCTCTCCTACACAATCACTACAGCTTTGATTTGGTTGATTTCTGTTATAAAATTACCTAAAATAGGAAGTAAATTATTTGTATCTGCTAAATTTGAATAGTACAATAGATTACTTTTAATTTATAATACTCTTTCTTTAGCCGGTAAATAATTTTCCTCAAGACTTCTAAAATTATTTTTGTTGATGATACTTTTAATAGCATTTAAATTAAAAAAGAAGAATTTGTTATGATCAAATGCTGGTTACTCATTGATCGTTAAATCTACAGATTGGCTTGTTTGTGTATAAAATATTTTTATTAGCACTTATTCGAGGCTTCCGAATCCAATTGAAAAACTCTATTCTTACGCTATTTGGTTCGTGCATAAATATATTGGCGATAAATATATTGCAGATGGCCAGAATCATTCTGCCTCGTACACGAGTACACATGGGGAAAGCTTGATATCTTTTCGTTTTCGATCCAGTAGCATATTAGCGTTCAACGAGGCAGACAGCACCACGGCGGCCAATATTTGCATATATTTGAAATATGAAAAAGCGTCTACTAAAAAGCTTTTCGTTCTCTTGCGATTCACAGGATGAAAATCGGCGTTTACTGGAACGGCTAATGCAATACAAGTCGAAGGATGCCGACAAGTTGAACGAGGAAAACGAGAGCATAATAAGGTACGTTTGTTGAAGTACAAAAGCATTTTAACCCTGTTATCATGAAAACATAACGTTTAATATTACTTATCTCTTCGATCATTAATATACATGTATATAAATGCATTTTCGTAACAAGATAGGTTCAGAGGTACACATAAAATGGTTAATCGCGAAGCTTATCTAATGCTTATAAAAGAGTTTGATAAAAATCCCATGTAAACTGTTAACCAATACATACGAAATGAATAAAGTTTCCATGGATTAGGCAGCATTTTGCTTATTTTTGTTATCATCACCAGGAAGGACATCACTTTATCAGAATCAATTTGTATTAAGTTGGTGAAAAAATATGTTAAGAGTTTAAATATTCATTTATAACCAGGAAGCAAATAGTTTAGTATGCAAATTGTATAGCTACAACTATTCGGAGGCAGAAAATGAAATAGTTAAATGATTTCATGTCATGAAGGCAAAACAAATTGTAGAAGTGAAAAACTACCATTCAGTTTTAAACGAATTGAATATATAATAAAATAAAGATATAAAAGGCAATTATCCTCACTCGCTCAGTTCACTAGAAGGGCATGTATATTAGGCTATTATCTTAATACCCGATTAGAGATTACAGTGCCCATCCACCTGACCGCTGATCACCTAGTTGTGTTAATAAAAACCACTTTATTGCCCACCCACCAAACGTCATGCAAGCAAGTTAACAGAAAACGCGGAGCACGGGAACTACCAAATCGTTAAGGTTAACGGAAAACTACACAAACTGCATGTAATAAATATTTACCTTTATTTTACACTAACACCTTAACAAACGCCAAGGAGTAGAACGGACCATTTAGACGAACCTAATCGATTGTGTCATTCATTCTGATTTGCTCCTTTTATTTTTGGTTTAATATAAATGTATAACCGTTTTTAAACATATCTAGAAAAAGACTGCCGTCAATTTTCAGGAAACGTTCGGCCAAACTGAAACGTGACCTTGAAGACGCGGTCCGCGAACCCGGCTCGTCTAGCAATACCGCCACCTCGCCCGGAGCAGCATCCTTGCAGCGCAACTCCAGTCCTGCCCAGTTCGTTGGGGGTCTCATTGGCGACGAGGACTTCGACGAGGCTGCGATAAATGGCGCCATGGAAGCCATAGGTCTCGATGATAATGAATATATTAGCGCTCGTTTTACAGCTGGCGAGATTTCTGAGAACACCCGATCTTCCATCGACACCCTGAAGGCTGCGGGTTACCTGGGCCAGGCCAATCCGACCAAGATCCTTATGAAATTCGAGGCCCACGAGAACGAGTCGCATGCAGTGCGCTGGAGTCCCGTGGAGCGGATGGTGGCCACCGGTGGCGCCGATCGAAAAGTCAAACTTTGGGATATTGGCAAAAGTAAGTAATAAGGTATAGATTTATGAACTATTAATAGTTATTAAATTTCGATAAAAATCTGACATTTCTTTGAATAAATTAAATAAATTATAGTCATGTTATTATATTTATATTTATATTTCAGATTCCACTGAACCACGTGCTATTTTAAGCGGAAGCAGTGCCGGGATTAATTCCGTAGACTTTGATTCGACAGGCGCCTATATACTGGGCACCTCGAATGACTACGGCGCCAGAGTATGGACAGTGATGGACAATCGATTAAGAGTAAGTGAAATGATTATTAATTTCTATAATTAAACCCACAGGCCAGTAATATTCAAAACAAATCTGTATCAGAAATTCTATTTGCCTGAAACTAAAACGCATTTTAACATAATATATATGTACTCATGAGGGAAAACATTTTTCCAGTTTCGCCGGCTAGTCTAGACGCTAGATATTTTTAATAATAATATAAGTGTTTGATTTCTGATTGAGATTATAGGCTGAACGTAACCCTCTCGCATCGCTGAGATGATTTTAAATTTTTAATCAATATGAAGTGCACACAAATAGAGAGAGAAATTATTTTAAAATTACTAATTCTTTCCTATTAAATGAAAATGTAGTTCTTGCACTTAGTCTACGCTGGAATGGGCATAACAATACTTTCCTTTTTCAATGCTGCTCTAAGCAGATTAAGAACCGACTTCTTTGATGCCTTGATTTATAAAGAATTTTCAGCCCTCGTGATATTCTCTTCTCGCCTTTGTTTATCCAAGTCGGTATGTACATATATATGCACACATTCACAGCAATGTCAATGTTTATAAATAAATTTTGCATGTTTGCCGCTTTCTAACTCAGAAAAAAGGCGAAAAGTAAACAAGCAAACATTACAGAGACGCTGATGGCAAACAAAAGTGTTTACTGATATAGTAAATAAGGCACTTTAACCATGATATATGCGGATGGTGGATCTCTCAGGGCTCTACCTAACAGTGATTGGAGAAATGATTTCATGCCTTGGCAAGATTTCGTAGGAATTTGGTTAAGAGTGGTAAAAGTAACATGGATTTAGTATACTATACTATTAAATGCCAGTTTTTGTGCCTTGAACAGTTAGGTGATCTAAATATATAGCTTATAGCAAAAAGGGGAAATGGCTATTCCCTATATTCAAACATTTAAGAACGTTTATGGCTGTGAAGCTTTATCAAAAGAATCAATTTCAATTGGCGGTCATAAATAAAAGTCTACGAAAGCCAAGAGGGGAAACTGGCCAATACATTGGCAGTTGGCCTGAATTGCAGCAGCATAATCTTTTTACCCCAAGGTTCATCTCTCGCCTGGTCAGGCGAGATCCGCAACTTCATCCATTTATGCTGCACATCGTCGAGATGCGAATAAACATACAAGTGCAGCTCTTCCTGCTTTTCTCCGCCAGCTCCATCCGTGTGATACACCGACTCTTCTCTTCTAACTGGTATTTCTGGATTGACATTTAAACGGTTCTTTTGCGCACAACTGGAAACTGTAACTGAAGAATAGCGCCGTCGAGCTGCAGCATTAAAATGAGCACACTGACTTGTACGGCCTCTGGCCACAATGCGATCAAACAGTCAACTGATTGCCAAGTTATTATCATTAATACCCGCGACTTTTTACGATTCGTGCTTAAACTTTTCACACACCGTAAACGTTG